GACATGATTCGAACTGTAGTCAGGTGATGGTAGTAGTGGAAATTATAGAAACTCACTTAAATAGTTCAGCCTTATATTCAGGCTTACCGGGGACGAACAGATGTTAGCCTAGCTTGTCTCACCTTGTAGCAAAATGAAAAAAACTTTGAAGTTTTGATCCAAGCAAGTTATTTGCGAGCTAAAATAGATATATCATGATCCACCTCTCACAAAAGTATCGATAGAGTATCTCTGAGGTGAGCGAGACATGTACATTTTCCTCATTTTATTTAGCTAGCTAACCTATTCCCCCAAGACACATAAAGAACTCACAATTACCAGATCCTGCCCTGGCCGGCAGATTTTGACGTATTGTTAGCCTAATGAAAGCCACTGGTATTATTTCCTTTCGTATTTTTCTAGTCTTCTCCTGGCAAAAATCCTCCCAATGAAAATATTACCCGTGACAATGCAGTTATAGCAATCCCCTGAGTTGTTGATATCTGTGGTTATCAATTTTCTGCAGCGACAAAAATGCATCAACACTAGATCTGCAATGCTACAAAGCCCCAATGCCCCTCCTCTGTTGTGTCTGAGAATAGAAGGGCGAAAGGCTTAGCTAGCTAGTTTTTTCCTTTAATTCCAATTCTTCTAAAATCATCAGCCTGGCCCTCTTCACAATTTAAAACGATGGTTCGAGTATATGTCCATTGCTGTATCCGTCGAAAATGCGGTTTCTCGGACGTGTTGAGCGCTTTCCTGTCAAGAAAAAAGCTATATTCTTGCTCATACCAATCCAGGACACTGCCTTCCTCCCTTGCCTCCCTGGTCGCTTGCCGTCTCGCGCTACAGCTTGCTGCTGCTGCAGGCAAAATCCCAGCTCATCATGGCGACGGTCACAGCATCTGCTGTGCTGTGGCTGTGGGGCGCGAGGGTATACTGGAAGGATAGTCAATAATATTGTGAATGGAAACTGTGGCGGTCGGTGTGGAATGGAATGACACATTTACGGTAAGAATGAAAACCTGGCCCTTTAATTGCCTAAACATATTTTTTTTAATGCACATTATATTGAGCAAGCAACTAACACCGAATAATTTTTGGATAGGCTACACCCATAGTAGCTTACCTGGCTAGCTTTTTTCTTTAGTTACCAGGCAGGAAAATTAGAATAATTGTACCTCACCAGATGTCAAATATGTTAACTATTGACTTCATTGATTGACAATAATATTAATATTATCTCCACATTATCTTTTAGCGAGCCTATCAGTCAATGTTGGTATTCTTGCAGCTTATTATGATAAATAAAAGTACTGCTAACATAATGGTGTTGAACTATCAACATGAAAAGCATTTACATTTCAAAGAGAATAGTTCAAACATGTTATGGGTTTCAAAGTTGAGAAGAGTTTTCAGAAACTATACAAATGTATTCCCCCCCCCCCCCCCCCCCCCCCCCCCCCATCATTGTGTTATATTCTTTGCCATTAAACAAGCGTATCAGGGCCCAGGTGAAATAATTAAGTTAAAAAATATATTATTATTATTGTAACACATGCTAGCACTGGGTCAAGAAAGTGGCAAATTGGATCTGATGACCTACTTGGAACAATCGCGCCCCCTGGCGAATCTTTGCAGCTTTAAATTCTTTGGGTACTACAGATACCGATCCGTAGATTTGTCAATCATCCACAAGGTGATGATTAAAAAGTTACTTTAATTTATTTACATCAAGTTTGTCAATCATTTCATATTAACAATGACAAATAAGGAATCTCTGCCAGTGAGCATCTACAGTAGTCAGATGCATAATATTGTAGCCTAGATTCCTCTTCAAGTTTGACAGTCTCCTATAGTCTCTGAACAGACCGAAATAAACTACAAGGATGAAAGCAAATAGGCCTATTCTTTTTGAAACTATGTTAACTGTGATACAAATTAAATGAACACAATTATGCTATAGCCGGGTCAATTAAATAGCCTATACGACTGAACCATAAGTGGAATGTTGTCTGTCCCTGCACATGTCTAGCGCTTTCAACCGGCTGGCCACTCCTGTCTCGTCCTCCTCAGACTTGCTCGATGATTATTGGCCTACATTCCCCACTTGAATCCTGGGCAGTTAGTTACAAGTGGAGCAATTCAGGTGCAAAGCATTGCATTTCTTCAAATATTTGATGTTGAGATAAGGCAGGGTACAGCAGGATCTAGCATAATCAGGAAGTTAGTGACAACAATGTAATGTCATGTAAATAATTAGGGCTACAACTTCAATATTGACCTTTACACACAGCCTCCTTCTCTCATTTGAGATGCTCAAAATAATAGGCCTAGTCTTCTGATGTTCTGCTGAAGTCACATCCATGCAAATGTACAGTAGGCCTGTACTTTAGATGTAGGTCAATTTAATTTTAAGCCTCTTTCCATATAATTATAATATTTCAAACCATAAAAGGAGAAAATATGTTTGATTTAACAATCATGTGATAATGGGCATATGGAGGGGGATTTTGGCTGTGTTTACACAGGCAGCCCAATTCTGATCTTCTACCCAATTATTGGCAAAAGATCTGATCTGATTGGTCAAAAGACCAATAATTGGCCAAAAGATCAGAGTTGGGCTGCCTGATCACAGATAAATTGAACAGCTTTTCTAATGCAGATGTAAGATGTTAATTAACACTATTGTTGTTGATTGTAAGAGCTGGCAGGCCTTTGATTGAAGAGGAATGGCACGTTGGGAGAATCAGATGTATCTGTGCTTTGAACCAGGGACCTGTCTTGGCTTTGATTGGGAAGGGAAGGGGGAAAGACTGCCAAATATCATACAAGAGGAATCTTAATTTACTAAATTAGGGGTGGAAGTGGAAGGGAACATTTTGTGCTTTCAAGAGATCACTGAGATCCCTAGGCTATGTATAGGCTGACCCAATGTATCTGGTCAGAATTCACATGTCTACTGTGGTGTCTCTAATCATCAGACAATCTTATTGCATATTCCAACCTTACATTACAAACTACTTGTTTGTGTGAAAAGATCATATGTTCACTGATGTGGATATGATTGTAACCTACATTGTAAATCAGTAGTGCTGATTTAATATTTCTTAAATGATTGTTTCATGTGTCTGTAGATTTAAGGATGTAGTGATTGATGTATGCAGACTTGGGTCAAATGTCAAATCCTTTGGAGCTTGGAGTTTGCACTTTTGGCACTATTCCATGGGCAACATACTGGGTAAACTAAATCATACCTAGTTTACATTTACATTTTACATTTTAGTCATTTAGCAGACGCTCTTATCCAGAGCGACTTACAGTTAGTGAGTGCATACATTATTATTATTATTATTTTATTTTTTTCATACTGGCTCTACCAACTAGTTTATTTGAAAGTATTTGACATGACCCAGGTCTGGATGTAAGTATGTAATAATATAATATGCCATTTTTATCCAAAGCGACTTACAGTCATGTGCACATACATTTTTACGTATGGGTGGTCCCGGGGATCGAACCCACTACCCTGGCGTTACAAGCGCCATGCTCTACCAATTTAGCTACATTTCAGGTATTTTAATTATTAAAATAGCCTAGAATATAGTCGCTACAGAGCATGAAGTGTGGTTTTCAGATGTGGCTAGCATTGGTCCCCCTGACAGTCATCTGTCATTTGCCCTTCCTGTGTCCTCCTTTAGTTTGTCTGACATCTCCAAGCAAATAAGCCCCAATACACAAACACAGACAGGGCCCATTCTAGGGCCACCAGCCCCTCTTCTAATGTTTGCGTGACAAAAAAGGCAAGGCAAATCCTGCAATGGAATCAGATAATCACCAACATGTGAAGAGCCTCCCAATCCACATCCTCACCCCGGCTCTTGGATTAACTGTCTGTTTGGCTAATAATTTTAATCTGTCGGAGGGGCAGAAGGGTGATTGGTTTGGAATAAACATAGTATCCCTTTGCCCCCTCCTCCCCAGAGTCCCCACACCAGTGATGGGCCATAAATTGGACCCCTGATCAACTAAAATGGCTGCCAGACAGACAGAAATAAGCACACTGACAGACTGTTGCCAGACTGGGCTTGCTTTACATTGTCCAGTGGAATGTACACATTAGGGTGTGTAGACAACGGTGATACTGAGAGGGTGCAGCCCAGGTTCACAGGGTCAGGGGCTGTCTGGGAACACATGTGCAGACATAGACAACATGAAGGAGAAGAGTCAATGGAAAGGCATTTGTTATAATGCCTTTCCTCTGTAGCTCAATGTGGTCCTCTGTAGCTCAATTGGTAGAGCATGGTGCTTGTAACGCCAGGGTAGTGGGTTCGATCCCTGGGACCACCCATACGTAAAAATGTATGCACACATGACTGTAAGTCGCTTTGGATAAAAGCGTCTACTAAATGGCATATTATATTATTATATATAAAAGAAAAAGTGTTATGCAATGGTCATATTTAGCCTCTTTAAAAGAATGTACTTTAGTATTGATCAAAATATTACATCAATCAAAAAGTGTCCATCCTTTGTGATGATTTTGAAATATAGGAACAGGATGCAGACATTTACTCCAACCAATTTGTAATCATCTCATCCTGCAAACTAACATTACTTAGAACTACTACAAATAAAGTAGGCTAATAGATGTATGCCTCTGGATCAATTCAATATTTTCAACCCACAACAATCCAATAACTATACTGTCTTTTTACCACAAATGTCTCTGCATACTAATGCTTTTGTGACAAACATCACTAGACTTCCCATTGATATGGAGTAGACTGAATGTTACAAATGCTTTGTATCAAATTGTAGGCTATAAATTGTATAAATCCCTGTATGATTCTAGAGGAATGGTGTTCAAATGACCCAATACATGAAACAGATACAATACATAATTTGGGGAGATGGTTGCCTTTGAAGTATGGCACTTCTGATGTCTTGACCAGGAGGTGGCTTTTAATGTCACACCTTTGTTGAGATAGCCCCCCCCCCCCCCCCCCCCCCATCCCTCTCCTCCTCATTGTGCGAACGACTGACTGGGAGGGCCAGGGGCTTATAAGGGCCGGCCCGATGTCAGAGTGCCACTGTCTCTCTCTGAGCTACTTTGCTACTGTACTTCTCTTCTCTCTGCTGGACACGGCACCCTCTTGGAAGATTTACGATGGATTTGCTCCGTGCTTGCGTTTTGTGCGCTGCTGCTTTCGTCACCGTCTCCAAGGCTTTTACGCACAACGACATGAAGGATGTCCTGCTTCAAAAACTTGGGCTAGATGATGTTCCGAAAATTCACAAAAGGGATTTGGAGAATCTTGTCATCCCGGCGCACATTAAGAATAAATATCTGTCAATGCTGAAGCTGCACCACGACAGGCGGCGCAGGTCTCTGCCAAGCTTGGCGGGGATCCTGAGGGGAATTCGAGGAAATGCAGGTACAATCATTTTTCAGTACAGACATAAATAAAATGCTTATTATATCTGAATTATATTTTGCTATATAAATTAGCAATTATATTTACTTGGATGTTGCGGACCAATTTTTGGCATATAAGCACAAATGACTTTTTTATGCACTGGCATTTTGTGCGCACTCATAGTTTTGTTTATGCAATTGTCCATTCCAACCCACTCATATTTTTTCGGATTTTATATTCAACACCTAAGCATTTCTATGTTCTGTTTTATTAGATATCTCTGGGGAGTTTGTGTACTCGGACACCACTCGGCAACGGATGGTCTTCGACATGGATAACCGCATCCCCCAAAACAGCGAGGTGACCATGGCAGAACTGAAACTGTACAATAAAGCCCCGAACAAGCGCTCCATGCCCGAGAGAAGGAACCACCGGCCGGTCAACAACGCCAGAGTCTCCATCTACTGGGTAGATATGCTGGAGAACGGCTCTAACAGAACCTCTCTGGTGGACTCACGGTAAGATTTTACGCAAAGCCATGTCGTGTCCAGATCATTTCCGTTAGGCTATGTGTTGTTCTTTGTTCTTATCATTTAGACTGTATGTGCAAGGTTTTTAATCAACCATTTCCTGTAGGTTGATCCCTATCCATGAGACCGGCTGGAAAAGCTTTGATGTCACTCAGGCTTTGCACTATTGGTCAAAGACGCAGCAAAAAACACCTATGCACCTGGAGGTGTGGATAGAGGGCGAGAGACCTGGCAGCTACGCGGCAGAAATTGCCAAGAGTGTCCACTTTACCACCCAGGACCAGGCGGACAATACCTTGGGAAAACCTGAGCTGGTCCTCTACACACTCAACCTCGAAGAGTTTGGGTAAGGCGCGCTTTGATATGTAGAATGTATAAATAGTGTAACACCGGTTCGGTGACAATTGTCATACCTTTAGGCTACACATTAATTAGTACAAGTTAACTAACGACTCCCTATTTGGTTTCCGCATAGGTCTCGAGGCGACTGTGAAAACAACCCATATAAGGACAAGTGCTGCAGAGAGAAATACTTCATCAATTTCCGCGCGCTCACGTGGACCCAGTACTGGATCATCGAGCCAGCTGGGTACCAGGCCTTTAGATGCGCGGGGGGGTGCAAGCAGCCCAAGCGCAACTACGGCTACGGGGAGAGGAAGTGTACCATCGCAGAGAGCGCCCCGCTGCCCATGATGTACCTGGTCAAGAAGGGCGACTACACCGAGATAGAAGTGGCGGAGTTCCCCAACATGATCGTGGAGTCGTGTGCCTGTACAATGGACAACATTTCCATAGTTTGAAGTCAAGCGTTTGGGACTGGCCAGGACAATTCCATTTTTACATTTTTAGTCATTTACCAGACGCTCTTATCCAGAGCGACTTACAGTTAGTGAGTGCATACATTTGTTCATTCTGTCCCCCCGTGGGAAACGAACCCACAACCCTGGCGTTGCAAGCGCCATGCTCTACCAACTGAGCTACACGGGGTCCTTCCAAATGCACTTCCAGTACTTTTCTATTTAAAATGGGAATGATCAGGGCGAGCTGAAGGCTGTAATCAGAGGGAGCATGGCAGATCTCTTGAGACAAACTCTATCCAAGCACTTTATTATATTTTGTAAATAATGAATTCATAATTTTGCCTTTGTATGAATGGTATACTGTACCACTCAGAAGAAACTGAATGATTTGATCTCAGATGTTATATTTTTGAGCTGTAAATACTATGAATTTCATGATTAAATAGAACCATTTTTTTATTAAGAAGTATGATTTTGTTCTTATTTTTCATGAGGCACGATTGGGAAAATTACACTATGACAGCCATTAAGGTATCCTTACACCCACAACAGATACACTTGACTTCAGCTAAGCCTTCATAAACCTTGTCATCCTTATTTAGCACTGTATTTAGTTGGTAATGATAAGTCAATAACCATTATTTATCTAATGACTTATAACTTGTTTCAGTGAAAGAGCATTAGGCGGGGACTGTCATGGTTAAATAGATTTGTTGAGCATAATTTACATCAGCTTCCTGGCTGAGTGTGCTGGTTGTTTGATTCCATTAGGATGAGCCGGTGGCCATATAGGGAACAGACACTGTCACACAAACCCAGAGGCCATATTTACATCTCCATGTTTACATCCGGCTTAGCAGATAAATAGGCCCCAGACATAGTCAAGAAGAGAGAACTCCATAGACAATCAAGGCTCAATTGCAGACTGCGGGGGTCTTGTCATTTTAATGGGGTACTCAAGGCTTTAGAGCTGAGGGCACCCTGTTGTGTGCTCTTGGTTTGGAAAATAAGCTTGTGTCAGCCACAGACTTCTGATATGTTATAGCAATAGGCAGCTAGGTTTCCTCCTATATCACATTTTCAGATATAAAGTGGACCTTTAGGGCCGGTTTCCCAGACACAGTTAAGCCTAGTCTTGGACTAAATATTACTTTTAATGGAGATTCTCCATTGATCAAGTCCAGGACTAGGCTTAACTACAGTGCTTAACTTGCATGGAGCCCCAGACCGAGGGTGTCTTTTATACAGGTAACGAGTTCAAACAGGTGCAGTTAATACAGGTAATGAGTGGAGAACGGGAGGGCTTCTTAAAGAAAAACTAACAGGTCTGTGAGAGCCGGAATTCTTACTGGTTGGTAGGTGATCAAATACTTATGTCATGCAATAAAATGCTAATTAATTACTTAAAAATCATACAATGTGATTTTCTGGATTTTTGTTTTAGATTCCGTCTCTCACAGTTGAAGTGTACCTATGATAAAAACTACAGACCTCTACATGCTTTGTAAGTATGAAAACCTGCAAAATCGGCAGTGTATCAAATACTTGTTCTCCCCACTGTATGTCCAGGAAACCTTCCCTTGGAGATTTGGAGGAAGAAGCACTTGTTTTTTTATAATCATTCACTTTATTGATAATATGACAAAAATACTTAGAAAACATAACTGAAGCATCAACACAAATATCAAAACATTGTCCAATAAAAAAAGAGAACTCTCAGCAGGAAGAGAAAAGCCGTAAGTTGCTTACAACATAATGAATGAGTATATTGAAAATATTTAGCTGAGAGGTAATATACACACACTGCTGAAATAGTAATAATATTTTTTTTAAAATCTGTTTGGTTGGGGTATTTTTAACTTGAATTATTGAGCAGAATACTTAAAATCAGTTCATGGACATCCATGCAATTTGACATGATAAAAAAAAAAAATATGTCAACTATACAGCACACCTGGTCATACAATTTTAAATAAGCTAATGAAACAATTACTAAATATACTGACAATACAATTTTGTCTTGTTTTCAATGATCTAGCAACACAATGTTACAGTGGAACACACATCACTTTAACACTGCTGGTAGGCTACTCAGCCTGAGCTATGCCATTGTCGTGCTACACTGCCACCAATTCATTTGAACAGAGGGTTCACACACCTCAACCATATGTGACTGACTTGGTTTGAACCTGGATCGTCTGTGTGCCATAAGACTGTTAGCCCACTGAGCTTTAGCCTGGGCATTAGCATTGAGAGATAAGAGCATTGGGCCAGTAACCGAAAGGTCGCTGGTTCAAATCCCCGATCCAACTAGGTGAAACATCTGCCATTGTGCCCTTGAGCAAGGCACAACCCTAATTGCTACTGTAAATCACTCTGGATAAATTACACTCAAATGTAAAGACTTCAGGTCTCTAACCTCCATTACACATACAAAACTCAATGTCTGCTGTAGTGTGTGTTTCAATGTCACGGTCACTTCTAGTAGCAGTGAGGGTATGGGTGGGTATACACTGAAATGTAGGCCTTTATTTGCTGGTGTAAATGCAAACCGCTGTAGTTTTTAAATCACCACCCATTTCAATATAGCCTCCACCTGAGTGTTGAACATATGTGCTAAACCAGCCACAGAATGTGGACCGTTCCATTAAAGCATAGTAGTTCAAATTAGCCTGGTCCCAGATTTGTTAGTGCTCTTGCCAACTCAATTGTGGTCATTGACTCTGGGAGAATCTCAATTCCATATGTCCCGCTCCTCTGACATTCTCCTCCAACGGTTGAGGCAAGAACACAATTGAGATACTCACACTAATCAAAACCTAAACCTAAAAATGCCACACCAATCAACCAAAAAGTTCTCATGGACAAATTAAAAGGAACCGCTCTTCAATTTACACCTGAGAATCAAGCCTCGTCAGAGCCATGATCAGTAATGTGCGCTATTATAACGAAATATACAAAATCACAAAATAAAGAATGACAATATCAAAAGGGATAATGCAGTATTTAAAATTGCTTCTAATATCCTACAGAAATGGCTTTGCTCAAATATTTATTCAAAGCACAATGCATCCAGATGAACAGGTATCTCTTGCAAAAGAGTCTCAATGAGATTAAACTGTATCATTAAAAGGTGAAAAGAAAAGTTGTGTATTAATTGATGAATTACATCAATAAGTAGCACATTGTGAGGTGCTAACTGTGTAGATATGATAGGGCAGATGTCCTTGTTGTTTGAAGTAGCAAACCAGGCCATTGCCCATTCAAAAGATACTTTAGGTAACCTTTGAACTCAAGTAAAAGTCATAAGCCATAGACTTCTGCAAAAAGCAAAATGGGTTGTTTATTGTAAATCTACGAAGTTTAGATTACATGCTTGATGTTTTAATAAAAATAAAATAAAAAGACAAAAACAAAGTGTTGTTTGAAGCAAAATTACTGTTTGTTGCTTACAGACTACATATACAATCACTAACAATACTATAGCTACCATGCCTCAAAAGATAGTTCCTTTCGGTTATTAAGTGTTCCCACTTCTTATACAAACAAATGCAACTAAGCAAGACAATATTTACATTTTGTAAAAATAAAAGAAAATCACATTACACAGAAAATGCACAACCCTGAAAATATTTCAAACATGTCACTGAAGCAGAGCAAAAATGTTGCGGTTCGTGATGTATGTTTCTCAAACATGGGATTTTTAAAAGCATGTGATTTCTTTAAAATGTGGGGAAAATATCATAAAATGTACAAAATCAAATGAAAAACCCATAAAGCTTAAGAGAGACTCCTCTCCTTAGATGTGGAATGTTGCTCCATCGTCTTGTCTTTTGTTTTTAATTTAAAAAGGGGGTTCTAGAAAAGGGGGGGGGGGGGGCAGGGGGTCCGTGGCTAGTGGTGGGTTACCATTAATGGCCACCAGTCCTTTTGATCAGAAAGTCTTTAATAGTATCCTGGCTGATACTGCTGGCTCCATGGTTTCTGGTTCCAAAACTGGGGACACAGAAAGAAAATTAGATGCAGACAAAAAAAAAAAAAAAAAAAAAACTATTAAAAAGTGACACTAGGCCTGACAATGCAAACTTCCCCAGTTTGCGTTCTCAGCCTCAAAGTATACACCACCATCCAGAATGAATAGTCACAATACCCATAAAACCTAGCGGTCAAACAGGGAAATTACATTTACATTATTTAGCAGACGCTCTTATCCAGAATGACTTACAAATTGGTCCATTCACCTTATAGCCAGAAATAAGGTTCCAATTGTTTTTCCACCATTCATTTTTACCATAGGGGATTTTAGAAACACTTAAAATAAGGACTATTTCGTGTAGGCTTACCCTGGCGTGCCGTTTTGATAACCGTGTAAATCTCTCTAGGACAAGGTGACTTATCAATATATTTGCATGTATTTACCCCCAAAAATGAAATGCTAATTATCTGCAAATGTGGCTATCATAAAGAACTACAAATGCCATGATCTGGAAGAGACTGCCGAAACAAGGCAAAGGTAAGAATCTCTGGATTAACTATCTAATGTTAGCTAAATAAAGTGATTAACATTTCTTTAAATTGACAATACTGTTAACTGTTTTGTGCAGGTTTTAAATTGACAATCCCTGTTAGCAAAGGTGTCAGGTAGATATGACGTGCAGGAGCTTGCAGGGATTTGTAGTTTTGCATGTCGTCTACTTAGATGCTAATTAGCATTTTCGAATCCGTAAATAGAGCCGAATATATTGATAAAAGTCACCTTGTCCTAGAGAGATTTACACGGTTATCAAAACATCACGCCAGGGTAAGCCTACACAAAACACAGCCCTTATTTTAAGTGTTTCTAAAATCCCCTATGGGAAATATGAATGGTGGAAAAACTATTGGAACCATTTCCCTGTTTGACCGCTAGGTTTTATGACACCTCCACAGTGGGGCTCTATAGACCCTGGCTGCATTTACACATGCAGTCCAATTCTGATCTTTTGCCCAGTTATTAGCAAAAGACCAATTAGTGAATAAAGATCAGTATTGGTCTGCCTGTGTAAACACAGCCATAGTGTGAGAGAAAAAAAAAAACTACAAACATGGGAGGACACATTCAATTGCAGTACAAGGCTAACAAGCTAGGATTTCCCTTTGACCTCAAAACAGAGACTCACCCCTTGCTGCCAGCTCTGGTTGAAGGCCTGAGCCTTGTCCATGCCGAATCCTCCACGTCCTCCACCGGTCCTGTTGTCCCCAAATCCCCCGCCACGTCCTCCACCATTCCTGCTGCCCCCAAATCCGCCGCTGCCATTCTTGTTGCCAAAATTCCCACGGCTGTTGCCTGCTCTGGGCTGGAACCCCTGGGGAGAGAGACAAGAAAACGTATTAACATCTCGCTAATAAACTAACTAAGTCGCTCTGGATAAGAGCGTCTGCTAAATGACTAAAATTTTAAAATGTAAATACACAATTATAGCAATAACTTTTTGATAACACCTTATTTGGATAGTTCCCTAAAGATGGTTTATAAATGTAATGTATCAACTAACCAACTCTAATCTTACCAAATTGCTGAATATCAACGAGTTGTCACGGTCAGCATCTACACAACTTCTATAGAGGGTTACCCAAATAAAGTAAAGCCAACTTGTAATTCTCCATTGCTGCGACCAATCCCACCTGGTTGAAGTTGCCCCTGTTTCCACCGCCTCCTCGGCTCATGTGACCTCCGCCTCCTCGGCTCATGTGACCTCCGCCTCCTCGGCTCATGTGACCTCCGCCTCCTCGGCTCATTGGAGGACCGCCTCTGTTCATGGCTCCACCCCTGTGGCCCCTCATTGGTCCCCCTCTTGGGGCCCCTCCCTGGGGGGCCATGAGTCCGCCGCCCCTGTTGAAGTTGCCCCGGTTGGCGAATCCACCTCTGAATGCTGGAGGGGGCATGAACCCTCGAGGGGGGCGAGTGAACCCACCACGTGGGCCTGGAGCTGGGTGGAGGCAGACATGGACATCGGTTAGACTGGGGTTGAATCTTAATGATCTAAAATGGCTTCCTAATTTTGTGCTCATCTCCACTATTTAATAACTACAGGAAAAACTTAAGTGAAAGGGCAGAGGCCCATCAAGAGGTTTGATTTGCCTTCACCTGTCCAGTCCTATCAGATCATTGCAGATGAAACAAGGAAAGTTTTAGCAATTTAGCAAGGCTAAAAACAGGGTCAAAACCTGCCATGCCAAAACCCTAATCATCTGACCAATATGGCCAACAATCATGACCCCCACCTCCTCTGAAGTTGCCCCTCTGCTGGAAGCCACCTCGTCCACCTCCTCTCTGGCCGGGTCCACCTCCGCGGTTGAACTGGTTCTTGCCTCTGCCTCCCCCCCGGACACCACCTCCTCTCTTGGGGGTCAAGGACCCCTGGTTGGGCTTCTTCTCAGCGGGCAGGGCCGCCTTGCTCTCCTCCTTGTACTGCTCCACCAGCTTGGAGGCATCCTCCTTCTGCAGCTCAGCGTAGCTCACCTCAGCGAAGCTCTCGCCCTCCTCTGGCAGGGTGAAGAATCCTAGGGAAGAGCCAAGGAGATGGTGTTCATGGACAGCTTAAGAACACCATCTTATGATGTCCATCATAGCAAAAACGAGATTTGTAGTGATGGTGAGAGCTGGTGTGGAAGTTGCTGTGTTCCTCCCGCCAGGTCCAGAGGCAGGGGTACAGCCCCTGACCCAGGGTTTAGGAGAGAGGGTCACTCTGCCCCCCTGATATGGCCACTTGTGATACAGACAGCCACAAGTGGGCAAAGCTTAAAAGGGGCTAGCCATGCTTACATGAAAACAAAACTCGTTTTTGGGAGACTATCAGTGTGCGTGTGTGGGTACCCTTTATGTATTCCTACAAACTTTCTGAAGGCTTTTGGATTAGTGCTAAAGACGTAAAGTCACTAGCTTTTTAGCACAGTAGGAGACTACTTTTAACAGTTTTAGTAGTAAAGTAGCTCATCTCACGTTGTTACCTTTCATTTTGAGGAGAGCGTGCTCGGGCACTTCTTTGCCATCGCTCTCTGCCTTCTTCTGGGCCCTCTCCTTGTAGTGGTCGTCTGAGGGACAGACCACCACAGCCTTCCGCTGGTACCCAGCAAATAGACACATCTTCCTCTTTTGGCCTGGGGCAGACAGGTTGGTCTGGGCAGAGGAAGGAGGAGAAATTACTTATATTGACTCATTGTGTGATTATAAATAATGATGATTTGGGCTGCTTTGTTGGCACTTTATGCACTAAGTACTAGCCGAAGATCTGTCTACACTATATAATGATGTACACATTTTTACCTGTATGTACTGTATGTTCCATGTGTATTCAAATATCTACTTTTCTATTCACAATAAGTACTAAAAGGTCAGTGTTCAACTTGTAAGAAATCATTGGCTATGATGGAATTTGATTGAATATCAAGCCTTACGTGGTCCAGGATATAGTTCCTCTTCTTGCGAGCAGCGATCTCAATGAACTTGCCCAGGAATAGAGGTGCACGCTGGGAAATGGCCGTGAGCTTTGTTGTGTCCTTCGCCTGACGCTTCAAGCTGCCAATCTACATACATTAAAATGAATGGCGTAAGAGACTTACAAGATTCAACATAGATGCAGGACAGGATATAGTCCTACAGTGAAGATAGGACCAGGGACTGCTTATACAACAATTAGGATAGGACTGGAAGTTAACTACTAGGACCTCATTGTAAGACGGGTGCAGAGAGAACCTGTTCTAAAATACCGAGGGCTAGAAACACCATGACCTAGTATAACACTGACCATCATCTTCTCCACGATGGTGTCGCTGCCCAGGATGTAATATTTCCCAGGGTTCTCCTGGATGTGCTTGTTGACCCAGGTGCTCTTTCCTGAGCCAGGCAGGCCCACCATGGCAATCACCTACCACAACACACACACAACTGATCAGTAACAGTGGTGGAAGGAGTTATGCACATACAATAATCAACAGAGTTTGAGGAAAAAGGCCCTAGAAATATGTGAATCATTATCTGATACAAATTTTACAAGCGGTTTATTCTGAAATATACATGTTAAACTTAAGGATAGATCCCATTGCTAGGGAGGCCTTTGTGTCAATCAAATCACTGCCAGTGATGTTTTGGGTTGCCATAGTTACCTCGCAGTCCTTCTTGGTGTCGGGTGCCTTGGGTCCACGGACACGGTCGTCCACGGCTACCTGCTGCAGGAAGGTGTAGCCCTCTGGTTGGGGGAAGTAGGGCGTGTCCATCTGGCCAAAGTTGAACTCCACAGCACAGTTGTGGCAGATGACGTGGGGGAAGAGAGCTTTCCCTGCTAGGGACTCCTTACTGGCCTGGAAGGCCACCACTGGCTCATTACCGTTCTTAGAAAAGGACATCTCCACCTCCTCGCCCTCAAAGTTCTGCAATAGATTATTTTTTAAATATGGATTTTCAGCTTGTAGTTTCAATGTACAATATAGCATTGACAGTTCAAAATGTTAGGTACCAACAAGGAAGTTCTCATCCCACACGTATAATCCCCCAATAGAAAACGAAGTTATTGGTTGGTTTTGATGGGTTTATGTGGACATACAGGATTACTTCCTAAACTGAGGATATTGCAGACAACTTACATCATTGACTATCATGTAATCGAAATGCTTTGTTTTTTTTGACAGGCCTCATTGACGAGGAATTCTTGACACCACGTGAAAGTCTGAATATTCATTTAAATCATCGGCCTGTGCATTAAGAATATTACGTTATTGCAACTAGTAAGGATAAATGAAGAAAGTTCTTACGATGAGGCAGCAGATGACGTCGTTCTCGTCATAAGTCTCCTCGAAATCTTCAGTCACGCAATTGGTGGTTTTCTTGCCTTTGCCAGAGTAGGCATAGGAATGCTCCTCCTCACCTGTAATGGCAATATAACTCACATCAGACATGATACACAGCTGAATAGGTGATGCAACTAAAACTCTAGAATTAGAACTAGAATTTTGTCATTTAAATTATTTTGGGAGTTCAGTGTTTCTGCACTCATTCCATAACACTGCATTGTCGCCTTGCAAAATACAACTGACACACAGGCTATGTTCCAGTTCCATGTCATGCTCCCTAACAACCTCTAGAGGGTGCCAACATCCCATAAGAACCATTATATTTTGGAAAAAAACCATACCCATTTACATTTACATTTGAGTCATTTAGCAGACGCTCTTATCCAGAGCGACTTACAGTTAGTGAATACATTTTTTTTTTTTATACTGGCCCCCCGTGGGAAACGAACCCACAACCCTGGCGTTGCAAACGCCATGCTCTATCAACTGAGCTACATCCCTGCCGGCCATTCCCTCCCCTACCCTGGACGACGCTGGGCCAATTGTGCGCCGCCCATGAGTCTCCCGGTCGCGGCCGGCTGCGACAGAGCCTGGATAACCCATTGGAGACTGACCGAGGAGCAGACTGCCAGTAGCCAGGGACCATCCAACCTGGACCTCATGGACCTCCATGTTCTTACTGGAGATGTGCTTCACTGGGATCTTCTCAGTTATCTGAAGGCACAATATTACATTGGTCATGTTAGCAGCAAATAGTATAATGGCCTACATTAGGCATTTGATAGCACAACCAGGCGATGAAAAATCTACTGGTGCATTTAAAATGATAAAATGGAGATATAACAAACGATAAATGGGTTTCTGAGGTCAGAATGTTATGAATTCCCAATTACTAATGAAATGAAAACTGGGCTAGGCTAAAGACGCCGAGCGTTTCTCCTTACCTTCATCTCGTAGCAGGCCTTGCCCTGGGACAGCCCGTACGAGGCCCTGCCCCCAGACCACAGGTAGGCAAAGCTCTCCATGGTGAGAGAGGAGGCGCTGTAACGGTCCCGGGACACCTTGAAGTGCAGGTCGCAGTTATCTGGGACACAAAGAAACAAACACGTAACTTCCCTCTTTTCAGTCCCCTGACATGTCTAGATTCTAGTGTCATATCCAAAATCGGCCCCTAGGCCCTATCCGCTATGCACTAGCGGAGATTTGAGAATATTGAACAGGTGTAGGCAATCTGGCAAGCTAATCTTCACAAGTGCATAGGGGCAGTAGTAGGGCCTAGGGGTTGATTTGGGATTGGGTGTAGGCACATTACTTCTGCAAAAGTGTTTGTAGAGGGATTAAATAAACCCAGCACCGTTTGTCCATGTATACACCAAACATGACTCACAGTTGTCCAGGCAGACTGTTGTATCGTCAAACTCCTCATCTTCCTCCTCCAGGGGTGGTAGTGGAGACTTGAGACTAGGCCTGAAAGAGAACACACAGCCAGTCAGCCACAACGTCTGAGATTTAGAACTTTTCGCACGGAACCAGAATGCACTCGCAGGGCGGCCATCCGGTTGTGACCTCCGAGAGGGCTAGCAGTGGAAAGAGTTCAGACTATGGGCAGAAATGGAACCAAATAGAACTCCAACATTTAAGCTACTGAGTCTGTTGGTTTTGACAATCATGATGAAACAGCATCACTTACCTGCAGTGGTCCACTGGTGCCTCAAAGCAATGGCCAAAAATGAAAATAAAACTAGTCCTTGGGGCTATATTTCTTATTATAAAACGCATTAACAGCCAATAGGCCTCACTATGGGCAGAAACTGTGTTTATGGCTTTGGAGATTGCTGGAAGGTCATGCAGTATAAAGGGCTGCTGGATATATTTAACTCTGTGTGTGGAGCTGCTCTCACTAAAGGTCAAATGAAGCTGCTGCCTCGTGGTCTTGGAACAGACAGAGGCTCGCAAGCTAGCTCCACGTAGCCTAGAGGGGCTTCAACTGTGTGTGGCAAGAGTTTCTAATAACCCAGCGACTGTAGTGATAAAAAGCTGAACTTGTTTGGAAATGTTGTGCCACACCGACTTACCAACAAAGGCACTCAGAACCAGAATCAAGCTGTTGCCAAGTTGTGTTTATGAAACTAGCCTTGAAATATTGACTAGGAGTATCAAAACATGAGGATGAGTGTGTCCACAGAATGTAGACTGAAGCATTTGCAGAACTAAACCCTGCCTCCGGCAAAGGAGGAACGCCATAATGCAGCAGTGATCTTCGATCTTTGCATCAAAACCTGTACTTGGTCATCTTGCACAGTCCTTACTATGGCCACTGGTGCTGTAGGGTCAGACCCATTGGCCTATCTCAACATTGGTCAGACCAAGGAGCATAAGCCAGTATAGTGTGTGGTTTAGCCAACAGCTACAAGGGGCTCTGCTGCACAGTCAAAGGATCAGCCACCAGGTCCTTTATTTGTTTACACAGGCTAGAGTGACATTCTGAGATGACAAGATAACCGCTCACTGGGTCGATGAAAACAAAATAGGGTTCCAGATACACACATGGGGGAGGGTCGTTTCCCAGACAGGTCAGCCTAGTCCTGGACTAAATAGCATACTCAATGGGGAATCTCCATTTGAAGTTATTTTAGGTCCTGGGCTAGGTTAAAGTGACCTGTAGAGTGAGAAAGCATTCCTGTAAAAAAAATCAACCACACTGAATATAATGATGACACGGTGGAGAGAGACATACTTTGACATAAAAACAAACATTCAAAAAAGACAATACAGTGCGAGCAGGAACAATGAGCGGTCAGTGGAGAGTACCAATCTCTAATTCGAGCGTCCGGAAAAAAGTGCTACATCCTTGTGTGCCCTTACGCGACCCCCACCCCACCTCTCCCAACCCATCATCTGCTACTCTTCCATTAGTTTGTTTTTTTTTGCAGCTTTGCGTCACCCTGTCAGTGTACACAATAAGCCTTCCTGCACAAAGAGAGTGAATGTGGAACAATAGAAAATTCATAAACTGTTGTCCATTTCTCTTACTACATTATGCAGTCCATAAGGGGTGTATGTGGGCACTGCATTTGTAATAATGGTAAGGTTCATTTAAAAGCCAGGGATGACCCTCAATTCAAACATGTATGAAATTTACATAATGTTGACAAAAGTTAGTTAAGTGAGGGTTTTGGCGCTAATTAATGCATTGGCGCTTAAAGCCAATACAGTTCACATAGCTGTGATGGCGCTTCAGACATACCGAAGGCCATTTTGTCTCCCATCCTTACCAGCTGTATTTGTTCTCTTCAATAAATTCAAAGTAGCCCCTTCCATGTTCCTCCCGGCGTCTCTTAACACCCTTCTTATTCTTCTGATCAGCATTCGTGTCTCTGTCCGCATCCCCTTAGGAAATAAAAGAAGAATATAATGAGGTGCTCCTTTATTGATAGGTCGCACTGTGGCTGTGGTGGGCCCACATAGACGACTAACTTGTTGTCCATTAGGACCCCATAGCTTTCTGAAGTTGAAGAAAGACAGTAGAAGGCTACAGCTGTTTTGACCAGGGAGTAGGGTTGATTACATTGCAGCTGGTCAACAATACAGAACATCAAATGTAAAGAGATGTAAACAATCACGACAAAATAGTCAAATGGGCACAATAACCCAGCTACGGTTAGAGTTATTAAAATGGGTAGGGAAAATAGACCATTGTCAATCTGTCCCTGATGTTGGGGTCAATACAATGGTTTACTGCGGCAAGTCAGCCAAGAAAGCCGAAATTGAACTGCAGACTATCCTCCATTGACCCCCTTCCCCCACAATGCCATACGCGGCTAGCTTACTAGTTAGCTTGACAGCTAGCTAGCTAATCCTTGTTCATTCAGTTACCTAACTACTGTTTTCAAACGGTTTGCTTTTAGCTAGCTACATTTCTACTAGGACCAGTTTATTAGAACCCGTTTGTAGACACATTTATAATACTAAGTCGTAGTTAGAACCACTAACCTACCAAAACCAGCACCTGCCGAATCTTGTCCACCGTCTGCTAGCGTCGCGAGTTAGCCATGCTAGTTAGCAACTACACAAAAGAATGCTAGCTAACTATGCTATCTAGCTAGGCTAACCACCCAAACAGCAAAAAAGTAATTCAAGCGTGAGCCCAATGGTGGTCTGACTTAATGTAGTAGGACCTAGTTAAACAATATTTACCCAATTTTCTAGCTACACTAACGTTAACTAGCTAACAAATATACAACGAAACTAATTTCGCGAACGCACCCGGCGACATACTATAGGCTAACGACGTTAGCAATAACATGTGACACCCAGCCCAATAATTTTCAAAAATCACGGAACCAGCGACTCACCCTCTGCTGGATGGTCTCCAGGCTCACCATCCTCTGCATCCAACGTAATTTTCTCCATGTCGTCCACACCTTCCTTCAGCATTGGATCCATTTCTTCCTCTTCTCCCTCACCCATTTCTTCGTCCTCCTGGGCCGCGTTCTCTTCCTCCTCGCATTCGTCCACGACCGCGGCGTCTCCCTCTCCGTTTCCATTCTCTTCCTCCTCGTTGGCTTCCATGCTTTCTTCGACCGGGCCCTCGTCTTCATCTTCCCCCATGTCCTCTTGGTCATCAGCGGCGGCGGCGTCGTCGTCGTCTCCCCCCTCCGGGCTGTCTCCCTCCGCGGCCTCCAGCCCAAGGGGAGAATCTCCAGCCAGGGCCTCTTCGTCAAGCGCGGCCTGCAGCCGGTCCATCAACTCGGCCTTCAACCCCTTGTCCGACAGCTGACGCTTTTTCAGCTCGTCCTTCAACTCGTTTACTTTCAGTTTTTTTACGTTGATTGAACTCATTTTGATATCTGTATAAAAACACTAAACCGAAACACGATGTTAAAATAAAGTAAAATTACAACAAAGACGGGAAATTCTGTAAAGGACGCTATGCAAGTTCATGTATTTTTAACTGCGCCAAATGGCAGTAGCGTTTACAGTCCTTTTCACCGGCTTGTGGGCGCCAATGGAAGCAAACCCCTCCCGAATTCTCCTTCTATGATATAATGGCAAACCAACGTTAAAGGTGCATGCCGCCACCTACTGTGCTGGAGTATGTGGTCAATCACGGTTTACAACATTTCTAAATCCTCCTACCTAACGCAGGACTTCTGAGAAAATAAAAAAAGAGCCCTACTAATTTCTAAACGACCCCCCATCCCCAAAATCCCTTCCAACCCCCCCCCCCCCCAACCTCAATAACCCTACACTTCAATCTCTCCCTCTCTTCAACATACTTACAACAATATAACAACACATGCTCCACCGTTTCATCGACAATACACTCCAGACACAAACCATTCACATGCTTGCCAACCAGATGACGAGTTCAATGTAAAATGTCCTAAGCGCAATCGAGCAAACACCACCTCTTTCTTCCTAATCTGACCTTTGAATCTTGGTCCACTGACCTTTCTTTGGAGGGCAAAGTCCCATATCTTCTACCACACATCTATCAAAATGGCTATGATCTTACATTTGGCCTCACCTCTACCCAGTGGAACATTAATATAAATTATATCTTGTTCCAAAGTTATTTTGGCTAACTGGTCTACAATTTCATTCCCTTCCACACCAGAATGTGCTTGGACCCAGCAGAACCTCACTACTGCACCCATTCTCCCAATTTGTAAGTCGCTCTGGATAAGAGCGTCTGCTAAATGACGTAAATGTAAATGTAATTCTCCATAATAACATGAATACCTCCAATAGTAGGTCACTCCTATTAGATTTACCAGATGATAAACTATTCAATACAGACAGGGAATCTGAGAATACTATAATTCTAACAGGTTGTACGTCCTCCACCCACTGGAGGGCAACTACTATCGCCAACAGTTTAACTGAGTATACTGACAGTTCATTTGTTAGTCTTCTACCCCGCCCGTATTCTTCTTCTTCTTGTGCGTTTCCGGCAGACTAGACGCTGTATTGCTGCCTTTCTCAGGTCGGAGTGCGAATTACACATTTAAGTATCTAATAGCCTCACACCCGTAGGTGCCAACCGGTGGAATAGAGAAACGAGAACAGCTTCCTTGCTATTTCACTCTGCCTATCATTTGGGCCCAAAATTGTTACAAGCGAAAATGCGGTTACATCCTCAGCATACCACCTGCAATATAACAGGACATGCTTCACAGTCTCTACCTCCCCACATTCCTCACACTTCCCATCTGGGTGTTTCCACACTAACAATAACTCATTTCCCAATCCACAATGACCCAACCTCAGCCTTGTCAACAGAACCCCATCCCTCTTTTCACTCCCCAGATACCTACTGACCTTCCTCACAGAATACTGGATAGAGAAATACTGCCTTCCCGCTCCTCTTTCTCCCATTCACGCTGCCACTCCTGGGTCAACCCCTCTGCTGGGATGCTCCTACATTCCATCCCCCCTAACAGGACCACCACATCGACCTACTCCCTCTTCAGAGCTGCCTTCGCTACCTTATCTGCTACCTCATTTCCCCTATCCTAACATGAGCTGGGACCCACAGAAAACCTACCTTACACCCTTCCTAAAGTGCCATCAACTGCTCTATTATAAAATACATATACATTTTATTGTCACATACACCAGACAGGTGAAGTGAACTGTGTTGTTTTACAGGGTCAGCCATAGTAGTACAGCACCCCTGGAGCAAACTAGGGTTAAGTGCCTTACTCAAAGGCACATGGGCAGATTTTCATATAGTCGGCTCGGGTATTCAAACCAGCAACCTTTCGGTTACTGGCTCAATGCTCTAACCACTAGGCTACCCACCACCCTCAGGTCTGGTGTACCTGCTTCCCTCAGATGCCATCAGGTCTGGGTGTGCCTTTGACTTCCGTTCTCTAAGCGTGACCAGCCTAGCAGAAGAGTCTGAACACAAAATTACCCTTTTAGGCCCCACTTCTTCCACCCATCCCAATGCCCACACTAGTGCTAGCATTTCAGCAGAGAAGACTGAAGCTCCGTCAGACAGCCGCCTACTCTGGTGTGTCTGAAAGTGGGGAACATGTATCCCAAACCCTGCTCTCCCACTGCCTGGGTCCCTTGACCCATCTGTGAAGATCCGCAATTAGGGACTCCACGCCCGCCTCAGATGCGCCTCAACAACCACAGGAGGCTCTCCGCAGTCCTCAGCCCTTATTTAATCAATAATTGTCATTTCAACATCAGGCTCCGGCAACAGCCACCGAGAAACACAAGGCCAGCAGACAGGGGCCCCAATAACCTGATAACCTTATGTGGCGATTTGGCATTTGCCCCAACACTTTTGATACGGCTTATTGACACAAAAGCGTTGAAAAGAGGGACAAAGTACTGTTGTTTAGACTGATTTGGTCAACTCATGCACAATGAATCTGTCCTTCAGTCTGATCAACTGTAGCCTACTGATAACAACCACAGCCACATGTATGCGCTTCTCTAGGCTACATGCGCTTCTCTAGGCTACCAGATTAGTAATAACTCTGGGCCCCAGGAAAACAATTAGCCCCCTACCACTATGTGACCTGTGGTGCCACCTCTGAAATCACCACACAATGTTACAAATGAAAAAACCTATTCTATTTGTATGATCTACTATCTCAGAGCCATTATTGCATGGAACTCCGTTCCATCTCATATTGCTCAAATGAACAGCAAACCTGGTTTAAAAAAACAGATAAAGCAACACCTCACGGCACAACACCTCTCCCCTATTTGACCTAGTTAGTTTGTGTGTATGTATTGATATGTAGGCTACATGTGCCGCCCCCCAAACACACACACATTCAAATATCTGTCAATTTCCAGACCTACAGTGCCTTTCGGATAGTATTCAGACCCTTTGACTTTTTCCACATTTTGTTAGGTTACAGCCTTATTCTAAAATGTTTTAAATAGATTTTTTCCCCTCATCAATCTACACACAATACCCCATATTGACAAAACAAAAACCGTTTTTCAGAATGTTTTGCTACTTAAAAAAAAAAAAAAACGGAAATATCGCATTTACGTACAGTTGAAGTCGGAAGTTTACATACACTTAGGTTGGAGTCATTAAAACTTGTTTTTCAACCACTCTCCAAATTTCTTATTAACAAACTATAGTTTTGGCAAGTCGGTTAGGACATCTACTTTGTGCATGACACAAGGAATATTTCCAAAAAAAATTCAGACAGATTATTTCACTTATAATTCACTGTATCACAATTCCAGTGGGTCAGAAGTTTACATACACTAAGTTGACTGTGCCTTTAAACAGCTTGGAAAATTTCAGAAAATGATGTCATGGCTTTAGAAACTTCTGATAGGCTAATTGACATAATTTGAGTCAATTAGAGGTGTACCTGTGGATGTATTTCAAGGCCTACCTTCAAACTCAGTGCCTTTTTGCATGGGAAAATCAAAAGAAATCAGCCAAGACCTCAGAAAATAAATTGTAGACCTCCACAAGTCTGGTTCATCCTTGGGAGCAATTTCCAAACGGCTGAAGGTACCACGTTCATCTGTACAAACAACAGTACACAAGTATAAACACCATGGGACCACGCAGCCGTCATACCGCTCAGGAAGGAGACACGTTCTGTCTCCTAGAGATGAACGTACTTTGGTGCGAAAGAACAACAGCAGAACAACAGCAAAGGACCTTGCGAAGATGCTGGAGGAAACTGGTACAAAAGTATCTATATCCACAGTAAAAAGAGTCCTATATCGACATAACCTGAAAGGCCGCTCAGCAAGGAAGAAGCCACTGCTCCAAAACCGCCATAAAAAAGCCAGACTACGGTTTGCAACTGCACATGGGGACAAAGATCATACTTTTTGGAGAAATGTCCTCTGGTCTGATGAAACAAAAATAGAACTGTTTGGCCATAATGACCATCGTTATGTTTGGAGGAAAAGGGGGGTGCTTGCAAGCCGAAGAACACCATCCCAACCGTGAAACACGGGGGTGGTAGCATCATGCTGTGGGGGAGCTTTGCTGCAGGAGGGACTGGTGCACTTCACAAAATAGATGGCATCATGAGGAAGGAAAATTATGTGGATATATTGAAGCAACATCTCAAGACATCAGTCAGGAAGTTGAAGATTGGTCGCAAATGGGTCTTCCAAATGGACAATGACCCCAAGCACACTTCCAAAGTTGTGGAAAAATGGCTTAAGGACAACAAAGTCAAGGTATTGAAGTGGCCATCACAAAGCCCTGACCTCATTCCTATAGAACATTTGTGGGCAGAACTGAAAAAGCGTGTGCGAGCAAGGAGGCCTACAAACCTGACTCAGTTACACCAGCTCTGTCAGGAGGAATGGGCCAAGATTCACCCAACTTATTGTGGGAAGCTTGTGGAAGGCTACCTGAAACGTTTGACCCAAGTTAAACAATTTAAAGGCAATGCTACCAAATACTAATTGAGTGTATGTAAACTTCTGACCCACTGGGAATGTGATGAAAGAACTAAAAGCTAAAATAAATCATTCTCTCTACTATTAATCTGACATTTCACATTCTTAAAATAAAGTGGTGATCCAAACTGACCAAAGACAGGGAATTTTTACTAGGATTAAATGTCAGGAATTGTGAAAAACTGAGTTTAAATGTATTTGGCTAAGGTGTATGTAAACTTCCGACTTCAACTGTAAGTATTCAGGTCCTTTACTCAGTACTTTGTTGAAGCACCTTTGGCAGCAATTACAGCGTTGAGTCTTCTTGGGAATGACGCTAAAAGCTTGGCACACCTGTATTTGGGAAGTTTCTCCCATTCTTCTCTGCAGATCCTCTCAAGCTCTGTCAGGTTGGATGGGGAGTGTTGCTGCACAGCTTTTTTCAGGTCTCTCCAGAGATGTACGATTGGGTTAATGTCCGGGCTCTGGCTGGGCCACTCAAAGACATTCAGAGACTTGTCCCAAAGCCACTCCTGCGATGTCTTGGCTGTGTGCTTAGGGTCATTGTCCTGTTGGAAGGTGAACCATCACCCCAGTCTGAGGTCCTGAGTACTCTGGAGCAGGTTTTCATCAAGGATCTTTCTGTACTTTGCTCAGTTCATCTTTGCCTCAATCCTGACTATTCTCCCAGTCCCTGCAGCTGAAAAACATCCCCACAGCATGATGCTGCTACCACCATGCTTCACTGTAGGGATGGTGCCAGTGTTCCTCCGGACGTGATGCTTGCCATTAAGGCCAAAGTGTTCAATCTTGGTTTCATCAGACCAGAGAATATTGTTTCTCATGGTCTGAGAGTCTTTAGGTGCCGTTTGGCAAACTCCAAGCGGGCTGTCATGTGCCTTTTACTGAGGAGTGGCTTCCGTCTGGTCACTCTACCATAAAGCCCTTATTGGTGGAGTGCTGCAGAGATGGTTGTCCTTCTGGAAGGTTCTCCCATCTCCACAAAGGATTTCTAGAGCTCTGTCAGAGTGACCATCCAGTTCTTGGTCACCTCCCTGACCAAGGCCCTTCTCCCCTGATTGTTCATTTTGGCCGGGCGGCCAGCTCTAGGAAGAGTTTTGTTGGTTCCAAACTTCTTCCATTTAAAAATGATGGAGGCCACTATGTTCTTGGGGACCTTCAATGCTGCAGAAATGTTTTGGTACCCTTCCTCAGATCTGTGCCTCGACACAATCCTGTATCGGAGCGCCACAGACAATTTTTTCAACCTCATGGCTTGGTTTTTGCTCTGACATGCACTGTCAACTGTGGGACCTTATATAGACAGGTGTGTGCCTTTCCAAATCATGTCCAATCAATTGAATTTACCACAGGTGGACTCCAATCAAGTTTTAGAAACATCTCAAGGATGATCAATGGAAACAGGATGCACCTGAGTCTCATATCAAAGGGTCTGAATACATATGTAAATAAGGTATTTCTGTTTTTTATTTTTAATACATTTGCTAAAATTTCTTAAAACCTGTTTTCGCTTTGTCATCATGGGGTATTGTGTGTAGATTGATGAAGAAGAAAAAATAATTTAATCAATTTTAGAATAAGGCTGTAACGTAACAAAATGTGGAAAAAGTAAAGTGGTCTGAATACTTTCCGAATGCACTGTATATTGAATGTTAGGTTATTGAAGTAACATTTCCACAAGAACACAGTACAGTAAAATATAGTTTCCCACCATCTAAGAATTAGCAAGAAAAATGGAGTTCATTATCAGTAATGGCTGACAGGATATTTCCTAATGAGAACTCATCTGTGTGGGAGATGGTGAGTGAGTGCACATTTTCTCCAAAGTTCAGAGAGAATCAATCCAACTGGTTCCCAGACACTCCCACCATAAAACCCACAACAGTACCTTGGGGCACTCTGGTTCATGGAATGTCCTCAAGACACACTTACGTAACTGCTCTTCTAGCCAAAACCACCATCATCCGAATAAGCATTATGTTAGTCACAATCGTATCCAAAAACCGTTAAGAAACATCCAAAATCATAGAATCAGATTATTTCACATAACCTACAGACCACAAACTTCCATTGAGAAAGGAGTTTTAAAAAGGTAGGCCGAGTGCCACGTTTATAGCTTGCATTTTACTTCCTCCCTGTGGATAATGAGGGGAATGCACAACGAAATTAAATCAGTGGGATGCCCGCGCGCTCTCCCTCTTGATGCGCGCCGACATTACGCACGCCTTCATTCACACAGCTACTTGCTCAACATTATAAGACGCTCAAGTGCGGATACTTTACGAGGTAAAATAATACAATTGCTTCATATTTTTCATTTTTAGACCGTGTAAAAAAACTAACAAGGCTGACTAAAGTAGACAGCATATCCTTGTCTTTGGCTTTGTTCCGTTTTCCCTTCTCAACAACCTATTGCTATGGCATCTCTCACTCGGAGAGAGAAGGAGAGATGTCCCACAGCAGGGAACCGAAAGTATTGGGTAAGGGACGCTCGATTCAATATCATTATTATTATTTCTTTACATTCAGTATTTATCTTAAGTTGTTTAGATAGTGGGTTGCACAGTTCTAGTATTTACTTATTATTTGATGACTCATAGGCTTTTAAAACATCAGGTTCAATTTATGTTATGATGATGTCATGGTTATTTTATTCAGTTAGCAGTTTATTAAGGTGCTTGCATTTTTGCATTTCACAGACAGATGCGCCTCAATGTAAATCAACCAGATTCTACTCTGAGACTGGGAGCGGGACAGTACTACACGAGGACTGTCAATCAACAGACCGCCCCTCTCCAGAGGGTGCAGGGTCCAACACCGACCCTCATGGAGTTCCGTGGCCAAAAACGGATGTCCCATCCCGAGGGTCTCTGACAGGACCCTGCGCCGGTTCCGGAGGACCTGTGATTACCAGTGGATTTGACACTATTGGACCCCCCGTGGTGGGAAGTTGGAGCGTTCGGAAATCTGACGGAAAAGTTATTTGTGAGCATTGCACGGCGACTGTGGCTGCACTAAAGAGACAAGCACTGAGCCTCGTCATTCCTCAATATATCTCATGCAAGGTAGGCTTATCAATACATCACTTTCTATGGAAATGTGTTTTATGCAGTAAGCAGTAGCATGCATTCATTGTAGTGATACAATATACTTTGGGGATAATTTAAGGGGTTTGAATTGAAATGGTCAGAAAATGTGATTTAGAGGATTAGCCACAGATTTGAGGTTTTGCCACGGATTTGAGCTGCCTTAACAAAGCCTAATCCAAATGGTCACATATTTTTTTCTTCTTCTATTGCATCTGATTTGTAGCAGACATCAGTTCCAGTCATTGAGCTGACTCATAGGCTAACCCTAGAGTGAACTGAGATTAATATTTTAACAAAGCAACTCATGTCCCCTTCAGACTTCATTACCAGAGGTACAACGAAAACATTTGCTTTACTCTCCTATGAGAGGAATATGAAATAGAACAGGAAGTTTTCAAATGAACCACAGGCCATTATGTGGAGATACTACCTCATTGTTCAGACAGAGACAGTCAGTAGAAATCTGATAATGGCTTCTTGTAGTGTATTGATTTCCAGACCAGGGCCATGATGAAATCTGACCTGTTATGAATCCTAAAGAAAATACAGCTCGATGACAGCCTGGTTCCAGATCTGTTTGTGCTGTTTAGCCTCCTCCTACACTCTTAGAAAAAAAGTGCTATCTTAGAACCTAAAAGGGTTCTTCAGCTGACCGTATATTGTAGGAGAACCCTTTGAAGAACCCTTTTTGGTTTCAAGTAGAACACTTTTAGTTCCAGGTAGAGCCCTATTGGGTTCCACGTAGGACCCTTATCTCAGATGTTTCTACATGGAACCCAAAAGTGTTCTACATGGAACCAAAAAGGGTTCTCCTATGGGGACAGCAGAAGAACCCTTTTGGAACCCTTTTTTCTAAGGGTGTATGGTCGTTGTTTTGCCTGGTCCTAGATCAGTTTGTCTCTTTGTTAAGACAAACACACAACCCAAAGTTTGGCTATACAGCACAAACATATCTATTACCAGGCTAGGTCTCTGATGGCTCAAGTTTTGGGTTGGAGTTAGTTTGGGCACATCTGCGTTTTTCTGGTTGACTTTGTTTTATGCAATAGTACAGTAGTCTGGGATTTGGGTCATTGACATTAGCAGCTTGCGGGAGAAAGGTTTTGGAATGGAAGTTCAGGGAGGACAAGGGCACAGAAACTTATGACAGACCTTACATCAGACATAACCTATGACAGATGCTATTATGATGATTGATTCTGAAAGTCAATATAGGCCTACTTGGTACCATGCCACATTTGGATAGTTTCCTCAATGACAGACTGTCATCAATGACAATTAATTATAAAAGTTTTCCGCTTTTGTAATTCACTGTGATGTTTGTTGTTTTTGTGATTGAATTGGACTCAATGCATAGAACCATACTGTACATTCCCTTTACATCCATTCTATAGGACTCCACCTTGTCAGCCTATCTCCACGACAACCTCCAAGCCCACAGCGGTACCATAGACGTCTGGGCTGTGGAGGAGGAGCAGAGTGTCTGTGACGTCTGTGGTGCCCACCTGAGCCAGCTGAAGCAGGAGGCCATCCACCTGATCCTAGCCAGGGAGGAGCGTGCCAAGTGGGCCACTCCATCTACCGCCAAGCCCCTTCCTGGATCAACCTCCACCAAAGCAGCACCATCTAGCCCCCGCCTCTCAGCCTCTTCCAGGATCCATAGCTCCCCTGCCAAGCCCTCCCCTGGACCTCGATCCGCCACCTCCACAGCACCACCTAACCCCCATCTCTCAGGCTCCACTAGGATCCAAAACCCCCAGAAGACCCACCCTAGGAGGATCCTGAAGCCCACCCCAGCTGAGATGGATAGATGGGTTGAGGAGCAGCAGCATCTAGCCTCCTGCATATCAATGTCCAGCAATAACAGAGTCACCATCTTCCCCTACCAGGTACTGTACATCTAAAAGCCTACAGGTTGTATATCATAAGATTGCCTTGGTATCACAATAGCTATTTTTTATTATGGAGTCTAATGGAGGCTATATCAATATCATGAACCATGACACATCCCGTAGCAGGTATTGTATATCTATAAGCCTACAAGCTTGACATTGCGCGCTGATATGCCTGTAGTAGCCTCCTTTATTATGGCTTATTATTGATTCTAATGGAGGATACAACTACAGTATATCAGGGAAAATCATGACACATCCCCTGCCTGTCTGCACATCCTTATATGGGCGTCGCTATCTGTAAGGACTGAGGAGAGGATGCTCTTATAGAGAGAGTTGTCACTGTCAACCTGTGATTCACAGATGAGGAGAGGAGAGGGGAGGATAGGATAGGAGGAGAGGAGAGGGGAGGAGAGGAGAGGGGAGGAGGGAAGAGGAGAGGGGAGGAGTGGAGTGGATGCTCTCATAGAGAATGTTGTCACTGTCAGATTTGATTGACGCCGTCCGATCAGCCCCAATTAGATCCTGAGAAGTGAACATTTGCAACCTTATCGCTAATGGAGGGAATTGGGTTGTGATTTATTTCCCGTCATAAAACAGCCAGTCAAAAAGCAGGCGGCACGATGATCAATAGCCTGGTCATATTTAACGACTGGTGAAATATGTGTAGTGCAGTATTGTAGCCCCCACAGGGCTATGCGGTAAATACAGCCGGTACGAAAGTGGATGGATGGAAGCATTTAAGGAGCCTAGAGTAGGCTACAGTAGCCATAGGGCTTCTACCATAGGGCTTTGGTCAAAAGTAGTGCACTTTATAGGGAATAGGGCACCATTTGGGAAACAGCCTATATCTCCTTCAGTGCATTGTGGCTAATGAAGTGAAGTGGTCTCTGGTCTATCAGCTTCTGGCTGTGGAGTGGCTGTCTGGCTGAGGACTAGCCTGATCACAGATCAGTTATGGTTGGCATAACAACGACCATAGGAGTTGGCTGTATAGAGCACAAACAGATCTGGGACCAGGCTAGCTGAGGACAACTGCCATAGTCTATTAGACAATATGCAAAGCAGAGCATATTATACAAGCGTATATGTGTTATTAGGTAGGTTTCCATCCAATTGCCGACAGATTTTCATGTGAATATTCAAAAATATGCATTAAAGACAATATGCAAATGTTTCCCAACAGTGGTGTGTTTCCACAAAACGGACTTGTTGCAGATAGAAATCAGTGCGTGATGACGTAGTGCACACAAAATGTACTTTTCGCTGAAGTTTGTATGTACCGAATAAAAATCTAAAGTTCAGTGTGTTTCCATCGCATTTTCAACTCTACCGACAGTTTTGTCACAAAACTGTTGTGTGAAATAGCAAATGTGCCTACTATGGTCTGGGCATGTGCGCTCTAGCTAACAGCTTGCAGATACAGTGTGGGAAGGCTAGTCTACATTATGAGATTATGGATAAGAGCAAGAATGCTTTTATTTGTCAAAACGGCAGTCAAGCGTCGTTCATCATGTCACCAGAATAAGACCCTCAACATTTATTGCAAAGGAGCATCAAGCTCATATCATGCACTTTCACCGCCCTGTGAAGTTCATCATATCTTATTTCCTCTGTAGCCTAATAAACTGCATGGTTTCCCGAGTTGTAGTGGGAGGACCACACACCACATCATCGCGTGACTCCAAGTTTACTTTGATATGATGGTTATTATATCAATATTTGCGCATAAAGGTGTTTCCACCGCTATTCCACGCATAACTAATTTTACAGACACAAAAGATCCCACCATGTCGAACGAACAAATGATCTGTCGGCATTTATAAAATTGTACTGAAACTTCCTGTTTCCCTCCCAGCTGTTGTGATTTTTTTTATATGGTATGACTTCACTCGCATAAAAACTGTGGATGGAAATGTGGTTATTGATGTGTTTTCATGTGATATTCCACTTGGAGGAAGCAGAGCAAATGTCAGTCAAAGCTAAGGTGACCTCATGGTAATGGAAGTGTTTCCACCATTCCAGTTTGAGATAGAAGAGAGGATGAGGAGAGGGACAGAGAGAGAGAGGGGTGAAGACAAAAGAGAAAGAGAGAGACAGAGAGGGGGGAGGTGAGAGAGAGAGAGAGAGAGAGAGAGAGAGAGAGAGAGAGAGAGAGAGAGAGAGAGAGAGAGAGAGAGAGAGAGAGAGAGAGAGAGAGAGAGAAAAAAAAATAGCAAGAGAGAGATCTTCGGGGTGTGGGGGACAGGGGGTTCAGAGTCAGAAAGGAGGGGTATAAAAAAAATAAGAGTAGAGGTAGAACTTTTCCACCCCCCCATTTCATTCCAGATGTTAGCCATGCCCCAGGGTGCCTCATGGCTCTAATTGGCATTACATGGCTGGATGTTTCCTGTGGCAGTAGCAATAAAGGGAGGAGAACAGGGTTGTTATCTTGCCCTAAAAAGCTGAAACATTGATGAGACAATAGAGCTGCAGAGGGGGACACTATAAAACAAGACTCTGGCTGTCGCTTTCGCTCGCGGCCAAGCTCTGTGACTTCATTTCAGTAGATATACAGAGTAGGGAGTAGGCCAAAGCGTACTCTCAAACGCACGCACGCACGCACGCACGCACGCACGCACGCACGCACGCACGCACGCACGCACGCACGCACGCACGCACGCACACACACACACACACACACACACACACACACACACACACACACGCACACACACACACACACACACACACACACACACACACACACACACACACACACACACACACACACACACACACACACACACACACACACACCCTAGGGCTGGAGGGAAGGGAAAGCAGGGTTGGGTTGAAGAGTCAGACTCTTCATGCACATCCTCGGGGTATGTGGTGTGTAATAGTCAGATGCAGTGCGGTCAGAATAGGTTTAGTAGTGTTTCTGAGTCTGATTGTCTGAGTCATGTCTCCATTAAACCCTGGAACTATGTGTCCCATGTGTGACACTACTAGTCTATATGTAGAGCAAATGATGAATGTCCCATTTACCTAATGTGCTTTCGTTCTAATGCCCCACATCCACAGATTAACCACTGATTCTTCTCTTGGGTTGCGTTCCGAATGGCAGCTTTCCCTAGAGCCTTATGGGCCTTAGTCAAAACTAGTGCACTAAATAGGGAATAGGATGCCATTTTGGATTCATCCTTGGTCTAATTACTCTACTTCTATGTGATCTGTGTAAGAGAATGTAGTCAGGATCTTGGTTGATATCAAAGTAAAATGCCTTTATCAAACTAATTTATCTTCAAGCTAATCTATTTCATAGTCTACGTCCCAACTCACACCCTATTCCCTATATAGTGCACTACTGAAAGGCCCTGATCCAAAGTAGTGCACTAAATAGGGAATAGGGTGCCATTTAGGACGCAACCATTGCCTTGTCCTATACGATGTGCTGTTGGCAACTCTTCTATCATTGCCAAGCCGTACTTTGGCATGACATTGAACGAACACAAAGAGGAGTTGGCTAATAGCCGAAACAGGCTGGACCCCCAGGCTATGGATATTCTAATACAGATGATCATTCTACTTCTCTCCAGTTTTCAGAGGAGTTCTCAGAGGGACAGAATGAGACTGTGGCTGTCCAGAGCAGTCCAATGGCTCCTGCAGTTTTCTCCTTTCTGGTCAGGTACGTGTAAAACTAGTCAGTTAGATGTCTACAGAGTAGACATGGGTTCCTGCAGGTCGTTTTTTTTATTGATTAATAAAAAGTCTTACATAATCATTCTGAAATTGAGGATGTACCTACTGTATTTTTGAAATGTCCACATCCTATTTTTCCACAGGGCAGCCCAGAAACTGAGCCTGACGTCGAGAAGGAAGGGCCAAATGTCCGCCCCCTCTCCTGTGTCTCCTCCCCCCCATTACACCACCTGCTACAGGGACATCATCCAGAGGTCTCCACCCACAGTCCCCACCTGCCTCCTTCAAGCTGCCAACCGACTCAAAGACGCACCCAACATTGGCAAGGTAACCAACTGTACTCAGTTGTTCACCTGGGTTTTGACCAACCAGATCGTTATTGTAAAAGAGAATTTGTTCTCTTTGACTTACCTGACTACACTGAACAAAAATATAAATGCAACATGCAACATTGTTTTTATATTTTACCTAGTTACAGCATATAAGGAAATTAGTAAATTGAAATAAATTCATTAGGCTCTAATCTATGGATTTCACATGACTGGGAAAACAGATATGCATCTGTTGGTCACAGGTACCTTAAAAAAAGGTAGGGGTGTGGATCAGAAAACCAGTCAGTATCTGGTGTGACCACCATTTGCCTCATGCAGCGTGACACATCTCCTTCGCATAGAGTTGATCAGGTTGTTGATTGTGGCCTGTGGAATGTTGTCCCACTCTTTAATGGCTGTGTGAAGTTGCTGGATATTGCGGGAACTGGAATACGCTGTCGTACACGTCGATCCAGCGCATCCCAAACATGCTCAATGGGTGACATGTCTGGTCAGTATGCAGGCTATGGAAGAACTGGGACATTTTCAGCTTCCAGGAATAAATGTACAAATCTTTGCGACATGGGGCTGTGCATTATCATGCTGAAACATGAGGTGATGGCGGCGGATGAATGGCACGACAATGGGCCTCAGGATCTCGTCACGGTATCTCTGTGCATTCAAATTGCCATCAATAAAATGCAATTGTGTTCGTTGTCTGTAGCTTATGCCTGCCCATACCATAACTCCACCGCCAGCATGGGGCACTCTGATCACAATGTTGTCATCAGCAAACCGCTCGCCCACATGGCGCCCACACGGTTAGGTCAAGACCCTGGTGAGGACGACAGGCATGCAGATGAGCTTCCCTGACGGTTTCTGACAGTTTATGCAGAAATTATTCAGTTGTGCAAACCCACATTTTCATCAGCTGTCAGGGTGGCTGGTCTCACATGATCCCGCAGGTGAAGAAGCTGGATGTGGAGGTCCTGGGCTGGCGTGGTTACACGTGGTCTACGGTTGTGAGGCCGGTTGGACGTACTGCCAAATTCTCTAAAACAACGTTGGAGGTGGCTTATGGTAGAGAAATGAACATTCAATTCTCTGGCAACAGCTCTGATGGACATTCCTGCAGTTAACATGCCAATTGCACACTCCCTCAAAACTTGAGACATATGTGGCATTGTGTTGTGTGACAAAACTGCACATTTTACAGTGGCCTTTTATTGTCCCCAGCACAAGGTGCACCAGTGTAATGATCATGCTGTTTAATCAGCTTCTTGATATGCCACACCTGTCATGTGGATGGATGATCTTGGCAAAGGAGAAATACTCACTAACAGGGATGTAAACAAATTTGTGCACAAAATGTAAGAGTAATAAGCTTTTTGTGGGTATGGAACATTTCTGGGATCTTTTATTTCAGCTCATGAAACATAGGACCAACACTTTACATGTTGTGTTTATATTTTTGTTCAGTATAAATAACTACTTTTTAAAGTGTTTCCAGAGTCATTAAGCAAGTGAGAGTGGTTGTGTCGAGGAGTGAAGAAGATCCTATATCGGCACTCATAATACTACCCCCATCTTTATGAAATGCTATAATGTGGTGTTAATGCCCTTTCTGTTTCTGCCCTCCCCTCTGGGGTATACTGTAGTGGAAATCAATATGGCTGCCCTCGTGTTTCATAGACGATCGGCTTGGGCTGGTCTAGAGTTACAGATAACAGGCCTCCATCCCATCCCTCCATCCCACCTGCACTCAGCCCAGAACAATGCAGGGAGAACCTCTCTCTCTCTCTCTCTCTCTCTCGCTCTTTCTCCCCTCTCCCTTTCTCTCTCCGGTTCTCCTTCCCCCCTTCTCGCTCTGTCTCTCCCCCTCTCTCCTCTATGTCAGTATATGGCTTCTTGAATAATTCAGCCCCCATAAATATAGCGTGACACAAGCTCAATAGAATGGAGTCAGGGTAGGAGTTACAAAGCAAGCCTCCCTCCAACAGATAGTAGACAGACTAGCTACCATCACTTGCTTTTATTATGATTCATCATCATAATCAAGGCTGATGGATTATGTCCAGGGTTTGGTAGGTCACATTCTAAATGTAATCTGTTACAGTTACAAGTTACCTGTCCAAAATTGTTATCAGTAACATAGCTTTAGGATTACCCAAAGTAACGTAATCTGATTACTTTCATTTACTTTTAGATTACTTTCCTTTAAGCGGCATTAGAAGAAGACAAAAATGAATATTACCAATTGAACGACATCTATTACAAGATAAGTCAATGTTAGAGTTTACATAGCTGGCCAGAAATGGATGTTGGGTTATGTAGGCTTCTGACCCATTGCTTTCTACTTCAATACAGATAATAAAACGATTAGGCTATATATTTACATTAAAATCTAGTCTGTCAGATTTACAGTCATTTCAATTAATTAAAAACCCATTGATCTTCAAGAATAGACTTGGAAATATGGAAATATAGTGTCATAAGCGTCAGTGAAATGCGGTGGGCGAAGTCAAACGCAGGACAGAGAGCTTACTGGAAACGTACTTTACTAGAAAGTAAACTGGGTACATACAACCTCCACACAGGGAGGACAATAACCCGCACACTAACGACTGCCGATGACGAAAATACAATCACACACAACACACAATGAAAGACAGAGGGTTAAATAGGGAAGACAATACAACATAATGGGAAACAGGTGTAGACAATCAAGACCCAACAAGTCAAACACAGAAACATAGATGGTTAGGTTACATTCTAAATGTAATCCATTACAGTTACTAGTTACCTGTCCAAAAGAGATCTAAGTGGCTGTTGAGGTCTTAGCTAACTTAACATAGAACCTCTCATAGCCTTTAAATCCACTGTGTTTCCAGTAGATCTAAGTTAATGTCTGGACCAGCAGAAACCTGTTAATGTGGCGTTCCAACTCAGGATATATAGGATGTAGCTACATGAATTAATAATAATTGATCATTGATTAGATTTATATAGTGCTTTTACAGACACTCAAAGAGTTGTTAAAACTTAACAGCATAGAATTACATAGACTCACTACACTGAATTATAGGATCTCAATGCTTTATAGTACATAAGTGTAAACTGTGTAGCCTATAATAACAATTACTACAGTTATATCCCCTCTCTAACACTAGTCTATGGGTGTTTAAGTCAGAGCGATAGACACTTTGCTTTTATCTGTTCAGGTTGGTATAAAAGAGACACCATCTCACAGGGGTGAACAGCAGTATGCTGCCTTTTTGTCGCTATTTACCAGTGACGTTTGAAATCTCTCCTCAGTTGCCTAGCGGTGCGATATCCCTATTTTGTTTAGCTTAACGTCTTCTTACACCTATTTCAAAGGAAACATATAAATAGCAGTGGATAGAAGGAAATAGAATCAGGAAAGCTGGGAAACTCATAGTGTTTAATGCGACTGCTGTGTCTGTCATTTCCAACCTGCTTTAAAAGAACGAGAACATCCTGCCTGTGACCCATATTGACAGCTGCTTTGACTATTCTACGATCACATCTGATGCTTTAGATATTATTGTTTAGGATTTAGATTGTTTAATAATGCATGGATTTTTATGCTTTCCTTCTTGGTTCTATCAGTTTTATTGTGTGTAGAAAATGCTTTTACTGGTGTTTTTCCCCAAATGGAATATTTAAATACTCATTTAGCTTCCACCAAACCTTTTAGAAAATGCTCTTTACATGAAGTTACCTGTAGATCTTGACTTCGATCTTATTTATTGTAAAAACTAGACAAATACATTTAAAAAAAAGTATTATTCAAGTTGAATCTCCATTATTCAAGTTGGATAATGAAGATTCAAGTTAAGACTTATGGTAAAGTCCTAACTTGAATCTTTATTTTCCAACTTGAATAATGGAGATTCAACTTGAATAATCTTTTTTTTTTTAAAGTGAAGACTGGGGGTCAGCCTGACCAAAATACTCAGTAACCTCCTCCATATAGCCTAACTCTCTGTCACGCCCTGACATAGAGATCTCTAGTTGGTTTGGTCAGGGTGTGAATATCTATGTGATGATCTAGAATGTGTATTTCTATGTTGGCCGGGTGTGGTTCCCAATCAGAGGCAGCTGTCGATCATTGTCTCTGATTGGGGATCATACTTAGGCAGCCATGTTGCCTACCTTAGTTGTGGGATCTTGTTTCTATTATGGGTTGGCTTGGCTTGTTGTATGTGTAGCTTCGTGAACTTCACATTCTGTTGGATTTTGTTATTTAGTCTGTGTTTATATAATAAACGACTATGTACGCATACCACGCTGCACCTTGGTCCGATCCTTTACACAACGAGCGTGACACTCTCACACACTCACATGCACACATGCACACTCACATTAAACAAAACAGATATAAATATATTTTCTTGATTACTGATCAATTCATTTATACATTTATAATTAGTAGGCTTTGTTACCTGTTTTAACAAACCTTTTTTATTTTTGTAGTTATTTATTGTATATTGTTTTTTTGCGGTGTGGTTTTCATATAAACCCTTGGGCTTCCAACCACACCTGCACACCGTTTATTTTATTTTATTTGTTTTTATCTGTATTGTTGTCTATCACTTGTTTTCTTTGGCGCAAATAACTAAATACAAAATAAAATAAAAGACATAACTTCATGCATACGGTATAATTTCCCTTATCCACTCAACATCTATTCATCCCAGTTCCCAACAGCCCCCCTGAAAAAGAACATGATCACATCTTCACCACCAGCTTTCCTCTCTCCGTACAGGTCAAAGTGGTGCTGCGAGTCTGCCCCTCTCCCACCGTACCCCCTTCCCAGCCCCAGCCACCCATTTTTAGAGTGGACCCAGCCAAGAGAAGGGTCACCATGATTGATCCTACCACCACCCACAATCAACAGCCACACTCCAACTCCATGCCAACACACGTTGGGGAAGCCAAGGGTCACTCTAAGACATATGTCTTTGATGCAGCCTACCCTCCAGAGTCAACCCAGGTCAGTGGGTACAGGACAGTACAGTACGGTTGGTTTGTTATCTCTGTCTGATTACCTGAAAACTGATTGGACTTCAAATGCAGTTTCCCAGATAGCTATCGCTATATCAAGCACTGTTATCTTAGCCTCTCAGCCTCTTTCCTTTCCCAGCCGTGTGTGTTAGTGTTGTTTGATGGATCAGATACACTCAGCCATTTTATTAATTCATTCTGCTCAAATGTAGTTTTATTTGTGTTTCTTAACAGCGGGATGAACGCTGAGGTGGATGGATGGATTCACCCTCTTTTCTTTTTTTTTCACCCTCTTTTTCTGTCCCTCCTTTTTCCCTTCTGCTAGGCGGAGGTGTGTGTAGGTATTCTGCCTGACGTCATCCGTTCTGTGGTCAATGGGGCAGACGGATGTATTCTGTGTTTTGGACATGGTGAAGTGGGTAAGTAATGAAAAAAACAGCATAGACCAACATACATTCAAGCTGGTCCATGCTGATCTATGCTGGTCCATGCTGGTTTATGCTGTCAGTGCTGGTCTGATGCTGGTCAAGTTAGTCTGAGCAGCATGGTCTAGCTTGTCAAGCTGGTCTGACCAGCATGGTCTAGCTGGTTATGCTGGTTGACCAGCATGGTCTAGCTCAGGGATGGGCAACTTTGATTGGGGTAGGGGCCACAAAAACTCTGAACTCCTCATGAGGGGCTGCAGTGGCTCCCAGGTCTGCGTACCTACACATGCAGTCAGAGCCGGCCCTAGCCTTTTGAGGGCCCTAAGTGAAATTTAGTTGTTTGACATTTTCCTAAGTGACATTTTGTTTTCTCTCCTCTTTACAGTGGAGAGAAAACACATTTTGATTTAGCAATTTCATGACTAATTGCATGCAATTCTACTGATTTTGCCATAGGGTGGAGAGAAATGTTTACAATCTTTAATACTATATCTGAGTGAGAGTGACTAAAATAATCAATGATTGATACAAGTTTAGATAGCTGGCTAGACTAATTTACCAATCTTAGAAATGTTAGCTGACACAGACTAATTGAGTGACTGTCAGTGACTGACTTAACAAGATTTTGAAATTGCACCTTGTGTATTCTACTATTCGAACTCTCAAAAAAGAAATGCGGGCCTACAAAAGTTGCCCATCCCTGGTCTAGCTGGTCTGACCAGCATGGTATAGATGGCTATGCTGGTTTACACCTTCGCTGTGTTTTGGACACTGGTGACCAGCCTTTGTGTTTTTGGACATATACCAGTTTATGCTGGTGATGCTGGTGACCAAGCTGGTCCATGCTAGTCTATGCTGGTCCAGCATGGTCTAGCTGGTCTAGCTGGTCAAGCTGGTCTGACCATGCCCATCATTATCATATTTTCCAGCATGCTCTATTGCATCTATTTTGTGAAGTGCACCAGTCCCTCCTGCAGCAAAGCACCCCCACAGCATGATGCTGCCACCCTCGTGCTTCACGGTTGGGATGGTGTTCTTCGGCTTGCAAGCCACCGCCTTTTTCCTCCAAACTTAACGATGGTCATTATGGCCAAACAGTTCTAATTTTGTTTCATCAGACCAGAGGACATTTCTCCAAAAAGTATGATTTTTGTCCCCATGCGCAGTTGCAAACCGTAGTCTGGCTTTTTTATGGCGGTTTTGGAGCAGTGGCTTCTTCCTTGCTGAGCGGCCTTTCAGGTTATGTCGATATAGGACTCGTTTTACTGTGGATATAGAGACTTTTGTACCTGTTTCCTCCAGCATCTTCACAAGGTTATTTGCTGTTGTTCTGGGATTGATTTGCACTTTTCGCACCAAAGTACGTTCATCTCTAGGAGACAGAACGCGTCTCCTTCCTGAGCGGTATGACGGCTGCGTGGTCCCATGGTGTTTATACTTGCGTAGTATTGTTTGTACAGATGAACGCGGTACCTTCAGGCGTTTGGAAATTGCTCCCAAGGATGAACCAGACTTGTGGAGGTCTACAATTTTTTTTCTGAGGTCTTGGCTGATTTCTTTTGATTTTCCCATGATGTCAAGCAAAGAGGCACTGAGTTTGAAAGTAGCCATTGAAATACATCCACAGGTACACCTTCAATTGACTCAAATGATGTCAATTAGCCTATCAGAAGCTTCTAAAGCCATGACATCATTTTCTGGAATTTTCCAAGCTGTTTAAAGGCACAGTCAATTTAGTGTTTGTAAACTTCTGATCCACTGGAATTGTGATACAGTGAATTATTAGTGAAATAATCTGTCTGTAAACAATTGTTGGAAAAATAACTTGTGTCATGCACAAAGTAGATGTCCTAACCGACTTGCCAAAACTATAGTTTGTTAACAAGAAATGTGTGGAGTGGTTGAAAAACGAGTTTTAATGACTCCAACCTAAGTGTATGTAAACTTCCGACTTCAACTGTATGTTGATTGATTAATTAATCTTATGCTACACAAAGATAAAAAAACATAAATAATTGTTCTAAACTAATCCAATCTGTTAGTTGCACCCATTACTGAAATGGTTGTTCCAGTTTAGATTGTTTTAGTAGTTTAGGTTATTTATTCATATTTCTAACCCTGGCAGATTGTGGGTGATTAAAAGTTCAAATAGTTGGATATTCCCACTCGGCTGGATTCTAATTGGATTTAAATATCACTTTGCAAGCCAGCATAGGCTGGTCAGCAGCATAAACGTAGCAAATGCTGGTCACCAGTAAAGACACAGCTAAGGCTGGTCACCAGCAAAAACACAGCGAAGGCTGGTCATCAGCAAAACCAGCACTAGCCACCAGCATACAGTGCGTTCGTATTCAGTCCCCTTGACTTTTTCCACATTTTGTTACGCTACAGCCCTATTCTAAAATGGATTACACGTTTTTCCTCATCAATCTAAACACAATACCCCATAATGACAAAGCGAAAACAGGTATTTAGACATTTGTGCAAATGTATAAAAAAAAAAAATTGAAATATCTAAAGTATTCAGACTCTTTGCTATGAGACTCGAAAATGAGCTCTGTTGCATCCTGTTTCCATTGATCATCCTTGAGATGTTAGTACAACTTGATTGGAGTCCACCTGTGGTAAATTCAATTGATTGGACATGATTTGGAAAGGCACACACCTGTCTATATAAGGTCCCAAAGTTGACAGTGCATGTCAGAGCAAAAACCAAGCCATGAGGTCGAAGGAATTGTCCGTAGAGCTCCGTGACAGGATTGTGTCGAGGCACAAATCTGGGGAAGGGTACCAAAATATTTCTGCTGCATTGAAGGTCCCCAAGAACACAGTGGCCTCCATCATTCTTAATTGGAAGAAGTTTGGAACCACCAAGACTCTTCCTAGAGCTGGTCGCCCGGCCAAACTGAGCAATCGGGGGAGAAGCGCATTGGTCAGGGAGCTGAACAAGAACCCGATGGTCACTCTGACAGAGCTCCAGAGTTCCTCTGTGGAAATGGGAGAACCTTCCAGAAAGACAACCATCTCTTCACCACTCTACCAATCAGGCCTTTATGGTAGAGTGGCCAGACGGAAGCCACTCCTCAGTAAAAGGCACATGACATCCCGCTTGGATTTTGCCAAAAGGCACCTAAAGGACTCTCAGACCATGAGAAACAAAATTATCTAGTCTGATGAAACCAAGATTGAACTCTTTGGCCTGAATGCCAAGCGTCACGTCTGGAGGATACCTGGCACCATCCCTACGGTAAAGCATGGTGGTGGCAGCATCATGCTGTGGGGATGTTTTTCAGCGGCAGGGACTGGGAGAATAGTCAGGATCGAGGGAAAGATGAACGGTGCAAAGTACAGAGAGATCCTTGATGAAAACTTGCTCCAGAGCGCTCAGGACCTCAGACTGGGACGAAGCTTCACCTTCCAACAGGACAATGCACACAGCCAAGACAACGAAGGAGTGGCTTCGGGACAAGTCTCTGAATATCCTTGAGTGGCCCAGCCAGAGCCCAGACTTGAACCCGATCGAACATCTCTGGAGAGACCTGAAAATAGCTGTGCAGCAACGCTCCCCATCTAACCTGACAGAGGTTGAGAGGATCTGCAGAGAAGAATGGGAGAAACTCCCCAAATACAGGTGTGCCAAGCTTGTAGTGTCATACCCAAGAAGACTCAAGACTGTAATCAATGCTAAAGGTGCTTCAATAAAGTACTGAGTAAAGGGTCTGAATACTTATGTAAATTTAATATTTCAGTTTATTATTTTTAATGCATTTGCTAAAATGTCTAAAAACCAGTTTTTGTTTTGTCATTATGGGGTATTGTGTGTAGATTGATGAAAGGAAAAAAAAAACTATTTAATCCATTTTAGAATAAGGCTGTAAAGTAACAAAATGAGGAAAAAGTCAAGGGGTCTGAATACTTTCCGAATGCACTGTACATGTATGCTGTTGATCAGGATGACCAGCCTATGCTGGTCTATGCTGTTTTTTTCATCAGGGTAGTAGCATTGCTTTAAGTGACCATGAAGACCAAACCTCATAAGGAGAGTGGCTATTATCTCTTTCATCAATGTCTTTTATACATCGCTTGTATCCATCTATTTCCTATGAGCAGTGGCATGGGAGGTGCTTCATCCATCTCTTTCATCTCTCTTTTCCTTATGGGGGTGGTGGTGGTGACATGGAGGTGTTCCATCCGTCCTCTCCTGTATTCATCCCATCTTCCATTCTTTTTCCACCTCTTCGATAAATAAAAGGAGGAGATTCATCCATAATACATCACAAGTGTTTTTAAGCTTCTTCTGCCTTCGTTCTGCCTGCAAAACACGTCAACATGACGAGGCGAGACGCAAATATTTTGTCAGTCAGGATGAGAAGGCTGAGGGGACTAAAATCTAAATGGACTGTAAGATGCTCACTGCTCCATTATTAGGAAAATGGAATCCACTTAGCTTTACTAAAGGCTTTTAATAGACGACTGTCTGTGTGACACAAATACATAAAAACCCTTTCTCTCCTGTAAGGGCAGTGTCTCCTTGGAGCTATACCTTTCTACTACACATGACGCCACTGGCCGTAAATCAGATTGAATTAGTCGGGCGGTGTAGACGGCGGCAGGTCGGCTGCCAGGGGATATCAATCTCTCTCCCTCCATAGAATGACCCTCTGGAATGAATAATGGCAGGCTGGTTTGCCTTTAATTGGACAAAACCAATTCTCTTACCCTAATTCAATTAGCATTTGGATTAGAGTGAGTAAACCTAGGACACAGATCACTAGAGTTATGGTACTGTAATACGGGACAAAAGTACCTCCCGAGCCTCCCTCCCTCTCTCCCTCCCTCTCTCCTCTATACTGGATCACTTAGGTGGCTTCTACACATTCGTATACTCTATAAAAAAGGGTTCTGAAAGGGTTCCTTGTGGGGGTCAGGGAAGAACCCTTTTTGGTACTAAGTGGCATTTATTTTCAAAGACTGTAATGGAGGAGGATAAAAGTGTCTGCTAGTAAGTGGCAGTGGCATACAATGTAAAGGCCGTATGTAAATCCAATCCGATATTATATATATATATTATCTTAAAATAGAGGAAATATGTTCTCTATTATAAACTGGGTGGTTTGAACACTGAATGCTGATTGGCTGAAAGCCCTGGTATATCAGAACATATACCTTGTGTATGAGAATTACATTGATAAACAGTTTATAATAGCAATAAGGCACCTCGGGGGATTGTGGTATATGGCCAATATACCACGACTAAGGGCTGTATCCAGGCATTCCGCATTGCGTCGTACATAAGAACAGCCCTTAGCCGTGGTATATTGGCCATATAACACACCCCCTTGGGGCTTATTGTTTAAATAACTTCCATTTCAGAGGATGGTATTTTGACAGTGTTTTGGGTGTGGACAATTAACACTGCTTTGTTAGAACCTTAATTTTGGGGGAAATCTGCCCTTTCCATCCCCTCTGTCCTCCAAGTTTACAATGGGGACATGTACTGACAGTTCCAATGAGCGTGTTGTGGTTTGTGTAATTAGATCATGTCTGTCTTAACAAGCAGTGTATTAAACCAACTCAGGCGCCACCCCCCCCCCCCCCCATCCCCGAGAGCTGTTTACCAAGATACTCTCTGTCTCTTTTTGTCTCTCTCGCTCTCTCGCTCTTTCTCTCTCTCTCTCTCTCTCTCTCTCTCTCTCTCTCTCTCTCTCTCTCTCTCTCTCTCTCTCTCTCTCTTTCTCATGCACGCACACACACACACACAAGTTTGCACGCACATTCGCACACAGACACACACAGACACACACATACAGACACACAAACAGAGCACCCAAACTGACTGTGTTGTGTGTGCCTTATTACTGTGGTTAACAGGGATGTCCCACACCATGATGGGTAGCGATAGCAGCAGCCAGAGTTTAGGGGTCATCCCGTATGCCATCTCCTGGTTCTACAGTCACACAGAGAGGAGGAGAAGGGAGAGGACTGGGGCCAGCCTGGCTGTGTCTGTGTCCGCTATGGAGGTCTGTGGGGAGGACGAGACCCTCAGGGACTTATTGTCAGGCAATCTCCAGGACAGCCCATCAGCAGACCTTTATCTTTACGAGGACCCCATCTATGGAATGCAGGTAAATGATGATGCCGGGGCTTATTGTTGTGGACGGTTCAGATCAGATAGAAATGTGTAACGTTTATAGAACAGACTTGAATCTTTGTTCTGCAGAATATGGAATCGTCAGCTCTCTATTGAACTTCTCTATGTGCAGCATTGGTGTAGAATCTCTGCATAAGAACATTTTCTTAATGAAGCCCCAGGTCTTAAGAACACAGAAAGACACATGCTACTGTAGTTACACTGTTACTACTACATATGTCACTAAGGTGTCATGTCACACTAAGGGTATCTTACAGTGCCTTCAGAAAGTATTCATACCCCTTGACTTATTCCACATTCTGTTGTGTTACATCCTGAATTAAAAATGGATTCAACAGATTTTCTTCTCACCCATCTACACACAGTACCCCATAATGACAAAGTGAAAACATGTTTTTAGAAATGTTAGCAAATGTATTTAAAATGAAATACGGAAATATCTCATTTATATAAGTATTCACAACCCTGAGTCAACACAGGTAAGAATCACTTTTGGCAGCGATTACAGATGTGAGTCTTTCTGGGAAAGTCTTTAAGAGCTTTGTACACCTGGATTGTACAATATTTCCACATTATTCTTAAAAAGATTCTTTAAGCTCTGTCAAGTTGGTTGTTGATTATTGCTAAACAGGCATTTTCAAGTCTTGCCATAGATTTTCAAGACGATTTAAGTCAAAACTGTAACTAGGCCACTCAGGAACATTCAATGCCGTCTTGGTAAGCAACTCCAATGTATATTTGGCCTTGGGTTTTAGGTTATTTTCCTGCTAAAAGGTGAATGTTTCCCAGTGTCTGTTGGAAAGCAGACTGAACCAGGTTTTCCTGTGTTTAGCTCTATTCTGTTTCTTTTTATCCAAAAAAATTCCCTAGTTCTTGCCGGTGACAAGCATAACCATAACATGATGCAGCCACCACCATGCTTGAAAATATGAAGAGTGTTGGATTTGCCCCAAATATAACGCTTTGTATTCAGGACATAAAGTTCATTTTTTTGCCACATTTTTTGCAGACAGGATACATGTTTTGGAATATTTTTTATTATCTACAGGCTTCCTTCTTTTCACTCGGTCATTTAGGTTAGTATTGTAGAGTAACTACAATGTTGTTGATCCATCCTCAGTTTTCTCCTTTCACAGCCATTAAACTCTGTAACTGTTTTAAATTCACCATTGGTCTCATGGTGAAATCCCTGAGTGACTTGTTAAGCAGATTTTTACTCCTGAACTTATTTAGACTTGCCATAACAAAGGGGTTGAATACTTATGGACTCAAGCCATATCAGCTTAACATTTTTAATACATTAGTAAAAATTTCGAAAAACATGATTTCTTTTTTTAGAATTCCACTTTAACATTACAGGGTATTGTGTGTAGGCAGTGACACAACATTTTAATTTAATCCATTTTAAATTCAGGCTGTAACACAACAAAATGTGGAAAAGGTCAGGGTGTGTAATACTTTCTGAAGGCACTATATATGATTACTTTGTTTTGTTTGGTACTACCACAGTCAGGAACTAGAATACACTAGTTAATTCCTTATTCAGATGCATTGTCAAAAGAACTACAGTGAGGGAAAAAAGTATTTGATCCCCTGCTGATTTTGTATGTTTGCCCACTGACAAAGACATGATCAGTCTGTAATTTTAATGGTAGGTTTATTTGAACAGTGAGAGACAGAATAACAACAACAAAATCCAGAAAAACGCATGTCAAAAATGTTATAAATTGATTTGCATTTTAATGAGGGAAATAAGAATTTGACCCCTCTGCAAAACATGACTTAGTACTTGGTGGCAAAACCCTTGTTGGCAATCACAGAGGTCAGACGTTTCTTGTAGTTGGCCACCAGGTTTGCACACATCTCAGGAGGAATTTTGTCCAACTCCTCTTTGCAGATCTTCTCCAAGTCATTAAGGTTTCGAGCCTGACATTTGCCAACTCGAACCTTCAGCTCCCTCCACAGATTTTCTATGGGATTAAGGTCTGGAGACTGGCTAGGCCACTCCAGGACATTAATGTGCTTCTTCTTGAGCCACTCCTTTGTTGCCTTGGCCGTGTGTTTTGGGTCATTGTCATGCTGGAATACCCATCCACGACCCATTTTCAATGCCCTGGCTGAGGGAAGGAGGTTCTCACCCAAGATTTGACGGTACATGGCCCCGTCCATCATCCCTTTGATGCTGTGAAGTTGTCCTGTCCCCTTAGCAGAAAAACACCCCCAAAGCATAATGTTTCCACCTCCACGTTTGAAGGTGGGGATGGTGTTCTTGGGGTCATAGGCATCATTCCTCCTCCTCCAAATACGGCGAGTTGAGTTGATGGCAAAGAGCTCGATTTTGGTCTCATCTGACCACAACACTTTCACCCAGTTCTCCTCTGAATCATTCAGATGTTCATTGGCAAACTTAAGACGGGCCTGTATATGTGCTTTCTTGAGCAGGGGGACCTTGCGGGCGCTGCAGGATTTCAGTCCTTCACGGCATGGTGTGTTACCAATTGTTTTCTTGGTGACTATGGTCCCAGCTGCCTTTGAGATCATTGACAAGATCCTCCCTTGTAGTTCTGGGCTGATTCCTCACCGTTCTCATGATCATTGCATCTCCACGAGGTGAGATCTTGCATGGAGCCCCAGGCCGAGGGAGATTGACAGTTCTTTTGTGTTTCTTCCATTTGCGAATAATCTCACCAACTGTTGTCACCTTCTCACCAAGCTGCTTGGCGATGGTCTTGTAGCCCATTCCAGCCTTGTGTAGGTCTACAATCTTGTCCCTGACATCCTTGGAGAGCTCTTTGGTCTTGGCCATGGTGGAGAGTTTGGAATCTGATTGATTGATTGCTTCTGTGGACAGGTGTCTTTTATACAGGTAACAAGCTGAGATTTGGAGCACTCCCTTTAAGAGTGTGCTCCTAATCTCAGCTCGTTACCTGTATAAAAGACACCTGGGAGCCAGAAATCTTTCTGATTGAGAGGGGGTCAAATACTTATTTCCCTCATTAAAATGCAAATCAATTTATAACATTTTTGACATGCACGTTGGCATTGTCACATTGAACAACATGTAATATTGTATTCATGCCTTGCTGTGCCGGTGTCTTTCCCCATCTGTGCCCTTGTACCGCTATTCTCCTTTCTCCCTCTCTATGTTCTGTCATGAAAATCAACACAAAAAAATGTAAAAAAATAAAGTAAAACATGCTGTCTTCCTCTCTTCCAGCTTCGGCACCACAGTGTGGTATCTGCCCCCAACGCCGAGAGAGCTGCCTTCCTCCTGGATGCAGCCATCGCATCACGTCACCGTGCCGATGGCCCGACGAGTGGAACTCGCAGTGACATCACCACACCATCGTCCTCCTCCCATATGTTCTTTACTCTGCACGTCCAACAGCAGCTCTCAGAGGGCAGTGGCAAAGGTTGCTATTTCTGTACATTGTAGAAAAGATAACTCTGGCATGCTATTCCCTATAAAGATCAGATAGAAATATCTATGGGCCCTATATCTATAGTGCACTACAGTATGTAGGAAATAAGGTTATTACCTATGCACATTGCTTATTGTGTCAACGTTTCGGTCATAGTACTTCTTCAAGAAAGTGACAGTAAAAATGTCTGTACACTCTGTATTTTTATCGTATTCTTTTTTTTACATTATTGGTCAGTGACCTGTACGTAGCTTGCACTGTGTCACCCTACGGACTCGTGAGTAAGCTATCAAGCTAATACGCATCTGGAGATGTAATTTGCATACGGCTGACTGAATAAACTGTACCGCATTTGTTTTCTAAGAATGCTTGGAATACCTTGTTTATTTTTATTATTTTCTTTGTTCTATTCTCAACTACTCTCTCTGGTGATCTCAGTTCCCCCCTCTCCTCTCCTCTCCTCTCCTCTCCTCTCCTCTCCTCCTCCTCTCCTCTCCTCTCCCTCTCCTCTCCTCTCCTCTCCTCTCCTCTCCTCTCCTCTCCTCTTCCCTTCTCTTCTCTTCTCTCCTCTCAGTACCAGGGGGTCATAGCAGGTTGATTATGATAGACCTGGCTAACAGTATAAAAGGGACCAGTAGAACCAGTGACAGCAGAACTGGACGTCCTGAGTCTGAACTGGGCAGTGTTATACTGGCCCTACTCAACAATGGAAACAAAAACATCCCCAACAGGTTAGATACTGGAGACTCTCAATTGCATTTGATTGCATTGCAATGGAACAAAAGGAAACAATTGATTCAAGCAGTAGATCATGACATTTAGTCCTTAATACTGGTATGTAATAGAATTGTACAGTATGTGTTATGTACAATGTATGATGGTGATGGTGATGGTTGTATGTTGTGCTCACCACAGAGACAGTAAAGTGACCATGCTGCTACAGGAGTCTCTGGGTAATATTAACTGTCATACTACCGTGCTGGCCCATGTGACTGACTCACCAGAACACTTCTCAGAGACACTCTCCACTGTCCAAATTGCCTCGCGCATCCGCAGGACACAGAAGAAAGCAAAAGTATGTCAACTACTGAATAATAGATTACTTACCATTAAATTGTTGGTGCCAAGAATGATGTCAAAAGTATTATTCAATTAACCTTGGGTGGCCTAACTGTTAGTAAACAATTTAAGCAGTTTAGCAGCATTATTTTCTGTGACAAGGCAAACAATTATCACTCAATCTCTCCTCTCTCTCTCTCTCTCTCTCTCTCTCTCTCTCTCTCTCTCTCTCCTCGATCTCTCTCTCTCTCCTCCTCTCTCTATCTCTCTCTCTCTCTCTCTCTCTCTCTCTCTCTCTCTCTCTCTCTCCTCTCTCATCTCGTCTCTCTCCCTCTCTCTCTCTCTCTCTCTCAGTTCTCCTACCTCTCTCTCTTCGTCTCCCTCCATCTCTCTCCTCATCCTCCTCCCTCTCCTCTCTCTCTCTCTCTCCTCTTCAGCATTCAACATCCTGCTCTCCCAGTGTAGAAGCCTGAGTAGAGAGAGGAGTGGAGGAGTCGCCCTTCTCTCTCAGAGCGTTCCACTCCCTGCGTCTCTACCAGTGACCTGCCCACCGCCACGGTACCTGCTGGATGACCACTCAGCGCGACCAGTCCTGTGCACCCCGATGGCTCGGTCCAGCAGCCCAGTGCGGAGCTGACCCATCAGGGCCAGGGCCAGCCGGAGTTTACCCCCATCATCCACTCTCTACAACAGAATAAGGCTGAAGCGGAATCGGAGGACGCCGAGCTTTCTGCTCTAAAGCAAGAGCTATTGCAGCACCTTCTAAACATCGTGCCCAGACTGCAGGGAGAGAGGAAGAAGAATGAGAGCATCATCCAAGAACAACTTCCTCAGAATACAGCAGAAGTGGGCCAATGTGAGAGGTACTTAAATCTTAAGTGTGACACGTTTGCAGAGCTGCAGGAGCGACTCGGGTGCATCGACGGCAGTGAGACAGTTACCAAGTCATCCTTAAAAGAACCTTCTGCCATGACCGAGTCCCCTCCAGTCCCCCAAGATGGCTCAGGCAGAACTGAGACTGAGGAAAATACCTCCTTCTTGAAACCACTGAATATGAAGGTGAAGTATAGTGAGCTTTCCATTGTGGGTGAGAAAGAGAGCCTGGTGACAGATGGCAGTTTTCCGGTCGACAGTTTTCAGAGAGAGGACTCTGGTCTGTATGACTGTGAGGAGGGAAGTGCAGCCAGCTCCAACGAGGACCAACCAAACCCCTGTGGCTTTATCAGTTTACATCCAGCCTGCCAGAACCAAGGCAACCCCCCTGAGTACAGCTTTCTGCCGCAGCACAGTGAAATCTACACTCAGAACAGCCCTGTGCCAAGCTCTCATTCTCCTCTTCCTCTGTCTCTTCTTCCCCTGTCTCTGGAGCCAGCTGGATACCCAGGGAGGCCTGGCTTGCTGCAACACCAGACCAGGACCCCTCCGGCGGGCAAGAGCTCTCCGCTATCCCCTTCTCTCTCTCCATCCTCCTCGTCCTCCACCACCTCCTCCTTGGCTACCAGTGTTCTCCTAGGAGAGAGGATCCTTCCTCAGCTTTCCCAGCTGCCTACTAGAGAGTCGGACCTGAAGGAAATGAAGGCCACCATCACGGTGATGGTCCAGCAGCCATTGGACCAGACGGGTCAGGACGAGCTGGTGTTCACCATGGTGGAGGAGGTGACCATCAGTGGGGCACTGGAGAGAGGAGGCCAGGCGGGGAATATCATCAGGATCAGGGATGCCCACTCCTCCTCTGGCCAGGCTTCTTCAGGGTCTGGACTGGGTTCCCTTCCCATCAGGATTATCAGTAACGTTAGTGAAGATTCTACTACTACTAATACAGGCTCCACTATCAAGGCCATGGACCCTGCTAATACCACTAAGACCATGGCTGTGGAAGTCAACACCAAACCCAAGGCCATGTCTTCTCTCTCCAGGGTGGAGAACCGGGTCTTGCCCTCCTTTATAAACCCCTCGCTCGCTGACCTCAGTAGGAGGAGTAGTGATGTGGAAGGGTCTCGTCATCTCCGAGGGGTTTCTAACACCCGTTTCATGCGAGTGGATGCTTATGCTGAACCCAAGAAGAAAGATAATCTAAAAGGTTCAGGAAATAAAACGGCGATGGAGACAGAAGGTGCGTTCTTTATTACTGAGAGGAATCACGTGAGGAATACCAACGAGAGCATTTTGATGCCTTTCCCAGGTCAAACTAATAGTATTGCATCATGTGACACACATGCCTGGGAGGAGGCCGGTTGCTATGAGATGATGTCATCAGGGAATAGGGCCAGTGGGAGGAGTGGCAACCAAGCAGAAAGGAGCTATCCCAGAGGAGGGGAGTTTACCACCTGTTCCCTCACCTGTTATGACCGGGTCTTACCTGTTCCATCTTCCCTAATTACTCCAAAGACACCAGGAGACAGTAGTGAAAGGAGCAGGAATACACCAGAGAACTGTATCCCTGGTTACCCTGCAGCTACCCACCACAGAACAGCCAGTCTACCAAGAGGCTGGTATAATATCAACAAGCAGGAGAGCTATGTAATGAGCGAGGAGTATAAAGATAAAGCCCCAGACTTTAAATCATCCACCCCTGGTAGTCCCTGGGTGACCCTGGAGAGGAGGCCATCCTCAGCCAGGCAGGGGATCTTCTCCTGGGCCAGGGAGAGCCTCCCTCTCCCATTCTCACCAGCTCGGAAGTACAGCCTGGAGCAGCAGCAGAGACAGAGAACTAGTAACAGTCCTCTCAGCACAGCCAGTAGTTCACCGTTGGAGCCCATGCCATCCACTCGGAGTGTTAGACATGATAGCGGTAAGATGGAATCCCCCATAGAGGAAAGCAGTAGGCTTTTCAGTGCTAAACTAGAGCAGTTGGCTAGCAGACCAACTCTTTAGGTAGAATACCGCTGGAGTTCCACACTCTGGACCGAGGCAGTAGCCTGTCCTCTGTGAGCTCCATGGGGAGCTCCAAGGGGAGTTGGGAAGGGGAGTCCAGCCACCCCACCCTACCCCGGGCCAGCAGGAGCCCCAGAAGGGCCCCTAGGTCCATCCCCTTGACTGACAAGAACACCCCCAACACACCCCATTCTCCCAAAACCAGCAGGTCAACCTTTATAACTGAGCCCAACACCCCCACCTCCACAGCCCTCCAGTCTCCTAGAACCAGCCGATCTAAGCTCTCCGCGGTGGGGAAACTGATGATGACCAGCCCTAAGGTCCGCCGGATATCCATCCCCAGGACCAAGAACCTCAGCTTCTCTCCCAAGGAACTCCATCAGTCCATCAACAGGAGTGCCAGTCTGTCCCCTGATGGGAGGAGCCCTGAGCATGGTCCACTCTGGTCCACCCAGTCTCTAAGCCGAAACCAGACCCCCTCGCCCCAGACCCTACCACCACGCCTCGTAGCAAAGTCCCCCGTCCGGGTCATCAACGGGCGCATCTCAGAGCTCCTCCAGATCGGCAGAGAGCCCTACCCCTCTGGCGGGGCCTCCGGAGGACTAGTTCTAGACAAGATGGCGGCAGCGGCTGGAGCTACCTGTAGATCCATGGGAGAGGCTCACCCTGTTCACCCTGTACCCTCGCCCTATGCCAGGGTGACAGCACCTCGCAGGCCCAACCACCTCAGCGGGCACGCCAGTGATGTCACTAGCGTGTTGAGCGGGGAGCTGCCCCCGGCCATGGGTAAGACAGCGTTATTGACCAATAGGAACAGCCTGGTGAGCAGTGGATATGAGAGCATGGTTAGGGATAGCGAAGCCACAGGGAGCAGCACCTCCAACAGAGACTCTATCAGCGATAAGAGCTGTTCTATGATCAGTGTGACCCGCAGTGAGAGGAACCCCAAAAGGAGGAGCAGCAACGGTAAGATCTGATCTGGGTAATTCCTTAATTGAATACACAGCGAGCAAAACTGGACAAAACTGGTTGAAATTACCTGGTAATGACTGCATTTTAACCAGTTTTACCAGCTGGTCATATTGTAAGTCGCTGTAGTTACAAGTGTGTGATTCATGTTTTCTGCTTTGCGTTTTGTGTTGTGTTAAAATAAAGAGCAGGTGTGAGCTGTGTGGATTCGGTAAACAAGGTCCTTTGTGTTAACAACAATAAAAACACTGATGTGCAATGAAGTGAATGGAACGCTATGTGTGCGGATCGTGCATTTTCAGCGTATTGCCTTTGTACCAGTTAAGATTGGGCGGTTTTTATGTAATTCATTGGTGTTTCACAGATTACTATTCATTGCATTTCCTGTCCTTTTACTTCAAGATTTGTAGGGCTCATCTTAATAAGAGCCCAGAGAAAGTGATGAATGTCAAATGAAATGTTTGGGTTTAGTGGGCTTGTTTTGCTCACTTAATAAATGCCTCACTAGCCCCACCCAAACCCCCCTTTTTTCCCCCCCCCTTTGAAAATTTTCAAAATTTTGCCCCTTTTAAAAAATAATATTCCCCTTTTTAGTAAATTTCCCCCCAAATTTTTTACAATTAAAATTATAAAAAAAAAAAAAAAAAAAAAAAAAAAAAAAAAAAAAAAAAAAAAAAAAAAAAAAAAAAAAAAAAAAAAAAAAAAAAAAAAAAAAAAAAAAAAAAAAAAAAAAAAAAAAAAAAAAAAAAAAAAAAAAAAAAAAAAAAAAAAAAAAAAAAAAAAAAAAAAAAAAAAAATTTCCCCCTTTTTTCCCCTTTTTTTTTCTCATCTTATAAACCCAAAAAAATAAATTAAATTTTCCCAATAAAATTAAAATTATTCCCTATCTTCCTACCCTCTAAAATTAACCACCTATTTCCTACCTACCTTCAATTTACCTAATCTACCTACTCTATCTACTCTCCCTCCTTTACCTACCTACTCTACCAACTCTCACAAATTCCCTACTTCCTACCTACCTATTTAAAATCGATTTATACTCTCACAAACCTACCTACATACATACTCTACTCTACACTACTCCTACCTAAATTATTTTACCTACTCTCTCTTCTTTTTCCTTTTTCCTCTTCATTTTTCTCTTTCTCCTTCTTCTTCCCTCTTCTAATTTCCTTCTTTCCTCTCTCTCCCACTACCTACAACTACCCACTATCTACACTACACTACAACATAACTACTCTACACTAAAAAACCTACCTACAACTAATACCTATATTTTACTCTACACAACTACTCTCACACTCTCACAAACTCTAACACTCCACCACTACAATCACAACTTTTACCTACTCTAAACAAACCTCCTCCCTAAAACCAACTCTCTACCCCCCATTTACACTACCTACACTATTACACTACTCACACTAACTACCTACCAACTATCTACTCTACCCTAAATATCTACACAACCTACACACAACTCTACTTTTTCTCTACACTACTCACCTACCTCCCTCCGACCTACTCTTCTACACAAATCAACTTTCAAACCTACACTACTCTTCTCCTCCTCTTCCTCCCTCTCCACTTTCCTTCCCCTTCTCCTCCCTCCCCCCCTCCCCCTTCTTCCCTCTCCCCTTTTCTCTCTCCTCTACCTATCACCTACCTACACTACTTACACTCCCTCTACCTACCACTCTCCCTACAACTAACACCTCATTTTACACAAACCTACTCTACCAACTCTACCTACACTCACTACTCTACACTACCACACTACTCCTATCTACCTACTCTACCCCCTCTCAAACCCAAATTCTTCTTACCTTATTCACTCTAATTTAAAAAATACTCTACAATTCCCTACTCTACACTACTTACACAAACCTACTCTACCCTTACCTACACAAAAAACATCCTTCTACCTCCCCCTACACTCTCACTATCCTTTTCTCTCTCCACTCTTTTTCTCTACACTATCCCCTACATACCCAAAAACACTACTCTACCTCACTCCTCCCACTACACTAAAAACAAAAAACCTCAAACCTACCTCCCTACCTACCTACCAATCTACCTACTCACACTACTCTACACAATTCCTAAACTACCCCTACACTACACCTCTACACTAAAACCCCTTACACACTCACACTACTCACCTACACTACCCCCTATACACATACTTTCCTATCTCCCTACCACCTACAAAAATCTCCCTACACACTTACATACCACACTATTTACTCTACACCTCTACTTATTAAATTTAATCTCCCACTATAACTCTACATTACACTATTTTCCTACAAAACATACACTACCAAATTTACACTATTACTCTCTCCTTACACTACTCCAAAATCTACATACACTACTCAAACACACTTAATACACCTCTCCCTTTTACTCTCCCCACTACTACTCACCTCTACCTACCTACACAAAAATTACACACTACTTTACCTACAACTTTTACAACACTCCCCAAATAAACTACTCTACACAAAAATACATATCTACACACCTACTCTACCTACTCTACTCTACACCTCTAATACCTACAACTCTACCTACCAAACCCACTTTTAAAACCTACACTTACCAAACACTCCCTTACTTAAATCCTACCTACTTACTCTCCCTACCTAAAAATTAAACTACACTTACATTTACACTTATCTTACCTACACTACTTCCCCTTCTACCTACCTACTTACCACCTACCAAATCTACATTTACCATACACTACCTACTCTCCCTTCTATACTACTTTTACCCCTACTCTCCCCCTACCCCCTACTCTACCTCCAACAATACATTTCCCCTTACCTCACAACACTACACATTACACCTAACTTAATAATCTCCTCTCCCCTATACCATCAAACAAACTTTTTAACACTCCACTACCTACCACTTACTCTACACTTCTACCCCTATCCCCTTACTTTACCTATACTCCCCCCTACTCTACCTACACACCTCCCATCACCACTCTACTCTAACTACACTACTCTACAAACTCTAACAAATACCCCCCCCTACCTACACTACACTACTCTACACAACTCAAAACAAACTCTACACTCTTACTCTACCTAACATCTACACTATCTTACACTACTCTACTTCCTACCCTACACATCTCCACTCTAACACTACACTACCTCCCCAATTTTACTCAAACCTCCTCTCTACTTACATAACACTACTCAATCTACACTACCACCTAACACTACACTATCTCTTTCCCCTTCCCCCTTTTTTTCCCTTTTCCTTTTTATTTTTTTTTTTTTTACACTACACTACTCTACACAATCTACCTAACTACCTACTCTACCTATCTACTCACAACTCCCAAAATACCCTTACAATTTACTTTACCTCCTCACTCCCCTATTTATACATTTTTAAACTACTTCACCCTCTCTACATTACACTAATTTACACAACTCTTACCGACTCTCCTTACTTACACTCCCTCCACTAACTACTCTAACTCCTACTCTACACTACTCTCCACTATCACACTACTCTACAACTTACCTACCTACCACCCTATTTCTCCCCCTCCCTTCTACACTTTACTTACACTACACTACTCTAACCCTCTAAAACTACTCTAATTCTACACTTACTTCCTTACTCTACCTCCCTTTTACTCTAAATTTCCCTACTTTTTACCCTACACGCCCACTCTTTACCTAATCTACACTACATACCTTTTACAAAATATCTCCCATCAACTACCCCTTCCCTTTACTCTAATCTCCCTACTCTACACTAACTATTACTTACTCTAACAAACACACCACAAACCCCCAACAACCAAAAAAAACCCCCACAACCACCAACACAACTCCCACCACACGCCCACCACTACAAAACTAAAACACCCCCAACATCCACAACACCAACAACCACCTACCACACACCTACAAAAAACCCCACCTACCACCAACACAACACACCACTACACACCACCCCCTGCACACACACCCACACAACAACCTACCTAACCCCCCAAACACAACCCCACACACCACAACCACCACACTACACAAACCACAAAAACCCAAAAACACCCACAAACTACAATACCCCCCTTTTCACCACCACAACACCACCTACACAACCAGTCACCTAAAAACCCCCCCTCTTCCCTCCCCTTTTTTCCCCCCCCCTCACACACTCTACACACTCTACACCACCAACATTTATTTTACAATCCCACCACATAACACCACCACCTCCCAAAAAACCCACACCACCACAACCTACCACAAACTCTACACACTCAACTACACACCTACACAAAAATTTAACTACACTCACACCCCCCCTCACCTCCCCCACACACACCCACCACCCACCCACCACACAACCCCAAACCCTACACACACCCCAACTACCGACCCTAACAAAACACTACCCCCGACCACACACACACCGCAAAAACAACACACCCCACCACACACCAACCCACACCAACCCACCACACACCTTCCACCACCCCCCAAACACACCAACCACCCCCACACCGACCCACAACCCACACACACTCACACAACCCCGACACCACCACACACCCCCAACCTACACCCCCAACACCCCCAAAAATACCACACACAACTTACACTACTCTAAATCTCCCTAACTCCCTTACCTTACCTAACTCCACTCAAAACCTCCCACACTACCAAATTACCATACAAAAATAAAAGCCCACCAAACCAACCCCTTTCCACAAACCACAAACAAACATAACCACCCCCACCCCCACCCCCCAACAACAAACCAAAACATACACCACTCACCACCACCGATTGAACACCCACACACACTAAAACCCCAACACACTCCCCCAACACCACCAACACCCAACACAAACCACAACCAAACCCCACCACCAACCACACACACTACAAACAACCCCCAAACCACATCTAATATCCCCGACACACAAACACACACAAACCCCCTCACTACCACCCCCCAACGAAAAAACCAAAACAACACCACCCCACTGCCCCCACCTACCACATTAACTACTCTACCAAAATACACTGCCAACCTACAACCAACCTACATCTCCTACACTACCCCTAACACACCTCAACACCACCACACAACCCACCACCACACTACACCAAACCACAACCCAAAACCCCACCACACCCAAACACACACTACTCACCACACACACTACGCTACCACCACACTACCACCTACCCAAGGCCACACATTTTCCCACACAATCACCACCACCCACTACCGACTAACAACCCATAAATCCCCACTACCCCCCAACTACCTGCCTACACAATACATCCTACTCAACACTCCCCACTACCCATACCCCCTTACCTACCCCACAAACACTCTCACGGAAAACTAACTATCAAATTTTAAACAAAAACCCCCGTAACTCCTTCACACACCCACACCCACACAACTTAAACTCCAAACAAAACCTCTAACACAACAAAAAACCAACCCCCTCTACAAACTCTACACATACACTCTACACTACACAAAAACGACCAAAAACGACCTACACTCTACCACTCTAACTAACCTTACACAAAACTAAACTCTACACAACCACCCACACTACTTACCTACTATAACGACCCACCCCCAAACAACCAACCCCTACCAAACACTATCAACACACCACACTACTCTACCACACTACCACACTTTTCCCCTTCTCTTCAAAAAAACCCCCCCCCTTTATTCTTATTCCTTTTTCATTCCCGTGGGTTCACCCCGGGGCTCGCCCATGCACGTCCCGTCTCTGAGGGGGCCACCCAGGGGGGCCAAGGTCTCGCTGGGTAGCCCAGGGGGCATCCCAAGGCCTACGGGATAAAGGGTTATGAGATAGATGACGGGGAAGGTAAGGAGAGGGGGAAAGGGGGGGCCCAAACAGGTGAGGGGAAGAGATGTCAGTGTTGGTGTTTTAAGATAGGCTTGGATACACGTTTAGTTTATCAGGGGAAATCAGGGCTATTCTTGAGTTTGTGTACAAACACATAAATAGCCAAACACAACTCAAGAACAATGGCAAACTTACAATGCAAGCGTACAATGCATTACATGATACTAACATGTATAATCTCCATGTGCAGTACATACATACATACATACACTACATCTCATTCCAAAATCATGGGCATTTATATGGAATTGGTCCCCCCTTTGCTGCTATAACAGCCTCCACTCTTCTGGGAAGACTTTCCACTAGATGTTGGAACATTGCTACGGGGACTTGCTTGCTTCCATTCAACCACAAGAGCATTAGTGAGGTTGGGCACTGATGTTGGGCGATTAGGCCTGGCTCGCGGTCGGAGTTCCAATTCATCCCAAAGGTGTTCAATGGGGTTGAGGTCAGGGCTCTGTGCAGGCCAGTCAAGTTCTTCCACACCAATCTCAACAAAACATTTCTGTATGGACCTCGCTTTTGTGCACAGGGGCATTGTCATGCTGAAACAGGAAAGGGCCTTCCCCAAACTGTTGCCACAAAGTTGGAAGCACAGAATCATCTAGAATGTCATTGTATGCTGTAACGTTAAGATTTCTCTTCACTGGAACTAAGGGGCCTAGCCCGAAACATGAAAAACAGCCCCAGACCATTATTCCTCCTCCACCAAACTTTACAGTTGGCACTATGCATTCGGGCAGGTAGTGTTGTCCTGGCATCCACCAAACCCAGATCCGTCCGTCGGACTGGCAGATGGTGAAGCGTGATTTCCACTTCACAATAACAGGGCAGAAATGTACTTGTTGGAAAGGTGACTTGTTGGAAAGGTGGCATCCTATGATGGTACCACTTTGAAAGTCACTGAGCTCTTCAGTACGAGCCATTCTACTGCCAATGTTTGTCTATGCAGATTGCATGATTTTATCCACCTGTCAGCAACGGGTGTGGCTGAAATAGCCGAATCTACTAATTTTAAGGGGTGTCCACATATTTTCTTTTGTATATGAATACAATACATATACACTATACACTAAACTTTGAAAATTGACTATTTTCCGATCTCTAAGGTATAGTCCGAGGATACGTCCCAAATGGCACCCTATTCCCATAGGGCTGTGGTCAAAAGTATTACGATATTTAGGGAATAGGGTGCCATTTGGTATTCGCATCCATAATATTAGGTTTGTTGTTCTGAAGAGGCTCTTCTCTGTGTAAACTGATGTTTAGCTGAAGCTCTCATTGTCCTTGGCTGTGTTGTTGTTAACAGGGAATAGCCTGCTTCAGTGCCAAACTCAAGTTCCTGGAGCACCGTCAGCAGAGGATCGAAGAGGTGAGAGCCAAGTACAACAGCCTGAAGAGCGAGTTGGAGCTGGCCAAACAGAATCTCATGCTGGACGGGAATGGAACAAGAGTGTGAGGGGTTTATAAGAAAATTTTTTTTGGGGGGCCCGGGGAAATATTTTTCCAAAACAAAAAGTTGATGGGGTTTTTTGAAAAAATGTTTTTTACGTTGGGTAAAGTCGGAAAAACCAAAAAATTTTAAAAAAAAAATTTTAAAAAAAAAAAAAAACAAAAAAAAAAAGACTTTAAAAAAAACAAAAAAAACAAAACCCCCAAAAAAAAAAACAAAAAAAAAAACCCCCCTAAAAAACAAAAAAAACACTCCACCGGGCCGATTGGGAACCCCAAAAAAAAAAACAAAAAAAAAAAAAAAAAAAAAAACAAAAAAAATAAAAAAAGGGGGAAAACCCCCAAAAAGGGGGGGGGGGGGGGGGGGGGGGTGGGGGCCCCCCGGGGGGGGTTGGGGGGCCCCCACCCCAAAACCCCCCCCCCCCCCCCCCCCCCCTAGCCCAAAAAATAAGGGATTGCTTAAAATGTTTGGGGGTCCTATGATAGGACCCCAAAGGAAGGTTTTTTTCCGGATAGGGATGGTTTTTGGTCTGGACAAACGGACCGACCCTACAATCCACCCCTGGCTTGGTGCGGGAGCAGCAAAACGGCCGGACGGGGTGACGATACGACCCCTGGCTTGGTGCGGGGAGGCAGGAAGGGGCCTTTTACCAAAGGGCTGACGACCGCCCCCTGGGGGTTTTTTTGCGAACAGGAAAGGCCGGGGGGGCTGGCGAAACCGCCACCGTAGGCTGGGGGCGAGGGCAGGAACAGGCCGGGGGGGCTGGGGGGACGCCCGCACCGTAGGGTTGGTGCGGGGGCAGGAAAGGCCGGGCCCCGGGGTGGCCCCACGCGGGCCCGGGGTTGGTTTTGGGGGGGGGGGGCGAGGGTTGGGGGGGGAGGAACCCCGGGGGGGGGCCCCGGGGGGTGGGGGAAAGGCCCGGGGGCCCCCCCCGGGCACCCACCTACTTGGTGGAGTCAAACGGCCCGGGGGACGGCCCTTTTTTTGGGGACGGAAAGGGGGGGGAAACCCCCGGAGGGTTTGGGGCGAGTGGCGAAAAACCGGCCGGGGGCCGGGATTTTTTTCGGGGGGGCGCCCGGGGCTGGGGCCAGTAGGGGGGGGGAAACGGCCCGGGGGGCGACGCCACCCTAGGGTTTTGGTGGGGGCAGGAACGGCCCGGGGGGGTGGGGGCCCCCGGGACCAGGTTGGTGCGAGGGGGGGCAAAAGGCACAGGGCGGGGGGGCCCCGGGCTGGCGACGCGCACCGTATTGGGCGAGGGCAGGAACAGGGGGGCCGGGCTGGCGAAGCCCACCCTAATTGGTGCGGGGGCAGGAACAGGGGGCCCGGGGGCGACGCCCACCGTACCTGGTGCGGGGGCAGGAAAACGGCCGGCGGGCTGGCAAAACCGGGGACCTACTGGTGCGAGGGGAGGAAAAGGGCCGGCCGGGTTTGGGACCCACCGTCCTTCGGGGCGGAAAGGCCGGGCCCGGGTGGCCGCCCCGTACCCTTTGCGGGGGGAACACCCCCTCCCCCCTACATGGGAAGGGGCCCGGAACGGCCCCCGGGGGGCCCAGCCCCCTCATTTGGGGCCAAAAGGGGGGGTTTCCCGCCCGTCCCTTTTGAGGGGGGGAAACGGACCGTTGGGCCCCCCTGGGCCTTAAAGGGGATCAGGAAGGGCCACCGGTGGAAAAACCCTCCCGTACCCCCTTTGCCGCCAAAAACCCTTCCTCCCCTTCCCCACCGGGTCCCTAAATTTGGGGGCCTTCTGAATGTTTCGCCCCCCAAGCCCCGCGTAATTTTCCCCCCCCAAAAAATTTTTTGTTCTTACACAAAACTTTACGCCCTTTCTCCTTCCCTCCCCCACCGTCCATCCAAAAACCCGGGCGAAATTTATTGGTTCCCTCCCGGCCCAGGACCCTGCCGCCAAAACCTCCCCGAGGGGCCCTGCTCCGGGAAAGTCTTTCCAATTTGGGGGCTTTCACACGCAAAATAGACCCAGCCAGGGTGGAAAAATATTTCCCCCCCAAGGAAAAAAAAACCCCCCAATAAAAAACGGGGGGGGGGGGAGGGGTTGGGGGTTAACACGAAAAAACCCCAAAAAATCCCCCAAAATAAAGGGCCTGTTTTTGGGCCCCCGAGCAAAAAGCAACAGGACATGTTGCCTTTGTTGGGGACCGGCCCTGAAAAGAAAAACCTGAAAACCCAAGGGGCCCCGGACTACACACCCTGGCTAAAAAAACCCGCCGGGGTTTACGTCCCCCCCCCCCAAAAGGGGCACGCCCCACCGGCCCCCATAAAAAACCAGGGGGGGCGGGGGGGCTTCCCTCGGAGGCGGTTTCGGTGGGGGACACCCCCTCAAAACCCCCGTAGGCCCCCCGGGCCCGGTTTTGGGGCTGGTGGGGGCTGGAGGACCGAAGGGGGGGTTGCAAGCTCCGGTGGGCGCGACCGGTCTGGTCAGGGGGAAGGCCCAGGCCGGGGGCCGGCTGCGACGCCACCCCTGGTTTTTGGGGCGGGGCAGGAAAAAGGCCGGCCCCGGGGTTGGGGGGGCACCCCGGCCTTTGGTGCGTGGGCAGAAAGGGGGGGCCGGGGGTGACGAACGCACCTGGTTTTGGGGCGTTGGGCAGGAACGGGGCCCCGGCTGGCCGCCCCTGGTTTTGGGGCGAGTGGGAAAAGGCCGGGGCCGGGCTGGCGAGCGCACCCTAGGTTGGGCGAGTGCAGGAACGGGCCGGGGCCCGGGGTGGCGAGGCCCCCGAGGTTGGTGCGGGGCAGGAAAAGGCCGGGGCCCGGGGGGGACGCCACCGTAGGTTTTGGGGCGGGGCAGGAAAGGCCGGGCGGGGGGCACGCGCACCGTGGTTTGGGCGAGGGCAGGAAAGGCCCGGGGGGTGGGGACGCGCACGTACTTGGTGGAGGGGGAGGAACAGGGGGGCCGGGGGGGCGACCGCAGGATTGGTAGGGCAGGGAAAAGGCCGGGCCGGGCTGGCGCGCGCCCCCCGAGGGTTTTGGGGCGAGGGCAGGAACAGGCCGGGGGGTGGGGCCGCACCGTCGGTGCAGGGCGGAACAAGCCGGGGGCCGGGGGTGGGGAGCCACCGTCTTTGGGCGGGGGGAAAAGGGAAAAGGCCCGGGGCCGGGTGGCGACGCACCCGAATTGGTGCGGGGGGCAGGAACAGGCCCGGGGGGGTGGCAAAGCCATCTTGGGCGAAAAAAGGGGGGGGGGCGACCCCACAACACTTGGTGCAGGGGAGGAAAGGGCCCGGGGGGGTGGCGACGGCCACCGTCACTTTGGGGCGAGGGGAGGAAAGGGGCCCGGGCCCCTGGCCCCCCACTGGGGAAAAGGGGAGGAAAAGGCCGGGCCGGGGCTGGCAACACACCGTAATTTCCCCGGGGGGAAAAACCCCCCCCCCGTTACATTGGTCCCAAAAAAAAGGGGGCCCTGGCGGCCCCCTTTAACTTTTCCCAGGCCCGGGCCGGGTGCCCCCCTAATTTTTGGTGCGGGGCAGGGAACGGCCGGGCCCTGGGGGGCGCCCCCGTTCCTTGGTGCGAGGGGCAGGAACAGGCCGGACCGTACTGGGAACACACACCACTGGCCTTAAACGGGGATCAGGAACGGGCCGGACCGGACTGGCAATACACCTCAGTACCTCTCGCCGCGCCTCTACATCTTCCTTCCCTCTTCTCACCAATGGCTCCCGTAATCTGGTGGCCTTCTGAATTCGCCCCTTATCTGCCTCCAGCAGCCCCGTCGTCCATGCCATGTGCCCCCCCCTAAAAAATTTTTGGGGTTGCCTCTCGTCCGTCCGACGACGAAACTGTTGACGCCGTTGCTCCTCTCTCCGTCGCGCCTCTACCGTCTCACTCCATGGACGGCGATCCATCCCGGCCTGGATTTCCTCCCAGGTCCAGGACCCCTGCCCGTCCAAGATCTGCTCCCACGTCCAGGCTGCCTGCTCCTGGACACGCTGCTTGGTCCTGATATGGTGGGATCTTCTGTCACGATCGTCGTAGAGAGTAGACCAATGCGCAGCGTTAGTTGCGAACATACTTAACTTTATTATCTTAAGTGATAATATAACAACAAAACAATAAACGAAACGTGCAGTCCTACGGTTAACACAGAAACAACCAAACGGAAACAAGATCCCACAAACACTAAGGGAAACAGACTGTTTAAATATGGCTCCCAATCAGAGACAACCAGCAACAGCTGACACTCGTTGCCTCTGATTGGGAGACACTCTGGCCAACATAGAAAAGCAACAACTAGAACTCCCACACAGAACATAAACACATGGAATCTACACACCCTGGCTCAACATATAGAGTCCCCAGAACCAGGGTGTGACAGTACCCCCCCCCCCCAAAGGCGCGGACTGCGACCGCGCCTCCACATAAATAAACCAGGGGAGGGCTGGGTGGGCATTCCTCCTCGGAGGCGGTTCCGGCTCCGGGCTTGACCACCACCCTTCAATAATTCCCCCGTAGCGCCCCTGGTCCGGTCTGGCCCCGCTGGCTGGAGCTGGACTGGACATCGAAGGAGCGGATTGCTTAAGCTCCGTTGTGGAGCAGCTGACCGGTACCTGATCAGGCACCGGTGACCCAGGCACGGGTTGTGCCGGACTGACGACGCGCACCCCTGGCTTGGTGCGTGGAGCAGGAACGGACCGGACCGGGCTGACGATGCGCACCCCTGCCTTGGTGCGTGGAGCAGCAACGGGCCGGACCGGGCTGACGATACGCACCACTGGCTTGGTGCGTGGAGCAGGAACGGGCCTTACCAGGCTGACGACTCGCACCCCTGGCTTGGTGCGAGTAGCAGGAACAGGCCGGGCCGGGCTGGCGACGCGCACCGTAGGCTTGGTGCGAGTGGCAGGAACAGGCCGGGCCGGGCTGGCGACGCGCACCGTAGGTTTGGTGCGAGTGGCAGGAACAGGCCGGGCCGGGCTGGCGACGCGCACCGTAGGTTTGGTGCGAGTGGCAGGAACAGGCCGGGCCGGGCTGGCGACGCGCACCGTAGGTTTGGTGCGAGTGGCAGGAACAGGCCGGGCCGGGCTGGCGACGCGCACCGTAGGCTTGGTGCGAGTGGCAGGAACAGGCCGGGCCGGGCTGACGACGCGCACCGTAGGTTTGGTGCGAGTGGCAGGAACAGGCCGGGCCGGGCTGGCGACGCGCACCGTAGGTTTGGTGCGAGTGGCAGGAACAGGCCGGGCCGGGCTGGCGACGCGCACCGTAGGCTTGGTGCGAGTGGCAGGAACAAGCCAGGCCGGGCTGGCGACGCACACCGTAGGCTTGGTGCGGGGAGCAGGAACAGGCCGGGCCGGGCTGGCGACGCACACCGTAGGCTTGGTGCGGGGAGCAGGAACAGGCCGGGCTGGGCTGGCAACGCGCACCGTAGGCTTGGTGCGAGGGGCAGGAACAGGCCGGGCCGGGCTGGCGACGCGCACCGTACACTTGGTGCGAGGGGCAGGAACAGGCCGGGCCGGGCTGGCGACGCGCACCGTACACTTGGTGCGAGGGGCAGGAACAGGCCGGGCCGGGCTGGCGACGCGCACCGTACACTTGGTGCGAGGGGCAGGAACAGGCCGGGCCGGGCTGGCGACGCACACCGTACACTTGGTGCGAGGGGCAGGAACAGGCCGGGCCGGGCTGGCGACGCGCACCGTACACTTGGTGCGAGGGGCAGGAACAGGCCGGGCCGGGCTGGCGACGCGCACCGTACACTTGGTGCGAGGGGCAGGAACAGGCCGGGCCGGGCTGGCGACGCGCACCGTACACTTGGTGCGAGGGGCAGGAACAGGCCGGGCCTGGCTGGCGACGCGCACCGTACACTTGGTGCGAGGGGCAGGAACAGGCCGGACCGTACTGGGAACACACACCACTGGCCTTAAACGGGGATCAGGAACGGGCCGGACCGGACTGGCAATACACCTCAGTACCTCTCGCCGCGCCTCTACATCTTCCTTCCCTCTTCTCACCAATGGCTCCCGTAATCTGGTGGCCTTCTGAATTCGCCCCTTATCTGCCTCCAGCAGCCCCGTCGTCCATGCCATGTGCCCCCCCCTAAATGTTTTTGGGGGTTGCCTCTCGTCCGTCCGACGACGACACTGTTGACGCCGTTGCTCCTCTCTCCGTCGCGCCTCTACCGTCTCACTCCATGGACGGCGATCCATCCCGGCCTGGATTTCCTCCCAGGTCCAGGACCCCTGCCCGTCCAAGATCTGCTCCCACGTCCAGGCTGCCTGCTCCTGGACACGCTGCTTGGTCCTGATATGGTGGGATCTTCTGTCACGATCGTCGTAGAGAGTAGACCAATGCGCAGCGTTAGTTGCGAACATACTTAACTTTATTATCTTAAGTGATAATATAACAACAAAACAATAAACGAAACGTGCAGTCCTACGGTTAACACAGAAACAACCAAACGGAAACAAGATCCCACAAACACTAAGGGAAACAGACTGTTTAAATATGGCTCCCAATCAGAGACAACCAGCAACAGCTGACACTCGTTGCCTCTGATTGGGAGCCACTCTGGCCAACATAGAAAAGCAACAACTAGAACTCTCACACAGAACATAAACACATGGAATCTACACACCCTGGCTCAACATATAGAGTCCCCAGAACCAGGGTGTGACAGTCTGGTGTGTTTGTAAGGGTGTTATGTGGCTAATGTTGATCCTGAGAGGCCTCTGTAGTTCATGTTATAGTAAGATGATGGCTAGCTAAAATAGCCAGTTTTTTACAATGTTTATTTGGTGGCCAGTCATCACTGATCACTGTGTTGTTTGTGTAGTTGACCTGTGGCAGACATTTGAGGTTGACTCTCTGGAACACCTGGAAGCATTGGAGGTGGTCACGGCAAGGCTGGAGAGCAGGGTCAACCTCTGCAAGGCCAACGTCATGATGGTCACGTGCTTTGACATCGCCACCAAGCGCCGGCAAGCGAGGAGACGCCGCCGGACGGAACAGCAGCAAGGATTCATGGGAATTTAGTGTAATTTTGTTCCCATTGTTGTTAATAGATGTACAAAGAGAGAGCTTTACAGAGAGAGAGAGAGAGAGAGAGAGAGAGAGAGAGAGAGAGAGAGAGAGAGAGAGAGAGAGAGAGAGAGAGAGAGAGATGTACAGATAGAGAGAGAGAGATGTACAGATAGAGAGAGAGAGAGAGAGCGAGGAGAGAGAGAGATGGAATACCATCGTTTTTTTATGCTTATCTGAATTCCACTTGAAAACATACACAGGTATTTGCATTTCAACTCCCTAACAGTAGTGAGAAGTATCACTCAGTGTTGACTTCTCCTGAAGAAGAGGGAGTGGAATCTACATCTCTGAATGCCACAGAGCACTCTTACTCTGAATGATGTATGTTCTTCTGACACAGGATACAGGTCAATATTCACTGTTACAGTGGGTTTCTTAAGTATTCACCCCCCTTGAATTTTGTTCACATTTTGTTGCGTTACAAAGTGGGATTGAAATGGATTTAATTGTGATATTTTTTGTCATTGATTTACACAAAATAATCCATAATGTAAAGTGAAAAGAAAATTCTACAAATGTTTACAAATGAATACAAATGTAATAACAAAAATCGAGTTGTTGCATAAGTATTTACCCCCTTTGTTTAGGCAAGCCTAAATTAGTCCAGTAGTCAAATTTGGCTTAACAAATCACATAATAAGTTACATGGATTCACTATGTGCGAAATTGGTATTGACATGATTTTTGAATGACTACCCCTTCCTCTGTACCAACTCAGTGGCCTTGGGGTTAGAGTGTCCGCCCTGAGATTGAGAAGGTTGTGAGTTCGCTCCATGGCTGAGTCATACCAAAGACTGTACGAATTTGTACTTGTACATCAAGCTGCCTCACGCTATAGAAACAGAAGATAGGGTCCTGCCCTATGAGCTGTTTTGGCTCGCACAAGGCAAGACTACTTACTACCCCTTCCTCTGTCCCCCATACATACAACATCTGTATGGTCACTCAGTCAACTATTGAATTTCAAGCACAGATTCAACTTCAAAGTCCAGCAAGCTTTTCCAAAGCCTCGTAAAGAAGGGCAGTGATTGGTAGATGGGTAACAATAACAAAACAGATATTATGCTGTGGATTATATATTAAACCACCCAGACACATCAAATTCGTCCTTCTGAACTGAGCTGCAGGACAGGAATGAAACTGCTCAGGGATGTCACCATGAGCCCATGTTCAGTCTGCTTTCCACCAGACACTGGGAAACAAATTCACCTTTCAGCAGGACAATAACCTACAACACAAGGCCACATCTACACTGGAGTTGCTTACCAAGAAGACAGTGAATGTTCCTGAGTGGCAAAGTTACAGTTTTGACTTAGATCTGCTGGAAAATATATGGCAAGACTTTTGCTGTGTAGCCATGACCCCCAACACCTTGACAGAGCTTGAATAATTTTGAAAAGAATAATGGTTCAAAGCTCTTAGAGACTAAACCAAGCAGACTCACATTTGTAATCACTGCCAAAGTTGTTTCTAACATGTATTGACTCAGGGGGTGAATACTTACCTAACGTATATTATTGTTACATTTTTCCCACACACACTCACACACATAAACATACACACACACACACACACTCCATGATGTCTGTTTTATGAATCCTATTTACAGTATCAGCATGTTGTATGTCAACTCTTTAAAAGCTACATGTCTTCATATTTCTCTGTATTTATTATGGTATTGCTATGTAGCCCCCTACTGTATCCTTTAACTTTGATGACAAAGGATAAACTGTTCTAAAGTGGTTGTGTGCCCCTTGTGTTTTGTTCATTCACCTAAGTCTGATGACTTTGTGTGAGAGCTGGAGGCTTGGCACGCAATGCTGATGTGTTATTATTAATGCAAACACAGAGTGTACTGTTTCAAACAGTAGTTTGAGAAGGGAGACAAAACACTACCACAGAGAACAACAGGAACACTGAATCCCAAACGGCGCTCTAGCTCCTACCCCCCCCTACGCTAGCCTGGCCCCACATCGGTTTAATCTGTAACAGTGGAGGCTGTTGAGGGGAGAACGGCTCATAATAATGTCCGGAACGGAGCAAATGGAATGGCATCAAACATCTGGAAACCATGTGTTTGATGTATTTGATACCATTCCACTAATTCCGCTCCAGTCATTACCACGAGCCCGTTCTCCCCAATTAAGGTGCCACCAACCTCCTGTGATCTGGAAGGAGCTGGCAAGACTGCACAAACATATCTGGGACCAGGCTACCCCATGCACTCCGTCTGTCCTGTGGATCTGAAAAGACTGAATAGGTCCAAGCAGTATGGCAAAAAATTCCACCTAGCCTATCAGAAGGCGATGCAATTACTACATTGGTTAAACTGAGTGTATATGTTCCTTTCATATCTACAGGCGTGCCTAGGGGTTAGCGGTCCATTTGAGTCAATCACAAGATGTTAAGCTTAAGCCACATTATTGTTATATGATGCAGCAGCTTCGCCATTATCGGCTGTCGCTACGGATGTTTTCTAGTGGGAAGGTAATAAGGACACGCAGTCAGCCGGAGTTCACTTCTAAAAGTCAGACTCATTACACACACTCCCTGGATCGCTCCCCATTTCAGCCTTTCCCTCTTTCTGCTCTAGTTCACCGTCATGTAGGACTCATTAGAAATCCCCACAAAGATAAAAATGCAGATGTGAACAGGGCAAATCTTTTTTCATATTTAGAACGGGCAGACATGAAGAGGGCATTCAAAGGGTAAATACTACTAAGCTGTGGGTCTGCCTGTGTTTGATGTGTCATCACTTTGTCACAAAGAATTCTCAACGTATCTTTCTATGAATCCACTGTGACTGTTGGATTTCACACTTTGAATTACTAATTATAATTGTGTTTGACCAGATAAAATGCTATTTTACAGTAAACAAATTGAAATCAGACTTTCAGCACTGCTTATAGGGAAGAACATTCAACAAGCACAGCACTGACACAAATGACTGATGATTGGTTGAGAGAAATTGATGATAAAAAGTTTGTGGGGGCTGTTTTGTTAGACTTCAGTGCGGCTTTTGACATTATCTATCATAGTCTGTTGCTGGGAAAACATATGTGTTATGGCTTCACACCCCCTGCTATATTGTGGATAAAGAGTTACCTGTCTAACAGAACACAGAGAGTGTTCTTTAATGGAAGCATCCACAGGGCAGCTGTCTAGGCCCCTTACTTTTTTCAATCTTTACTGTCGACATGTTTGAGTAAAGCCAGTGTGTCTATGTATGCGGATGACTCAACACTATACACGTCAGCTACCACAGCGACTGAAATGACAGCAACACTTAACAAAGACCTGCAGTTAATTTCAGAATGGGTGGCAAGGAATAAGTTAGTCCTAAATATTTCAAAAACTAAAAGCATTGTATTTGGGACAAATAATTTACTAAAACCTAAACCTCAATTAAATCTTGTAATGAATAATGTGGAAATTGAACAAGTTGAGGAGACTAAATTGCTTAGAGTAACCCTGGATTGTAAACTGTCATGGTCAAAACATATTGATGCAACAGTAGCTAGGATGGGGAGTCTGTCTATAATAGTCTGTCTATAATAAAGCGCTGCTCTGCATTCTTAACAGCGCTATCAACAAGGCAGGTCCTACAGTCCCTAGTTTTGTCGCACCTGGACTACTGTTCAGTCGTGTGGTCAGGTGCCACAAAGAGGGCAGCACAGCTGGCCCTTGAATGTACACAGAGAGCTAACATTAATAATATGCATGTCAATCTCTCCTGGCTCAAAGTGGAGGAGAGATTGACTTCATCACAACTTGTATTTGTGAGAGGTATTGACATGTTGAACCCCACAAGACATGCCACCAGAGGTCTCTTCACAGTCCCCAAGTCAAGAACAGACTATGGGAGGAGCACAGTACTACATAGAGCCATGGCTACATGGAGCTCTATTCCACATCAAGTAACTCATGCCAGCAGTAAAATGAGATTAAAAGAACAGATAAAAATACACCTTATGGAACAGCGGGGACTGTGAAGTAATGCATACAAACACACGATAACATACGCACTATACACACCTGTAAACATGGATTTTGTGTTATAGATATGTGGTAGTAGAGTAGAGGCCTGAGGGCACACTCTTAATATGTTATGAAATCTGTTATCAATGTATTGTAATGTTTTTAAAATGTATAACTGCCTTAATTTTGCTGGACCCCAGGAAGAGAAGCTGCTGCCTTGGCTGCAGCTAATGGGGATCCATAATAAATACAAATACAAATACCAAAGCTCTCCAATAGATATTTGAAAACATATGTTTCTAAGAAGGAGATACTGTACTTTTACACAATAGGCTACTGTTCCACATTGTGTAACGACATTATACAAAATACCATCCCACTCCTTCAGTCACAGTTCAAATCGCATCTCCAAACAGGCTCAGGTGCCTGTGAGGATGGAACATTAATCGACAGGAACAAATACACCTTGATGCAGCCCAACTTCCCCATACAACAAATAGCTCCAACAACCTGAGTGACATATCTCACTGTCAAAAACTGGTTTAAAAATAAATAAATAAATGTGATGACTTTGAATCAACGTGGAAAACTGATTGGATTAGAAAAAAGTAATCAATGTAAGGGAATGTTGTATTTTTTTTCACCCAACATTTTACCTAAATCCAGTAACATTATGATTTTTTTTGTTGGTTTCACGTTAGTTGACAAATCTACCAAATATACATTACAACTAGACGTTTAACTGACGTCTGTGCCCAGTGGGATGATATTAAACGAAATCGAGAAACATTTTCCACCACATGTAAACACTGATGTGCCAGGCCTGTAAATTACAGGCCACCTCTGTGTACAATTTGAGACATCAACCAGCTGCCAGAAGATGGCCCCCTTGCCTCTTCTGTACAATAAAATTATATATTTCGCAATGAAGGGCAGACGAAGACAGAAAATGCCCGGATTAGATCGTAAACAACCATGGATCCGCAGAGAGCATCTCTTTAGCTGTCAGATTATAAAATTCACTACGCACGGTGACACTCACGATTCTATATCAAGTGCATTTAGAACATCGCGTTTAGAATAAAAGGGATAGGGATTGAGCTGGATGACCGTTGATGACCGTTCAGTTGATTGTCAACCACGAACCTTTGCCTACAGCGGGACATTATCTTACAAGTGTGAGTATGGATACATCCGCGTGATGATGGGGTACCACAGTTTTTACTTAGGGTTACCGTCTTCGAATATATGATTCTGATGACGACAGCATTTTAGCGTATATGGTTATAGCCAAAATATCGCAGGAATGGCTTCTTGATTAGAAAAGGATGAAATAGTTGCTCTTCATTGCTGAATAATAAACATGAAATTGGCGTAAGAAAATGTATACTGTGAATTGCAACATTGTAGCGCATGTAGCCCGTTTATTACTCTGTAAAATGCGTTGATAATGTGCTACAGTATTCCAATGAATTGAACCAACATGAAAGGTTTGGCTTGGACTCATCTATTTGGTTACATTGAGCAGCACATGCACTTGAGTGCCACTGCCTGGATAGGCACAGTAGGCAGCATCAGCTGCAGCATAAATTCTTCACTATTGGTTCGCAACATAAGTAAATGCAATGAGATGTAAACGTTATAAAATAAAAATACACATGACCACACGGAAGAGATCAAAGTATACGTATAAGACCAAACATACATTAGTCTACTCTATACTAAAAAGGTTAATTCTTCTGGAAAGAAAGTGTACCAAAACCCGCTTCAGCCCAGTTTGAACAAAAAGGGAATCAGGTGCTCGACTGAGGGACTTGAAAATCCAAAAGACAGACAGACACCCTTTGAAGTATCATGGGGTAAGGAATGTTTTTTGGAGGTTCATTCTGCTATCTGTGTATAACTACAGTTTGTCAGTTACTGGTTGGAGGATGCAAACATGGATGATTATTCAAAACAATGCATCACATTGGATAAGCAATGTGTGTACATTTTCTGTGAGTTTTGTCACCTTAAATCTATGTAAGAGCTATGAGTCATGCACACAGTGGCATGTTAAATGAGAGGGTAAAGGCCAGTACTACACATTAGACACGATGCATATGAGTCACACTCCTCCTTCTAGTTCTATGTTCTAAACCCCCTCACATCCACATGACTGTGAACATGGCACCTCCAGACATGTTCTGAACCCCCACTCTGTGCATTCCATCCATACTCTCTGGTCATTCATTTATGCTTAAATGTAGGCTAGGTCGTATGATGTGGAGGTTGTTTTTATGAGCACTAACATGTAAAGTTCATAGGAGCACATACAATTTGGTGTCAAATGAAAGATAAGTCAATTTTTTTTTGAAAATTAAGGCATACAGTATATAAAGTTTTCAACCATTTTCATCCAAAAAATGTGGAATAAGCAAAGACTTTGATTTTCAAGTTTCAAGTTGTATTTGTCACGTGCACAAGCACAGTGAAATGCTTAACTTGATTTCTGGTCAAACAGATGGAAAAGGGGTCTTAGAAAACATCTAGCAGAAAAAATCTTAACGGGTATTCGAAATACATCAAACACAATAATGTTGATGTAAAGACCCTTTTCTACATTTTGTTACGTTAAAGCCTTACTCTAAAAGCCCCCCATTAATCTACACACAATACCCCATAATGAAATTGCAAAAAAAGGTTTTTAGATTTTTTTTGCAAATGTATTAAAGATAACTAACGGAAATATTACATTTACATAAGTATTCAGACCCTTTACTCAGTACTTTGTTGAAGCACCTTTGGCAGCGATTACAGCCTTGAGTTGTCTTTGGTATGACGCTACAAGCTTGCCACACCTGTATTTGGGGAGTTTCTCCCATTCTTCTCTGCAGATCCTCTTAAGCTCTGTCAGGTTGGATGGGGCGCGTTGATGCACAGCTATTTTCAGGTCTCTCCAGAGATGTTCGATCGGGTTCAAGTCCGGGCTCTGGCTGGGCCACTCAAGGACATTCAGAGACTTGTCCCGAAGCCACTCCTGCGTTGTCTTGGCTGTGTGCTTAGGGTCGTTGTCCTGTTGGAAGGTGAACCTTCGCCCCAGTCTGAGGTCCTGAGCGCTCTGGAGCAGGTTTTCATCAAGGATCTCTATGTACATTGCTCCGTTCATCTTTCCCTCCATCCTGACTAGTCTCCTAGTCCCTGCCACTGAAAAACATCCCCACAGCATGATGCTGCCACCACCATGTTTCACCGTACGGATGGTGCCAGGTTTCCTCCAGACGTGACGCTTGGCATTCAGGCCAAAGAGTTCAATCTTGGTTTTATCAGACCAGAGAATCTTGTTTCTCATGGTCTGAGAGTCCTTTAGGTGCCTTTTGGCAATCTCCAAGCGGGCTTTCATGTGCCTTTTACTGAGGAGTGGCTTCCGTCTGGCCACTCTACCATAAAGGCCTGATTGGTGGAGTGCTGCAGAGATGGTTGTCCTTTTGGAAGGTTCTCCCATCTCCACATAGGAACTCTGGAGCTCTGTCAGAGTGACCATCGGGTTCTTGGTCAACTCCCTGACCAAGGCCCTTCTCCCCCGATTGCTCAGTTTGGCCAGGCGGCCAGCTCTAGGAAGAGTCTTGGTGGTTCCAAACTTCTTCCATTTAAGAATGATGGAGGCCACTGTGTTCTTGGGGACCTTCAATGCTGCAGAAATGTTTTGGTACCCTTCCCCAGATCTCTGCCTCGACACAATCCTGTCTCGGAGCTCTACGGACAATTCCTTTGACCTCATGGCTTGGTTTTTGCTCTGACATGCACTGTCAACTGACAGGTGTGTGACTTTCCAAACCATGTCCAATCAATTGAATTTACCACAGGTGGACTCCAATCAAGTTGTAGAAACATCTCAAGGATGATCAATGGAAACAGGATGCACCTGAGCTCAATTTCGAGTCTCATAGCAAAGGGTCTGAATACTTATGTAAAAAAGCTATTTATGTTTTTTTATTTTTAATACATTTGCTAAAAAATCACAAAACATGTTTTCCCTTTGTCATTATGGGGTATTGTGTGTATATAGATAAGATGTATTTATTTTTTAATCCATTTTAGAATAAGGCTGTAACGTAACAAAATTTGGAAAAAGGGAAGGGGTCTGAATACTTTCCGAATGCACTGTACATCTCTCTCTCTCTCTCTCTCTCTCTCTCTCTGTGTGTGCAGCCCCATGTGTTGATGATGTAACATGGCCATTATGGTTTCTAATAGACAAATATGTTATTTTAAGTTTCTCAAAATAAGCCTGGCTGATGTAACAGCTTCTCTGTGCCTGAAGGCAAGTCCTGGTTGTAACACAAAGAGTTCTCTCTGAAAATATGAACTCAGCAAAAATAACTAGCATTTCACTCCCACTCTTCTGCACATTCAGTTTCCTCACTAACTCAAGGCATATTTCCAGCTGAGAATGACACGCTGATGCTAACACTATAAAATCTGTTCATATCCAGCAGGGTATTGAAGAGGAGAGGAAAAGCTCCTTGGTGACCTGCTAGAGGGATTTCGAGGACCAGGGAGAGCCCCAAACAACTCCAAACAAGGAGACCAGAACACAGGGAGCCCATAAAAACAAGGAGATTGAGGTGCAAACAACTCCAAACAAGGAGACCAGAACACAGGGAGACCATAAAAACAAGGAGATTGTGGTGGAATAATAGACCATATATCTACACTGATGACACAACCTTCTACTTATACTCTCCCAACTCCAACTACAACAACAAGCTGGAAAACCTAGAACATTGGATCCCACATTTTATTACACTAACATAAATATTTTGGAGTTTCCTGTGACCCATAGAGTAGCCTAAACCAAATCCATGTTTATAGACATAATCCAATCCTAGTAAGTGGCAGCCCTAAAGCAGCCAGCCACTTCCCTCCTGTGGGCCCGACCCACCGCTTGGGAACCAGTGAGTTGGAGGACAACAACATTGTGAGGGAGAGGATGGGCAACAAGAGTACCAGCCCCTCCAGAGACCCAGACATTGAGAAGACTCAGCGAGAGGAGGCAAACAACACTGAGACTGCCTCAGGTAGTCTACAGCACTCATCACACAGTACAGGTCTCATACAGTAGTGTAGGTGTATACTAGTGGTGCGCGGGTCAGCTGTTTGTTCACCCGCACCCCGCACGCAATTGCTAATAACCCACACATGAAAATCTGAGGTCTGCACCCAACTCTAACCCGCAAATATAGAAAATACGATATAGGCTACAGTCAAAGACGGCAGAACGATTTTTTGACAGGGGGTGCAGAGTTTTGTTGTTGCCTGATTTAGATATGTTTCTGCTTATAATTTCCGACATTTTGTTAGGCTGTTAGTCAACTTGTCTATAATTAGATACATGTAGCTTCTCTTTTGTCATTATATGTTGCCCTAAAATACTAAATATACCCTTGATCAACAGAATAATGTAATAGAACGATAGAATGAATGCTTTAATCTAGTTGACATCGGTAAAGTTTTCTCTGTCAGCTTTCGCCGGGCAAAGACGTTTAGGGACTGGGGAGAAAATACAATAACGCAAAAACAACGGGAAAGATTTTCTGTGCAAAATGTCCAAATGACATCAGTTGACATCAGAAAAAGAAAGCTGTGAAAACGACCCAACGTGTTTCGGCTTCGATGCATATTTTATGTGGTTGAAATTCTATCCGCTTTTATGATGAAGACAACACCTCTAAATGTAGTATCTAACTGAGCATTGCATTCTCTCAAGATGCAGAAATAAATAAATCATATTTCTCCACTCCTGTTCCCAAAACTGAGCATTGCATTCTCTCAAGATGCAGAAATAAATAAATCATATTTCTCCACTCCTGTTCCCAAGTCCAAATTTTGCCTACATTTGGTGTAATTTTACGGCAAGAAATGCTTAATTCTGCAGGAGTTATTATAAAGGGTATGTGAGAGGTTATAGACCTAGAGTCAGTGTACAGATATCAGTTTCCATTTAACCTATCTAAACAGTTGGCTACAGTTCCCTTGACACACCATAGGCCTATTTGAAGGCCGTCTTGTGTCTGTCGAATTTGTAAAGCGCCTCGCAATCATCACACATAACAAAGCTGGCACTGATATCATCCTCTTTTACCACTTCACCAAATATTTTCCAAACATTACTTTTCTGGCCCTCCCTTCTCTTTATCTTCAACTCTCCTTTCGCAGCTTTTGTGTTATTGAATTAAACTTCGACAATGTTCTTTTTGCCTCCGTGGATTGACGTTAACTTTTTCTGCGCGCTCCCAAAAGCATTATTATGCGATTGGCTGTGTAGGCTATTATTCGCGTAGGCTACAGTTAAGCCATACAGTTTAAGCTTATGAACTAATACCAGATAGACTAAAATAATGAAAGAAAAACCTCAATGTAGCCTATAGATATAAAGTTGAAGTCGGAAGTTTACATACACTTAGGTTGGAGTCATTAAAACTCGTTTTTCAACCACTCCACAAATTCTTGTTAACAAACTATAGCTTTGGCAAGTCGGTTAGGACATCTACTTTGTGCATGACACAAGTAATTTTTCCAACAATTGTTTACAGACAGATTATTTCACTTATAATTCACTGTATCACAATTCCAGTGGGTCAGAAGTTTACATACACTAAATTGACTGTGCCTTTAAACAGCTTGGAAAATTCCAGAAAATGATGTCATGGCTTTAGAAGCCTCTGATAGGCTAATTGACATCATTTGAGTAAATTGGAGGTGTACCTGTGGATGTATTTCAAGGCCTACCTTCAAACTCTGTGCCTCTTTACTTGACATCATGGGAAACTCAGAATTGTTTTGTAGACCTCCACAAGTCTGGTTCATCCTTGGGAGCTATTTCCTAACACCTGAAGGTACCACGTTCATCTGTACAAACAATAGTATGCAAGTATAAACACCATGGGACCGCGCAGCCGTCATACCGCTCAGGAAGGAGACGCGTTCTGTCTCCTAGAGATGAACGCACTTTGGTGCGAAAAGTGCAAATCAATCCCAGAACAACAGCAAAGAACCTTGTGAAGATGCTGGAGGAAACTGGTACAAAAGTATCTATATCCACAGTAAAAAGAGTCCTATATCGACATAACCTGAAAGGCCGCTCAGCAAGGAAGAAGCCACTGCTCCAAAACCGCCATAAAAAAGACAGACTACGGTTTGCAACTGCACATGGGGACAAAGATCGTACTTTTTGGAGAAATGTCCTCTGGTCTGATTAAACAAAAATAGAACTGTTTGGCCATAATGACCATCGTTATGTTTGGAGGAAAAAGGGTCTGCTTGCAAGCCGAAGAACACCATCCCAACCGTGAAGCACGAGGGTGTCAGCATCATGCTGTGGGGGTGCTTTGCTGCAGTAGGGACTGGTGCATTTCACAAAATAGATGGCATCATGAGGAAGGAAAATGATGTGGATATATTGAAGCAACATCTCAAGACATCAGTCAGGAAGTTAAAGCTTGGTCGCAAATGGGTCTTCCAAATGGACAATGACCCCAAGCATACTTCCAAAGTTGTGGCAAAATGGCTTAAGGACAATAAAGTCAAGGTATTGGAGTCGCCATCACAAAGCCCTGACCTCAATCCTATAGAACATTTGTGGGCAGAACTGAAAAATGTGTGTGCGAGCAAGGAGGCCTACAAACCTGACTCAGTTACACCAGCTCTGTCAGGAATAATGGGCCAAAATTCACCCAACTTATTGTGGGAAGCTTGTGGAAGGCTACCCGAAACGTTTGACCCAAGTTAAACAATTTAAAGGCAATGCTACCAAATACTAATTGAGTGTATGTAAACTTCTGACCCACTGGGAATGTGATGAAAGAAATAAAAGCTGAAATAAATCATTCTCTCTACTATTATTCTGACATTTCACATTCTTAAAATGGTGATCCTAACTGACCCAAGGCAGGGAATTTTTACTAGGATTAAATGTCAGGAATTGTGAAAAACTGAGTTTAAATGTATTTGGCTAAGGTGTATGTAAACTTCCGACTTCAACTGTAAATTGTACAATAATTATACATTCATGGATTTTTTAAGGTACTGTTTCTCTTTATTCAACCTGCCTGCCACACACCCGCCCTTCAGCCACACACCCGCCCTTCAGCCACACACCCGCCCTTCAGCCACACACCCGTACTTCAGCCACACAATATTTAATATTTAATGTCCCTCATCCCGCTATTCGCGGGGACAGCCACACAATATTTAATATTTAATGTCCCTCGGGGACTGCGGGTTATTAGTCAACCCGCGCATCACTAGTGTACACTACAGTATACATATTTATTGTGTAGTAGATTTGCATATGTCACCTACCTCAAGCTGTTTCAAAAGACAAGCACAAATTGGATCTAAGCGATTAGAGCAGAAACATTTCTCAACTCCCTATGGCTGCCATGATAAGACCTTAAGAGTAGCCTCAAAATGTCAAATCAAACATGCCTATTCCTCAACTGTCTATTACACTTGACATTGTGTTTGTTTTCAGGAAGTGGCCCCAGAGGCCCCCCTTGCCCCAGCCCTGACCTGCTAGCCTCACTACAGTCTCTGGGAGAACACAGTGACCACACACTGCTGCCACAGTCTCTACACCAGGTGTGTGTGTGTGTGTGTGTGTGTGTGTGTGTTGTCACCCTCACAAGCACAAGTCCTCTGTGTTCTATTCCTCTGTGGTTTGGTTGCACCATCTCATCCTCATCTGTCACCTGTGTTTTTGCCACTGAAACATCTTGCTTTTCCCTTGTGCCTTCTTTTCATTTGTAGGGAGAGTAAATCAAGCTTTAAGATGAAACCATGATGACAATTCTAATGTACTGTACTCTATACACTTATGTTATAATCCTATTCAGTTAGAACACTTGCTTTGGCCCTCATTGTACTGTAATAGTCTTGCAGTTGTTGTTTTTTCTTTGCCAGTTCTGGTCGTCATGGAACAAAGAGCCAGCTATGATTTACACGCCCCAAGAAAAGACAGGCCACACTGATACACTGAGTTTGTTTCCCAAATGGCACCCTATTCCCTACATATTGCACTACTTTTGGGCCCTGGCCAACAGTAGTGCTCTAAATAGGCAGGGAATAGGGTGCCATTTGGGACGGGCCCTGATACACTGATACAGAAGAAAGGGTTGCTCTGTGATCAAACTGTTACAATCAGTGGAGCATTGGCAGAATAACTGGCCAAGAAGTACGCCAAGAGATTGAATGTCAATGCATTTCAGCTATGTGGACAAAATAGATGCCCAAACATGGAGAATTAGAGCTGTAGAGCTGTACAAAAAAATCAATTCATAAAATCCTTGTAAACAGGCATTGACATTTGAAGAGATTCAGTCTGCGTCTTGACTTTGTGTTCACTCTACACTGTAGAGTCTACAGAGAGTTGAGACAGGGACAGCCAGAGTTGTTTGACACAGTTGTTTGAGTTCTGTTGTGCGTCACGGTAGAAGTGAATCTGATGCAGAACAGCTTGTTATTCGCCACATCTTGAGTCACATCTTGTGTCTTAACTCTATCCTTCCAGACTACTATTTCATTAATTAATTAAATAATTCATTCATTTATTCTTCCAATCATTCTTTCATTCATTCTATACATGGACAGGGGAGTGAAGTTCAACATTAAGAATACACAGTCATGTGTGCATAAAAACACGAAAAGCAAATCTAGGCAATGCCATTTTAGTCATTTAGCAGACACTCTTATCCAGAGCAACTTACAGTAGTGAGTGCATACATTTTCATACTTTTTAATACTTGTCCCCTGTGGGAATCTAACCCACAACCCTGGTGTTGCAAGCGCCATGCTCTACCAACTGAGCCACATGGGACCACGTATATGTTCTTGCTTGTGACTTTATGCCTTAAAGGTCATTGACAAAGGTCAAATGTCTCTCCTGGTATGTGTGTCTGTATAATGTGATTTTAGGCTTTGATATACAGAATGTGTGCTCTCTCTCTTGGATTTAAAACTGAGATTATCTGCTTGTGAAACTAACTATTTAATTAATGGAAATGTAATAGCAGTGGTTTTGCATTATCTCAGCTCTTAAAACATACCTAACATAACTCAAACCCTTTATTTGCATATATCCTCTAGAGCAGGGATGGGCAACTGACGGTGGCCCCCCTTTCGTAGGCCCACAAATCAATTTCCCCCTCAAAATTGGAACTCAGTCGGGGTCTCAACTTACTGTTGAGAGTTAGAATAGTAGAATACACAAGGTGCAGTTTAGAAATGTGTTTGTGCATCAGCAGTTCTTCACTTGTTATGTCATTCACTGACAGTCACTCACTCAGCCCATGTCAGCTAAAGTGTTTTAGATTCCTATGGCAAAATGTATAGAATTGCAGGAAATTAGTTATAAAATGGTAAGATCTTCTCTCCGCCCCATGGCAAAATTTGTAGAATTGCAGCAAATTTGCTTTAAAAGTACTGCATTTTCTCTACGCCCCATAGCAAAATGTGTAGAATTGCAGGAAAAGACTGTAAAACATTTATTTTCAACCCGCTGTCAAGAGGGGGGGGGCATTCAAATATTTTGCTCGCAACAAGGTATCACTTAAGGCCCCCAAAAGGCTAGCGCCAGCTATGACTGCATGTGTGGGTGTGGATGGGTATGGTGGGTACACAGACCCGCAAGCCACTGCGGCCCCTTTTTTCTGGCCCCGACCCCAATCAAAGTTGCCCATCCCTGCTCTAGAGTGACTTAATATAGTCTTTCAGAGCTACATGAAAGTGGTCTAAGGTTAGCTCATGGCATGTTTCACTGGCTTTAATGGACGTGGCAGACATTCCTAGAAGTTAAAACTTGAGTCACATTCAAGTTCATCAAGTGACTTGGCTTAGATACAAAACGTGTTGGAAGTCAGACTGTTTAGTGTCGGTAGCCATTAGTAGCTGTTATAGGATCAGTTCATTACCAAGCAGGAGGATATCTAGTGGTCCTCTGTAGCTCAGCTGGTAGAGCACGGCGCTTGTAACGCCAAGGTAGTGGGTTCGATCCCCGGGACCACCCATACACAAAAATGTATGCACGCATGACTGTAAGTCGCTTTGGATAAAAGCGTCTGCTAAATGGCATATTATTATTATCTAGTCTGACAGTACAGTTGGACAGCTGAAGCAAGTGCACACGTTTTCTTTAGGGTAAAACCTTTCTAGTGAAATTACATTATTACTTTAAATTAATCTTTCTAGTTTATTTATTTTCTTTATTTAACCAGGTAGGTTATTGAGAACACATTCTCTTTTAAATAGAGGACCTGACAAAAATAAATAAAAAAACATACCGTACTGAAGTCTGATTCTGAGTGAGTGATCTAAGTGACAGAATAAGAAGGTCAGTTTGTAAGGCTTTTTTTTTCTCACTCTCTCTCTTTCTCTTTCTTGACAGATAGCAGAGGCCTACTCCCTGGAAGAGGAATGTATCCTTGCCATTACTTATTGCCAATACTTATTTCCACTCTTTTGTTTTGATAGAGCTGAACAGCAGTTAAATAGTAGTGTTTTTCAGGGACTTTGGTGACAGTGATTTAGGATGACACTTTAACAATTGTTAATTTGAAAAAAGGAAAGGTACCTGATATTTCTGCAGTAGTGGGGTAAATGTTTCCATGTGTGCTGGGCAGAACGGAATATTAACTTTTAGTTTCTTAGTTTCTATAGGCGGGTTACTATTTCATTACTATTTGGCTTGTTCTGTTGGTTCATGGGTGGATTTCCCTGCAGGATTTCCCTTGATTTGGGGAAATATTGGGAGTGGAAGTTGGGGGTTGTTGATGAGGGAAATGTGTTCTACTGGTAGTAATCCAATTCATTCCCATTGAGATAAGAATCTCTTACACTAGAGGTTTTGCCTAAGAAAGTAGTATTTTGCACACACACACACACACACACACACACACACACACACACACACACACACACACACACACACACACACACACACACAGTCAACTGCAGAACATACCCTGGAATAGCTTCAAAATTCCAATATTTGTTTATAGCGTCATCCATTTTCTGAAATCTTGGTTTTTCGCACACAAGCACCAGCGATGTAATCTTCAAAACACCAGATATATATATTTGTCTGACGTTTGTTAATATGATCCTGTCTTTTGAATCCCAGAGTTGACAGCCTCAGGGAGGGTTTTCATGGGCTCTTGTAGTGTCCTCTTTCCTTAACTGCTGATGGTTATAAGATCAGTGGGCAGTGCAGTTCCTGCAGCTGGAGAGACTATATCATGAGCGCGTCCTGTCCAACCTCGCCGCCCTGCAGGAAGACTGGGGTACTGCACTCTTCTCTACACATCTGCTCTGTCACTGCCATAGACTCACCTGAACATGACTGACAAAATATAACCCTGTCATTCTTTGAATTCCACTCTGTGTGTGCGTGTATGTGTGTGTGTGTGTCCTGTGTGCTCCAGAGAGCCAGTGGAGAGAGCGTAACAGAGCAGCAGAGAGCACCTCACCAGGTGAAACCAACAGCATTGGACAGGAACACATAGAAATGCTGAGCCAGATCTGCAGGACGCACCAGAGGTGAGATAGATACTGGTGGACCATAACATGGGTGCTGATCTAGTACATTGTTATGCTATAACTGAGACTACATGCACAAAACATTGACTTACAATAACTTGTAGCAGTACTGCTTGCTGCAGTAGAAGGGAAAGCAAAGCAGGTCTATATAGTTTAGTTTGTCACATTCTGTCACCACCCACAATATTACCGCTCCAGAGGGGGATCAGTAAACACTGTCTTCATTTAAATGCATCTTTTCATTAATGAATAGTTTATAATGAATGGTTTATTAGCTAGAGTCATTTGGTTGATTTGTCAGATTATACCCTATGTTTGACCTTTGAACATACCATCCCACGCTAGTGGTTCTTGTCTAGACATGAAACCACACCTTAATTAACTAACACTTATTTGATTTTCAAATATTTCTCTTTACTTACTCTACTAAGCTATAGACTCAGATAGGTTTTCATGCGAGTCACAGAACCCCACCCATGTCTCTTGGTATGTTAGTTTGTGGCGGTTTGTTATAGATTGATTCAGCTGGATACCAGATGCTCAGTCACTGTTGTGACCACCGGTCATTTTAGCTTGACATTTTTAAAATCAAATGGCTTCAAAATATCAGCTTACCCAGTCTGACCTCTGTCTCTGTCTCTGTCTCTTTCTCTCTCTCTCTCTCTCTCTCTCTCTCTCTCTCTCTCGCTCTCTCTCTCTCTCTCTCTCTCTCTCTCTCTCTCTCTCTCTCTCTCTCTCACTCTATTTATCTCTATCGCTCTTTCTCTCCCTCTCTCTCTCTCTTTCTCTCCCTCTCTCTGTCTCTCTTTCTCTCTGTCTCTCCGTAATAGGCCAATACTTAGTGCGGAAAAGGTAAGAAAATACACTACACACCATCCTTTTGATGACATTTCTTAGTCCATACTTTAAGAGAAGATTAGTGTGTTTGTGACATGAGCGACATTTATGACAAAGCTGTTTTTTCTAGAGCATGGCAGACACAGTGCTGAAAGACAACCACAACACCAGGGGGCAGTGTGAGAGGAATGAGAGCGAAACATCACCATCCCACCATGGAAAAGGTAAAGACAAAACCCACCATCAGATGAATCCCTAAATCAATATTATAGAATGGCCACTTAGCCTAGAGATGTGTATAGGAGGGAGATGATATCATCCTCTTTGTTCACTGGAAAGCCCCAGAGTGTAGTTTGGTTCTAGTCAATAAGGGCTCATAATATGGAATCTGATACCAGATGATGCTTCCATACTGTCTCAGCTATAAGTGTGTGTCTGTGTCAGTATCTATAATAAGTGCATATGGGCACTATATGCTGAAGCCATGTGATTAGTAGTAGGCCTAGTACTGTAAGCAAAATGTATCTTGTCTCTGCAGTCAGAGGCAACAACCCTGTAAAACAGGGTGAGGAGGATTTAGAGCAGACCACGTCAACAGGAGCTGACCCTGCCATGGATGAGGAGAAGGGAGGAGTGGAGGAGGGAGAGGGAGGAGTGGAAGAGATGGAGGAGGAAGGGCAGGGGGTGTTTGAGGAGAGTCCAGAAGAGGAGGTGCAGGTGGTGGAGTGGCCGGCGGGGGTTCCCCAAGCCTCAGCCAAAGACCTGGTCAAACTCTCCCATGTGGAGGAGGTGAGAATACACTGTAACTGAGGCTTAAACAGCCTCATGTTTACAGCCTTATCTATCTCTCTCTTGCTCTTCTCTCTTTCTCTCTCTCTTTTTGTCTCTTTCTCTCTCTCTCTCTCTCTCTCTCTCTCTCTCTCTCTCTCTCTCTCTCTCTCTCTCTCTCTCTCTCTCTCTCTCTCTCTCTCTCCCTCCCTCTCTCTCTTTCTGTTTCTTTCTCTCTTCTTGTATGTCTCGATCTCTCTGTCTCTGTCTCTCTCTCTGTCTTGTTTGGTAGGGGACACACATTTTGGAATGTTACACAGCCTTGGACAGGCTCAAGGGAGCACAGAAATGTATTGGCAGAGGAGCTGGGTCTGTAACTAGTTAATTGGCTGTGTGCTTATTACTTCAATCCATTTGCTGAGCCACACTACGGACGTGGCCATGGGTGGAATTTTTGAGTACAGGACACAGAGGCTATGATGTCACTAAAGGGCCACAACAGATTTAGAACAAGTAGTTCACGTACAAGTCCTGCTAAATGTTTCAGACAATGACATTTAGTAGGGCTTTGTTGAGCAATTATGGGCTTTGTTGAGCATGCCTGGCTAGTATTCGAACCCAGTTTTGTCTAGTAGTGACTGCTGAAACCACACGTCAGACTAGACACTAGAGACAACCTAATATGATATACTAGCGCTCTTGTATGGGTTGACAATAGATCTGTTGACTAAGGCATTATCCTGTGTTGTTATTGATCTCTGCATATTGACCCCATATAACTCACCTACCTATATATTATAACGTGGATGACACTGTCAGTGTGATAAATGACCTAATTTAAGTGCAATAGTGTATGACTCCGCAGAGCTGTACATCATTGCAGTTTGTTGTGCAAACATACACTTGTTTCACCTCTAGATACATTCTAAGGGTGCGTCTAAAATTGCTCCCTATTGCCTATATGGTGCATTATATAAATATATTATATATATATGGTGCAAAATAGTATATGCACTGGTTGAAGCTCAATGTTAAATTCAAATCTCCCTACCATCATATCTAAGCCAATATGACACAATGTCAATGGAAATTCGCAAATCAACTTGATTGTAGGTACACAACACACTCGCCTCTCGTAATGATCCATCCAGCCGTTTTGGACTGAATACATTTGTAGGTGCAACAGTTTTTATAAAATGTATAATTTATCGCTCTTACGTGCACATTTCGGTCCATTAAGAACCAACGATGTGCTATCTTTTTGTAGCATTTCTGACAATGCTAACTTATTTTCATCTGAATCTCAAAGTTCTAAAACCGGACCAAAGCACTTGGGTTGCGCAGCAACAGTGCTAGTAGCTAGCTAACACCAGTCGGATGAGAGGCAAGCTTCAAGCAAAGGAAACTAGCTATATTTTGCTATGGAAGGTTTGTTACATGGCTGAAGTCATCTGTGTAAACTGTTGGCCTTGACACTTGCGTGAAATAAGCACAAATAAGATAACGAACATCATTGGCTGCATTATTACCAGTTAGCTAGCCAACTAAAGTTAACTAGCTATAAGCCAACAAGGCTGTAGTGGTAACGTTAGCTGTATGGATGGATCATGCATCGCCACAACTCAAGGTTGACAATATACAGTGCATTTGGAAAGTATTCAGACCCCTTGACTTTTTCCACATTTTGTTACGTTACAGACTTATTCTAAAATGGTTCTACACACAATACCCCTTAATGACAAAGCAAAAACACGTTTTCAGAAATATTTGCAAATGTATTCAAAATAAAAAAAACTGAAATATTACATTTACATAAGTATTCAGACCCTTTACTCAGTACTTTGTTGAAGCACTTTTGGCAGCTATTACAGCCTCGAGTCTTATTGGGAATGACGCTACAAGCTTGGCACACCTGTATTTGGGGAGTTTCTCCCATTCTTCTCTGCAGATCCTCTAAAGCTCTGTCAGGTTGGATGGGGAGCGTCACTGCACAGCTATTTTCAGGTCTCTCCAGAGATGTTCGGTTGGGTTCAAGTCCATGTTCTGGCTGGGCTACTCGAGGACATTCAGAGACTTGTCCCGAAGGCACTCCTGCGTTGTCTTGGATGTGTGCTTAGGGTTGTTGTCCTGTTGGAAGGTGAACCTTCGCCCCAGTCTGAGGTCCTGAGTGCTCTGGAGCAGGTTTTCATCAAGGATCTCTCTGTACTTTGCTCCCAACATCTATCCCTCGGTCCTGACTATTCTCCCAGTCCCTGCAGCTGAAAATCATCCCCACAGCGTGCTGCTGCCACCACCATGCTTCACATTAGGGATGGTGCCAGGTTTCCTCCAGACGTGACGCTTGGCATTCAAGCCAAAGAGTTCAATCTTGGTTTCATCAGACCAGAGAATCTTGTTTATCATGGTCTGAGAGTCCTTTAGGTGCCTTTTGGTAATCTTCAAGCGGGCTGTCATGTGCCTTTTACTGAGGAATGGCTTCCGTCTGGCCACTCTACCATAAAGGCCTGATTGGTGGAGTGCTGCAGAGATGGTTGCCTTCTGGAAGATTCTCTCATCTACACAGAGGAACTCTGCAGCTCTGTCAGAGTGACCCATCAGGTTCTTGGTCACCTCCCTGACCAAGGCCGTTCTCCCCCGATTGCTCAGTTTTGCTGGACGGCCAGCTCTAGGAAGAGTCTTGGTGGTTCCAAACTTCTTATATTTAAGAATGATGGAGGCCACTGTGTTCTTGGGGACCTTCAATGCTGCAGAAATGTTTTGTTACCCTTCCCCAGATCTGATCCTTGACACAAGGAGAACCAGCCGAGGAAGCGACAGGCCGAGGAGCACTCCTGCACCTTGCTCCTCTCTGTCCACCCAGCCCGTCCTCCTCCATGTCACCTTCCCTGACTATCCTGGTCCCCCACTGAGTCCTGCCCTAGTGGATTCAGGTGCTGCAGGCAATTTCATAGACCGGTCAGTGGCCTTATCATTACGCATTCCTCTAGTCCCTTTACAACCCCCTATCCCAGTCCATGCCCTAGACAACCGTCCCCTAGGAACCGGACTGGTGTGCCAGACCACAATTCCCATTTCCCTCACAGTTAATCACAACCACCATGAACGCATCACTTTCCTCATCCTAGACTCTCCTGCACACCCCGTAGTTTTAGGTTTCCCTTGGCTACAGTTACATAACCCCAGTATATCATGGATAGAGAGGAGGTTGTTTGGTTGGTCGCAGGAGTGTCAGGGGAGGTGTCTCTCTGTGTCAATCTGTGCCACCTCCGTGGAAAGTCCAGACCAGGCTTCCCACGTCCTTTTCCTGGAGGAATACCGGGACCTACAGGTGGCCTTTTCGAAGACTCGTGCCACGTGCCTGCCCCCTTATCGCCAATGGGACTGCACTATTGACCTACTGCCTGGTTCTACCCTCCTGTGGGGGCACATCTACCCTCTCTCTCATGCAGAGACCGAAGCCATGGAGGCCTACGTCAAGGAGGCACTGGCCCAAGGATTCATCCATCCGTCCACCTCTCCGGCCTCCTCCAACTTCTTTTCGTGAAGAAGAAGGACGGAGGTCTCCACCACTGTATCGATTACCAGACACTGAATAAGGCTACTGTTAAATTCAGTTATCCCCTGCCTCTCATACCCACTGTGATCGAACAGATGCACGGTGCTAAGTACTTTACTAAATTGGATTTACACAGTGCCTACAACCTGGTGCGCATCAGAGAGCGGGATGAATGGAATACCACCTTCAGCACCAGCACAGGGCACTACGAAATACAGGGTAATGCCCTACGGCCTGACAAATGCACCCTCAGTGTTTCAATCATTAATTAACGAGGTGTTTAGAGACATGTTGGGTCGCTGTGTAGTGGTGTACATAGACGACGTCTTGGTGTACAACACTACACGCGAGCAACATGTCTCATGTCAGGTTCGTTTTGGAGAGGCTGATAGGGCATCACCTGTACGCCAAGGCGGAGAAGTGCCTTTTCTTTCAGCAGGCAGTCTCCTTCTTGGGCTATCGGATATCCACCGCGGGAGTGGAGATGGAAGGGCAGAGGGTCAGTGCAGGACAGTCGTGGCCTGTTCCATCCAACATCAAGGCGGTGCAGCGCTTCCTTGGTTTTGCCAACTATTCTTTGCCAGGTTTGACTTTACCCTCTCCTACCGGCCAGGATCAAATACATTTAAGGCCGATGCATTGTCCAGGGTGCATGACACAGAGGATCGGAGGGAGAAAGTGACACCCATTATTCCCATGTCCCGCATTGTGGCCCCTGTTGTGTGGAATGTGGACGCAGACATTTGTCGAGCCCTGCGACAGGAGCCCTCACCTGCCCACTGTCCCGAGGGACGTATCTACGTGTCCTCTGATGTGCGGGACCATCTCCTCGCCTGGGCACACACAGCACCTGTGTCGGGGCACCCGGGTATAGCCCGTACTATCGACTGTCTCTCCGCCAAGTACTGGTGGCCCACCTTGGCCTGGGACATCCGGGTTTACGTCTCTTCCTGCTCCACCTGCGCACAGAGCAAGACACCTAGACACCTCCCCTATGGCAAACTCCACCCGCTGAAGGTTCCACAACGACCCTGGTCCCATCTCTCCGTGGACTTTGTCACAGTCCTTCCCCCCTCGGAGGGGCACACCACCATCCTGGTCGTTGTGGACCGGTTTTCCAAAGCCTGTCGTTTGATTCCTCTGCCTTGTCTCCCTACGGCCCTGTAGAACGTGGAGGCTCTCTTCTCTCACGTCATCCAGCACTATGGGATCCCGGAGGACATCGTGTCTGACTGTGGTCCTCAGTTCACCTCCCGTGTCTGGAAGGCCTTCATGGAACGACTGGGGGTCATGGTCAGCCTCACCTCACCTCCGGGTACCGTCCCCAATCTAATGGGCAGGTACCCATTGACCTTCTTGATCCAAACCAGTCAGGTTTCAAGACTGGTCATTCAACTGAGACTGCTCTTCTCTGTGTCACGGAGGCTCTCCGCACTGCTAAAGCTAACTCTCTCTCCTCTGCTCTCATCCTTCTAGACCTATCTGCTGCCTTTGATACTGTGAACCATCAGATCCTCCTCTCCACCCTCTCCGAGTTGGGCATCTCCGGCGCGGCTAACTCTTGGATTGTGTCCTACCTGACCGGTCGCTCCTACCAGGTGGCGTGGCGAGAATCTGTCTCCGCACCACGTGCTCTCACCACTGGTGTCCTCCAGGGCTCAGTTCTAGGCCCTCTCCTATTCTCTCTATACACCAAGTCACTTGGCTCTGTCATATCCTCACATGGTCTCTCCTATCATTGCTACGCAGACGACACACAATTAATCTTCTCCTTTCCCCCTTCTGATAACCAGGTGGTGAATCAAATCTCTGCATGTCTGGCAGACATATCAGTGTGGATGACGGATCACCACCTCAAGCTGAACCTCGGCAAGATGGAGCTGCTCTTCCTTCCGGGGAAGGACTGCCCGCTCCATGATCTCGCCATCACAGTTGACAACTCCGTTGTGTCCTCCTCCCAGAGTGCAAAGAACCTTGGCGTGACCCTGGACAACACCCTGTCGTTCTCTGCTAACATCAAAGCGGTGACCCGATCCTGTAGGTTCATGCTCTACAACATTTGCAGAGTACGACCCTACCTTACACAGGAAGCGGCACAGGTCCTAATCCAGGCACTTGTCATCTCCCGTCTGGATTACTGCAACTCGCTGATGGCTGGGCTCCCTGCCTGTGCCATTAAACCCCTACAACTCATCCAGAACGCTGCAGCCCGTCTGGTGTTCAACCTTCCCAAGTTCTCTCACGTCACCCCGCTCCTCCGCACACTCCACTGGCTTCCAGTTGAAGCCCGCATCTGCTACAAGACCATGGTGCTTGCCTACGGAGCTGTGAGGGGAACGGCACCTCAGTACCTTCAGGCTCTGATCAGTCCCTACACCCAAACGAGGGCATTGCGTTCATCCACCTCTGGCCTGCTGGCCCCCCTACCTTTGCGGAAGCCCAGTTCCCGCTCAGCCCCGTCAAAACTGTTCGCTGCTCTGGCACCCCAATGGTGGAACAAGCTCCCTCACGACGCCAGGACAGCGGAGTCACTCACCACCTTCCGGAGACACTTGAAACCCCACCTCTTTAAGGAATACCTGGGATAGGATAAAAGTAATCCTTCTACCCCCCCCCCAAAAAAAAATAATAATAATAAAAAATATATATATATATATATTGTAAAGTGGTTGTCCCACTGGCTATCATAAGGTGAATGCACCAATTTGTAAGTCGCTCTGGATAGGAGCATCTGCTAAATGACGTAAATGTAAATGTAAATCAGGAACTGGGTAGGTACCTTCGTAGTTACTGTCAGGACCGGCCGGGGGAGTGGGCTGCGTTTCTGTCTTGGGCAGAATATGCACAAAACTCCCTCCGTCACTCCTCGAATAACCTCACACCCTTTCAGTGTGTTCTAGGCTATCAGCCGACCCTGGCACCCTGGCACCGGAGTCAGATCATGACAGGGTTCGTAGCGTAAGCGTTAAGTTTACCGCCATGGAATCTGAAGGGTTTCTACTAGTTACCACAGTCAAAATCTTTTCCATAAAATAAATGTTCACCGCCATGGAATCTGAAGGGTTTCCACTAGTTACCACAGTCAAAATATTTTCCATTAAATAAATGTTAAAATGTTCTAACTAATTTTCATTGGGAAGGCAGATAAAGCATTTTTATCAAAAGCAATCCCTTTTGCATGGGAAAACACAATCCTAGTAATTACTACCCTCTGGGGTTTGCATTGGCTGAAAGTTGATTGCATTCGATTTGGAACCAGGCTGCATCCTGGACGTGAGCCAAGTGCCCCATTCAAAGCCCACAGAAACTAGTTAGAAATTCAAACATTTAATTTATGGAAAATAAATAGTTTCTGGACGATGCACCATGCTGCCTTGTTGACAAAATGACAGAGCGGCGCAGATTACTGTTCGATTTGAGAAGGGCGCACCTCCCTCCCCGTTTTAGCCCGATGACGTGACGTATAAAGAGAGGTTCCTGCAGATGCAGGAATGCCCACATGCAGGAACGCCCTGAATTGCGGGCCGCAATTGCACCTTTCTCCATCTTGCTACTACAGAGGAGAGTACGGTGGAGACTGGAGAGACCAACTCTTAAGGAATACATCATTGCCCTCATCCTTCAGATGCACTCCACCCCTATGGTACATCCCAGGGACACACTGCTTAATGGCAGGGTGGCGGATTGTGTTCCCTGAAATGTGTACACCAGCTGATTGACGGAGCACCGAGCACTCTCTATGCACTTGTTTATCTTCTGGTTCCACTGGAACATCCAGCTCCTCTGCTATTTGAGAAGGTTTGAATCCTAAGCAACCTGCATACACATCGTTTGAAGTACAATAGACCAACATAGCTACTGTAGTAGGTCAAAGCTGTGTGCTGAAAAACCTTGGTAGAGCATGGGTGGAGTAGGCATTGTGGTGCTCATGTGAATTTCCTTTCTTTTTCGGCTTCAAAACAATGCTTACTTCTCACTTTTAAATTATTTTTTTGTTTTTAATTACATAAGGCTCTGGTCAAAAGTAGTGTACTGTATAGAGAAATAAATGTTTAAGCTATTCGCTGCACACTGTTTCTACTTCTCACGTCTCCCCCATCACTCTGTTCCCCTGCAGAGCTCCTCAACAGGTGGTCTGGTGTCCATTCTGAAAAGGAGGAGGGCGTCTTTAGATGGCCTGCCCCCAGAGGGTCCTGATTCAGCCAAACAGAACTCCAAACGCAAGGTGCGCTTCAGTGAGCCAGAGGATGGCATGGAACCAGGTATGAATCAGCCTGATAACAACCTCTCTCTCTCTCTCTCTCTCTCTCTCTCTCTCTCTCTCTCTCTCTCTCTCTCTCTCTCTCTGTCTCTCTCTCACTCACACACACACACACACACACACACACACACACACACACACACACACACGCACACACACACACACATGCACACACACATGCATACACTCTATACATAAGCTCTTATACTGTGTCTTCAATAAAGACACAATAAGATAGTAGTAACATATTGATAAGTATGTTTTCTTTCTCTGTGCAGACGAGGTGGGCGGAGACTCTTGTTTGATCCTGCTGTTGTTGTGCTTAGTAACGATGGTGATCAGTCTGGGCGGGACTGCTCTGTACTGCACCCTAGTGGACACCTACAGTAGTATCTGCACCGACTTCTCTCACAACATAGACTTTTACGTGGTCCAAGTACGACGCTTCCTGGACGGGCTCAGACACTGGTGGTTGGAGAGAATGCTTTAAGTGAAGTCAGACACTGGCTCTCCATACTGTCCAAACCATGGAATAGATACAGTAAGAGGGTATTATATACTGTATGAACTGCTCTGAGACTGAGACAAGAGGGAGGACTTGACCCTAGTCCCAGTATGAATTAGAGAAGGTCATAAGGTCATTGAAGTTCTAGGGTAGGGCCTGAAATAGAGACTGAACGGGCTTGTGAGCATTGATCTAACAGGAGGCACAGGTGCAGACATTTTTAACTACTGACATTTCACATGCAGACCAAACTGTTTCTGGAACACTGCCTCCTCTTGTTTTTAAACTGAAGTTTTTAACCGCTTGTTTTTAACCTGCAGTTTTTAACCTCAAGATGGACGCTGCACAAAAGAGCTTCCAAAAACATTCAAAGGAACAAAACATAGCATTGTAAAGTATATTCTAGTTGGAATTTTTATGAAAAAATATGTTTATCTGAATTTGTAAAGATGTTTATCTGAAAAACAGATACAATTCAGATAAACAGTAAAGATGTTTATCTGAATTTGAAAGCCTCATGGTGAAAAAAACCAAAGACATTTTGGGAATTGAAATGACATTTTTTATTATCAACGTTTCAGCATTTTTCATGACAAGTCTTCTCAACTCCTTGACTTGTCAAATGTAGCCTACATGTTGTACATTTTACAGCTGTTTTTGTACATGGAGACATGGGTTTAGAATTACTCTTACATTCCTCTGAAGGTACACAAGGTTGTTGACCACTGCAAATGAAAGTCATTTGTGAAGAACGGCTCTCTGGAATTGGCACATTGTTAAGTAATTTGTTGAAAACTGAGTAACGATATCAATACAAATATGCATGACAGATACTGTATGTATGGCTCTTGGTATGAAAATATGAACAAGTTTAATGTTCATACAACAATTAATTTAAATGTAGTCATGATATTCAGTACTGTACGGATTACTCCAATATCTCAGGCACTTTTGTCAACTTTTTTGTGCTGGTCAATATTGTTATGTACTGTAACCATACAGCCCTTAATGTCCTTTATTTGTCTTTTATTCTATGAGTCGATTTTAATGTATTCAATACAAATCCATTCCCTTGCAAACTGTGTTTGATTTTATCTACTGTATGGCCAGGCTGGTCTTATAGACTAGACGTAACATAGTAAACGAAAATCCGTGACACTCAAATTAGTATGATATGTTACGTTCGGTATGGCTATATAAGACATACGTTTACTTAAGGCAAAAACGAAAGTTGGGAGGGAGGGTGGGTAACTCGAACATCTAGCAACACAGGGAGGGAGGGTAACTCGAACATCTAGCAACCCAACGGTTGCGTGTTCGAATCTCATCACAGATAACTTTAGCATTTTAGCTAATTAGCAACATTGCAACTACTTACTACTTTTTCGCTACTTTGCAACTACTTAGCATGTTAGCTAACCTTAATCCTTTAACCTAACTCCTAACCCTAACCTTAACCTTAACCCCTAACCCCTAGCCAAGCTAATGTTGGCCACCTAGCTAACGTTAGCCACATATCCACCTAGCTAACATTAGCAACAACAAATTGGAATTCGTAACATCAGCTAACTGTGGTCTAATCTGAAGATGATACTGCAGGGCTGGATCAAAATCCTGCACACCCAGTAGCTTTCCAGGACCAGAGTTGGAGAACCCTGTTCTAAACCTAGTGCTTGGTTCTGTGAATGTGTTTGAAGGAAATCAGACAGAAAGCCACAGTTTGCCATTGGAATGTCCCTAATGACATACTAATTACTTTATGGGCATGATCTTCTATCCATTGTCTGACATTGGTGTCTGGTGTTGTGAAATGACTTTCATTAATATGATGACTGTTATTTATCGAATCAACTAACTATGTTTAAGTGTTACCTGATTAAATTAGGCAGGTAACAATTAACTCATTAGGATTTGGGGCACCACGGAAGAAGTTGTTTATAGAGTTACCATCTCCCGAATTAAACTCTAAAGGTCTTTACCTATCAGTGTGTATAAAACAGTCAACGTATTAATCATTACCTCTTATCAGTCGTCATTCTGAACGGTCGTAGACCTCTTGGATCTGCAAGAACCCCAGCATTACTTATGATTCAGCACTACACAATGTGTTTAATTATTTATTTACTAGCTAACTAAATAATAACACAGAATAACATACACACTTAATACATGAGAAAAAGTCCCTAGTGGACTAACAACAACATGACTGCTTGGTTACCAAAAGAGGGAGGGGTAGAGAGGGTGTCACGACTTCCGCCGAGGCTGCCTCCCCTCCTTGTTCGGGCAGGCTTCGGCGTTTGACGTCACCGGCTTACTAGCCACTGCCGCTCCATATATCATCATTCCATTTGTCTTGTCTTGTCAATTACACACACCTGGTTCATATCCCCTCATTAGTCCGTGTATAAGTGTTCCCTCTGCCCCCTTGTCCTTGTGGGTGATTGTTTTATGTGAGTTGAGTGTAGCTTGGTGGAGCTACTCGTACCTTGTATTGCCGGGGTAGATTATTCCCCTGTGCCTGTATTTTGTTGGAGCTACCCGTATCTTGTATTTCCGGGGTAGATTGTTCCCCTGTGCCTGTATTTTGTTGTGGCTATCCAGCGCAACTGTGTACGACGGAATAAACTCTGTATTCTGTGATTTACCCTCCTGCGCCTGACTCCTTCTAATCACACTCATCACAGAGGGAGAGAGAGAAAGAGAGACAGAGACACTTATCGTTGATACATTTGGAAACTACCCTCAAAGTAATCATAATACTTTGCTCACGAACCACCGCCCGTTTGGAGTAAGAAATCATGAATGTATTTACCTATGGATGTCTTTGTTCGTCGTCTATCTCTGGTGAATCCAAGCCTTCTTCTTAGGGGGTTTTGATAGTGTCCTGTGTCGGTGTAAGGCTCTGGTTGTCCACCAGAGGTCACAATGTCCTTCTTCTTAGTTGTCTTGGTTTGGAGTGGAGTCTTTCTTCTGAGCAGATACTCAGCTGTACCAGTGATTGTCTGAGAGGGGATTTTATCCTTCCCACCTCGTGTGGTTAGTCAGAGTTTTAACCACTTTACACGCACAGCTGCAGCCTGGCAATGTTTGGGACTAGTCTGGGAGGTGATCTTCTACACCTCGTGTTGAGGGTCAACGTTCCAACTATTTTCAGATGTGTAGCCACCGCTCACATCTTTCTGGTCTGATGTTAATTTGTCTTTCAAGCCTTTATGCACTCTTGGTAAAAGGGGCGTTCCATCATGCTGACACGTTCTCTGAGCACACTCGGGGGGTGGCTAATTAATGGTGCAAAGCATCATCAAAAACTATGATCTCGTTAGAAAACTAAAATCACATTCCTATCTTAACAAAAATACTCTCATAATTTTCCATATTATATACACAAATTATCTGATGAAAACTTGACAGATACTTTTCAAGTTACAATATTTTCTTGATACCATTCTTAATGACACCACAAAATAATAAACAATATGACATGATTATTCTTTAGGTCCCCACTGACCATTCCCCACATTCTTATCTTAGAAATATTGTTCCAGTGTTTACTTTTTGGACGTTAGAGTTTTGGCGGCAAAAGTATTCTGGAGACAAAGGGCCATTCCAATCACCAATACTGGAGATGTAGAAAGAGATTCCCCTCATGCCTAATTTACGACCGGGTGTGATGTGTCAAAACTGGCCCAGTCCCCCCTCCCCTCTTCTGTGGGTGAGAGAGGGTCTGGTTATTGTCAGCCAATGCCAAGCTGATCTGAGGCCTTAGATCCTCACACAGGACAGTCATGCCACTGGTAAAAGTAATATTTCTACCCATATGCTCTCTAAGAGTGCTATTCAATCTGTATTTCTGAAGCGTTACAGATTGCTTGATAGAAATGTGAAGGTAATTTCATATTGAAGTGACATCTGCAGCATTTACCTGAATGCAGTCTCAGCTAATGTGGGAACATAGAGCCCCACACTGGCGGTCAAACTGGGAAATGGTTCCAATCGTTTTTCCACCATTAATTTACTATGGGAATTTTAGAAACAGTTAAAATAATGTATGTGCTTCATGTAGGCTTACCCTGGTGGGACGTTTTGATAACCATGTAAATCTCTCTCGGATAAGGTGACTTTTATCAATATATTCGGCTCTATTTACGCTCAGTTTCTAAAATGCTAATTAGAATCAAAGTAGACATCATGCAAGACTACAAATCCCTGCAAGCTCCTGCATGTCATCTCTAGCTGACACCTTTGCTAACAGGTACTGTGTCAATTTAAAACTTGCACAAGACAGTTCACAGAATTGTCAATTTAAAGAAATGTAGACCATTTATTCATTACTACATTTAGCTAACATTAGATAGTTAATCCAGAGATTCTTACAGTTGCCTTGATTCAGCAATCTCCTCCAGATCATCATGGTATTTTTAGTTCTTTATGACAGCCACATTAGCAGCTGATTAGCATAAAAAAATACAGGCGAATATATTGATAAGTCACCTTGTCCTATAGAGATTTACATGGTTATCAAAATGTCACGCCAGGGTATGCCTACACGAAACACAGCCCTTATTTTAAGTGTTTCTAAAATCCCCTATGGGAAAAATGAATGGTGGAAAAACGATTGGAACCATTTCAATCACGCTGTAATGCTGTATTTCCGCAATATACGTATTGAATAAAGTCCTAAATGGCTGCGGTTGAGTAATGTCAATGATTGTTGCCTCTAATTGTCACTGTAGCAGCAGCCTATATTGTTTACTATTGTGTTGCATCATGCAATCTATGTTTATATGTTGCAGTATTTTTGTTGACTTGTTTTCTCAATGGAACATAAATTATATCAAGGAAACTTGGTATGTGATGTTATTTATTGTTCATATTGGCATGAGTTGTGCAATGTTGTAGCCTACAGTGCTCCACTCAAGATGTAATACCACCAACAGTTCACAAGATGTCTCAGTGCACCATGAAACCAAACCAGCCACCATTATTCTAGAAGTGTGTATTTATACTGCATAATATCAAGCGTTGGACTAGAGCTCAGTCGACTCATGCAAGATTGCTGCGCAGTTTATGTTTTCAGTCAAAATTCGAGTTATTTCGGATAACATTATTATGCCTACCCATGTGGTTTTACATATCTCAGCTTTAGTATTTCAATATCGATATTTTTTTTGGCCTACGTTGCAGTAATACCGAACGCATTGGTTAACATTGTAGTTTTTGCGCGTCACGCTGCGTAAACTAGGCTACAGTAAACTGAAGTTTTAGTGCACAATGGCGACTGTAACCTCTACCAGACCTTATCACATTATCATATTCGGAGCCTCCGGTTTTACCGGGCAGTTTGTGGTGGAAGAGGTAGCCCGGAGCGCCTTAGAAGGACCCAGCGGTTCTCTGAAATGGGCCTTGGCCGGGCGTAGCAGACAACGGCTGGAGGGAGTTCTGAACCAAGCCGCCGAGATGCTCCGTACGTGTTTGACACTAACCAGAAAAGATAAGCGAGTGCATACTGCCTGCTGCCAGTTGAATAATGATTTTATGTCAAGCATGGTTTGACTAGGCTACTGTATAATGATTAACAGCGGCAACGGTTTCAGTTGCCTTTAACCGACTAGGCCTATAAACTCTTGCACTCTCAAAAAAAGGTGCTAGTAACAAAGGGTTCTTCAGTTTGTCTCTGTAGGGGAACCCTTTTTTGGGCTGTGGAGAACCTTTTAATAACGGTTCTTCTAATAAACCTTTGTATAACAATTTGTATGGTTCTTCATTGTACTGTAAAAAAAAAAAAAAATAATAATCCCGCTTTCTGGTTGCAGTGAAAATATGGTAAACCCTTAGGAAAAACAATTGCAGTCAGAGTGCAGTAGAACTGCAGTACACGCAAATACTGCGTCCAAAATAACACCGTTTTTTTTTTACTGCAGTTATTCTGCAATTACTGCATCCAAAATACCATAAGTGGACTGCAGTAACTGCACTTTTACTACAGTTTCAAAACTGCAATCTTTTTTTGTAAGGGAGTATACAAAAATATACTGTATTTTTAGAGCTGGATTAAGGTGTTATTTCTGTAAGTGACAGTATGCTGCTGTATTCTGATTACTTGCGAGTCATCCTCACTTGGGATTTGAACTCACAACTTCTAGGTTGCCAGCGACAGTAGTGTGCAACTGCAGCCTGCAAATCGGGGTGTTCCTGCATGTGGGCATTCACGCTACCCCCCTTGTGCATCCCATTGGTTCATTCATTAACCCCCCCTTCATTCGTGTGAATGTGGGTCAAAAGGGTAATAAAAGTATTATCAGAGGTTTTTTGCCCCCGCCTACTGGAGTCTTTCTTACTAGCTAGCGGGAGCGAAACCGGTAGACAGTGTCCTTCGCTCCTGCCTGCTGAACACCTGCCCTCGCCATAATGAACAGAACTGCGGGAAAACAGTGCCCAACAAGTGGGGGCAAATGACACTGTCTACCGGTCGCTCCCACCTCCCGCTAGCACAGCAGGTGGGAGGCTGGGGTGACACTGTGCTAACTAGCTAGTTAGCGACACCGTGTGCTAGCTTGCTAGTTAGCTAACACACAGTGTCGCCCCCGCCCACTGTGTACCGGAGAAAACCGTGCCCGATAGGCGGGGGCGAATGCCCCTCTCGACCGGTTTCCCCGCCTTCCGCTAGCACAGCAGGTGTGAGGTTAGGGCGACACCGTGTACAAAAAGAGATTGCCGTTTTGAAAGTGCTGTAAAAGTGCAGTAACTGCAGTCGACTGTGGTATTTCGGACGCAGTAATAGCAGAATAACTGCAGTTACGCTGCAAAATTACTGCAGTAAAAATGGTGTTATTTGGATGCAGTATTTGCAGCATACTGCAGTTATACTGCGCTCTGACTGTAATCTTTTTTTCGTAAGGGTAGCAGGATAGTTAGTGACACTGTGTGCTAGCTAGCTTGCTAGTGACCCAGCACACAGTGTCGCCTCCCGCCTGCTGTGTACCAGAGTCCTCCTTAGGACTAGCTGGCTAAGCTATCACACAGTGTCCTTCTTTTCCGCCTGCCGAACACCTGCCCTCGCCGTCATTAACAGAACTGCTGGAAAACAGTGCCCGACAGGCGGGGGCGAAGGACACTGTCTACCGGTGTATGGCTAGCTAGCTACCGTTGTCGCCCCCACCCCTTCTTATGTGGGGTTTATAGGCGTCTGGGAACCAACGTTATTGTGCATTAACCTACTGTACTGGAGCGTCCCCACCTCCCGCCTGTCCTAACTTAAAAATAACCAATAGAAGTATAAAGAGGGGTTCCAGATGCACGAATGCCCACATGCAGGAACATGACTTGCCTGCTACACCACCGGGTCTATGGGTATGATAGAGATGGTTAAAGATGCACTATGCAGAAATCTCTCAAAAATTCGAATAGTTCGCCTAATTTCAGTTTATATGACAAAACAAGCAAGTATAGTGTAAAGAATCTAAACCACTGTGAAATATATTTTCCATAAAGAAAAATATTGTATTTTCAGCTTTTTGAAGCTGGTGTACAAAACCGAAAGTAAAAGATGCAAAAACTAAACTTAAGAATGGGAAGCATAGAAATAACGCACATAGACAGATCTACCGCTTCTTAGATATTCTTTCAATGAAAATGACAGATCTATAACTCACATTTCTATGTGAATTTGGTGGGACGGCCAAAAAGTTACATATTGTAGCTTTAAAAGATTAGAACCAATAGACATTCTGTCATTTGTCCCTATGGGGGACCCTTTTGGGTGCCACGTAGAACCCTTAGAACCCTCTCACAAGGACCCTGGGTTTATTTTTGTTTTGACCCTGTAGGGTAACCCAACTGGGTTCTATGTAGAACCCTCTCATGAAGAACCCTCTTGTTGCAGGATTCTGTTATCTGTCCCTATGGGGGAACCCTTTTGGGTGCCATGTAGAACCCTTTGATTTGTCCCTGTAGGGGAACCCTTTTGAGTGCCATTTAGAACCCTCTCAAGAAGAACCCTCTGGTTCCAGGTAAAACCAATAACAGGTCTACAGTTATACTTATAAGATACTTCAGATGTGCTTATGGCACACACTGTTAGGTACTCGCATGTCGGTTAATACTGGTCAGTACCTTTAAGGATACATATGCGCAAAACCTAGTATAATGGTACATTTTTCTATTCAATATAAGGTACAATCATTAGTGCCCTCTGAAATGTAGGTGGGGGCAGTGCTGGCGGGGGCTCATTAACATATCTGGGTGCATGATCTAAAATATGTTGTATTTGTGCCAACTGTTGCACCAGTTTAAGTGGTTTTATTGTTATGTTGATGAAGGTTGAGCACCTCATCTGTCCACTCCAGTTCTACAATCTTTGTAAGCGCTTGTGACAATCAAGAGCTGCACTGGTAAGAGGTTACTGTGCATTTACCAGTAACATAATGGCAGTTGGCCACCAGGAATTTCATTTGTATTTTTCTACAATTTACTGTCAGCTTGCTGCAAGTAGTTGTTGTAAACTGCACAGTAACTTACTGTGACTGATCTCTGTCGCACTCACTGACCAGATGGTGTGGCAGGATGGTCAGTTGACTGTCAACCAAGAGGTTGAGGCCAGGTGAGGCTGACTTCCAAGTGTGCTAACCACAAAGAATGCTTAGTAGTTGTCAACTAATGTTACGCTTGTAATTAGTAGAGTTCAGTGAAGTACAGTAAGTTACTGACAGCTAGTTGCAGGTAAGTTACTGGCTATTAAGTTACTGTGAATTTTACACTAACTAACTGACAGCTAGTTGCCAGTTAGGTAACACAAAATTCACAGCAACTGCCAGGCAGCTAACTGCCATTAAGTTAATGTGAAATGCAGAGCAGTGTTCCCCAATATTCATTCAAATTGTTGCCACCACTGCAAAAAATATGAAGTAATTTTTTAAAAACATTTCTGTTGCGATGCCCTTTTAAATGGATAGTCGTTGGCTCCATGACTGGAAGTCGATGTGAACAGCTAGCATATCATTGCGCTAACAGTAGTAAAAATGCACTTTCCCCTGCTACCCTTGCCACCATTGCTGAAAATAATCCTAGGGGAAACACTGCACAGTTACCTCTTAACAGTGCAGCTCTTCATTGTCACATGCTCTTACAAAGATTGCAGAACTGACAGTGTTACAGTAAAAGAGGTGCTCAACCTTTAACAACATAACCATCAACCACTTAAACTGGTACAACACTTGGCACAAATACGGAAAATTCAGTAACTTGTTGTTGTTGTTTACTGTACTTTCACTGCAACCAGTAGCGTCTAGTGTACCGTAAAATTAGTGGAACTTTTTAACAATCTAGCATTTCATGGCATAAAGGAAAACATGGAGGAGAGGGAAAGAACAGGATGATTCTTCACAACCATCACAGCAGTAATGAACCCTTCCTGAGCAGTAAAGAACCCTTCCTGAGCAGTAAAGAACCCTTCCTGAGCCGTAAAGAACCCTTCCTGAGCAGTAAATAACCCTTCCTGAGCAGTAAATAACCCTTCCTGAGTAGTAAAGAACCCTTCCTGAGCAGTAAATAACCCTTCCTGAGCATTAAAGAACCCTTACTGAGCAGTAAATAACCCTTCCTGAGCAGTAAAAAACCCTTCCTGAGCAGTAAAGAACCCTACCTGAAAAATGGTTACACATACCACCCTCACCTCTGACAAAGAACCCCTCAATAACCTTTTTTTTGTTTTGTTTTTGTAGGCGCGCGCAGTATGCACAAGCAGTATCAGTTGTTCTCTATGGGTAAACAACAACACTGCTGAACTTGACCTTTAAACAGGTGTCTTAATATTTAACTGGGTACATAGGGATACTGCTGTTTAATCTTAGTTGATATTGATCCCACTGCCTTGTGACTTGCTTAATAATGGTCACCAGGTCTAATAATGCAAATCTGTCCAAACTATATGATCAGTGATTCAGAGGGGTTGGGTTAAATGCGGAAGACACATTTCAGATGAATGCATTCAGTTGTACAACTGACTAGGTATCCCCTTTCCCTTTCCCTTTCTAAATGCCTATTCCAAAATGGTATTAAGCTATGATTTACTGTAAATGTGTGAGTTTTAACCAATGCATGCATTCAGTACAACTTTGCTCTCTGTTTCCAGGTAAGCCAGAGTTAAGAACTGAAGTTGAAATCATTGTGGCTGATGTTTCCGAAGCAGATTCATTGGCCATCATGTGCCAACAAGGACTGGTAGTTCTCAACTGTGTGGGGCCAGTAAGTCTACAGTAATAATGAGTGTTGTTGTTATTGAGACCTGGGATGAAGGCTGGCCTCGCACAGCTGTGGATCTGGGGTGTCATTTGTCCAGACTCCCAAGGTACTCATGTCCCCAATGATATTTGGAAAGCTTGTTAGGAATATGCTGACTGTGTAGCTGTGTCCACAGGTACTGCAGTATAGTACAGTAGACCTAGCTTTATCAGTGCGTATGGAACATATTAACATGTTCTCAAATGCGAAGGTATGGCAATTTGATAGGGAGATTATACTTTTGACTTTTGATAAAGTGTTGATGACACATACACACACAAGCCCATACCTCCATTAACACCAAATCTTATTAAGTCCTTTTTCTTGTCTCCCCAGTACAGGTTCTATGGTGAGCCAGTGGTTAAGGCCTGCATAGAGAATGGAGCCCACTGCATAGACATCTGTGGAGAACCTCAGGTAGTAGGCTCTGTCATTATACAACACCATCATATTAAATGTCAGTTTTTATGGCTCAATTCAGTGCCTTCACTAGCCTCTACCTCCAACCTAGTTTTATTACTGTCTATGAGAGGCATTGCACTTTACAGAGACAAGGATAGTAGGATGTATTCGGATTTTAGGAGCTTTATGCTCATATCTGTGAAACACATTCAATATATTGGCCAAGGCTGCATCCCAAATCACACCCAAATGGCACCCTATTCACAACATAGTCTGGTCAAAAGTAGTGCATGCCATTTGGGATGCACCCCATGTCTCCCCTACCAGATCGGTTGACATAGTGTTTTTATGGTGGTCTTGTATTGTGGTTCATAGTTCCTGGAGAGAATGCAGCTGGACTACCATAGCAGAGCGATGGATAGTGGAGTGTATGTGATTGGCAGCTGTGGCTTTGACTCCATACCAGCTGACATGGGCATCCTGTACACAAGGAACCAGTTTAAAGGTAGAGAGCTACACTGTTAGTTGGGTTTGTGAATGTTTTTTAAAATGTTTTATAGAGAACAACACTTGTTTGTGTCTCTGGGTTTGTGATGATGGAAGCCATCTGTGAAGAAGATACAATTCTACTTCTCATACTTATTTTTGCCCTTGACATTGCATTTGCAGGCTCTTTCTGCTTTACTGGTGTTTTTCCTGTTATCAATGATGAATTACAGCACCATTTTGGCAAAGAAGATGTTTGTGTTTTTAGCTGAATTCCAAACAGGATGAAACAGCTACAGTACACAATTAACTCACTGCATTAGTACCCTTGTTGGTTTCCAATGAGGTTTCTATCTGTGTACTAGACCAGTCTGTCCTTGAGTAAAGGATATATAATAACACTGTGTCATATCCGTTAACAGGAACACTGACAGCTGTGGAGAGCTTCCTGACTGTACACACTGGTCCTGAGGTAGACAGCTCTATCACTTCCTGTTTCCTTCATGCATTATGGGAAATGTAGTCATACATCAAAGTTTGTCAGATGTTTGTAGAGCCTTAAAGTGATCTAATGTTGAGATGATTCCAAGGTCCACACCATTATTTTGTTTAGATCCAGCTATATGCCTCAATCCTGAATGAATGGGAACTGTAGGCACCCTCTAATTTCATCATTTCATTAGACACAACAAATGGCATGGGACGTGGACTCATAAACCACTTTTGAGGTCAGAAAATGTCTGACAAACGTTGGTTTTCGGGCGGACTATCCCCTTTACAATTTGTTTGGTGTCATGGTGAATTCTGACAGACTTTAATTTCGGAGTGAACTATCCCTTTAATAGTTTGTTTGTTGTGATGGTGACTTGGCTAAAGCTTTGGGATGTTCCTTCCTTCCCTGTAGGGAGGCTGTGCCCACGATGGCACATGGCAGTCAGCCATCTACGGCTTTGCAGACAGCGGTTCCCTGAGGAAGCTGAGGAAGAAGTTTGGCCACCAACCTCTCCCAGTTGTAGGAGCCAAAGTCAAGAAGAGGTATTGGCAGATGTCTAATGTACAGACAGTCTGTGTTCATCCATTTGCATTAAAAGTAATTGCATTTTATTGGCATGGCACAGTTGGTGTTTGGCAATGCTGAAGTGGATTTAGAGGACTAGTCTATCAATATAGATGAAATGAGTTGATGGCATCTGTCTGTGCTGAATTCTGTGGGATGCTGATGGTGAAAATTCTAGAGTGTATTTGGAAGTAAACTGACTTGTGTGTGTATGTGTATGTGTGTGTGTGTGTATGTGTGTGTGTGTGTGTATTCCTCAGGGGTAGCCTGTTCTTCAGTAAGGAGATTGACCAGTATGCCATACCCTTCATGGGCTCAGACCCATCGGTGGTCAGGAGATCCCAGCGCTTCCTGTATGAGGAGCATCAGGAGTTACCAGTAAGATCTAACACAACCACACACCTCTATTGCCTGACTGTGTCTGCCTGCATTCAATAACTCAACGATGCTACATTGTTGTCTTGCTTATGCGTAGCTGTTTGGCATGGCAAGAAAACGACCAGTTGGCTAAAGCAGAAACAGACTGGTACCCAGGCTCCTTTGCCCAGTATTTTATCCATCATGGCTAGCCTAAACAACCTGCTCAATACCAAGCCCACTGTCAAACCCCATCTACTGCCACATACAATACCCACTTACAGTTGAAGTCGGAAGTTAACATACAGTTAGGTTGGAGTCATTAAAACTCATTTTTCAACCACTCCACAAATTTCTTGTTAACAAACTATAGTTTGGAATGTCTCCTGAGTGGCGCAGTGGTCTAAGGCACTGCATCGCAGTGCTAACTGTGCCACTAGAGATCCTGGTTCGAATCCAGGCTCTGTCGCAGCCGGCCGCGACCGGGAGACTCATGGGCGGCGCACAATTGGCCCAGCGTCGTCCAGGGTAGGGGAGGGAATGGCCGGCAGGGATGTAGCTCAGTTGATAGAGCATGGTGTTTGCAACGCCAGGGTTGTGGGTTCGATTCCCACGGGGGGCCAGTATAAAAAAATATGTATTCACCCATTCACTAACTGTAAGTCGCTCTGGATAAGAGCGTCTGCTAAATGACTAAAATGTAATGTAAAATGTTTTGGCAAGTCGGTTAGGACATCTACTTTGTGCATGACACAAGTAATTTTTCCAACAATTGTTTACAGACAGATTATTTCACTTATAATTCACTGTATCACAATTCCAGTGGGTCAGAAGTTTACATACACTAAGTTGACTGTGCCTTTAAACAGCTTGGAAAATTCCAGAAAATGATGTCCATCGTTATGTTTGGAGGAAAATGCAAGCCAAAGAACACCATCCCAACCGTGAAGCACGGGGGTGGCAGCATCATGCTGTGGGGTTCTTTGCTGCAAGAGGGACTGGTGCACTTCACAAAATAGATGGCATCATGAGGAGGGAAAATTATGTGGATATATTGAAGCAGCATCTCAAGACATCAGTCAGGAAGTTAAAGCTTGGTCGCAAATGGGTCTTCCAAATGGACAATGACCCCAAGCATACTTCCAAAGTTGTGGCAAAATGGCTTAAGGACAAAAAAGTCAGGGTCTTGGAGTGGCCATCACAAAACCCTGACCTCAATCCTATAGAAAATTTGTGGGCAGAACTGAAAAAGCGTGTGCGAGCAAGGAGGCCTACAAACCTGACTCAGTTACACCAGTTCTGTCAGGAGGAATGGGCCAAGATTCACCCAACTTATTGTGGGAAGCTTGTGGAAGGCTACCCGAAACGTTTGACCCAAGTTAAACAATTTAAAGGCAATGCTACCAAATACTAATTGAGTGTATGTAAACTTCTGACCCACTGGGAATGTGATGAAAGAAATAAAAGCTGAAATAAATGATTCTCTCTACTATTATTCCGACATTTCACATTCTTAAAATAAAGTGTTGATCCTAACTGACCTAAGACAGGGAATTTTTACTAGGATTAAATGTCAGGAATGATGAAAAACTGAGTTTAAATGTATTTGGCTAAGGTGTATGTACATTTCTGACTTCAACTGTAGGTACATAGTCCTCTGTAGCTCAGTTAGTAGAGCATGGCACTTGCAGCTCCACGATAGTGGGTTCGATTCCTGGGACCACCCAAATGTGTTTGGTATGGACGTATGACGGTAAGTCGCTTTGGATAAAAGTGTCTGCTAAATTATGTTATTATACTATAGGTACAACTCCTGTCATGTCCATAGTCTACCTCAGTATCTACGTGTCTATCCCCTTCCTTGCTTTCACAACCCCTAATTAGGTCAAGCAACGCTGACTGTCAACATTTTCATCCATTTACTAGCTTCCGATGAAACTATTTAATGAAGCCTCATTTACTCACAAACATCCAATGTGGAGAGAAATTGATTGGAAAGAACCCCTGTCTCTTCATGTGGAGAGAGATAGATGAGAATGAGTCATACAACAGCTCCAAGTGATTCATCATCTTTCTCTCCTCATTATCTCTGTGGTGTGTCTCAACACTGCTCCTGGCCAACAATGGTGCACTAAAGATTATAGTGCCTGTGATGTGCCCTTCCTCTACCCTTTCCATGGACTGGGGGAGTACTATGTAGAAGCAGGGGGCATCAGTAGCTTACAGGAGCACGGAGGAGTTAAAAGTTATTTATCGATTTCCCTCCCTCCCCCTTCTCTCCCTCCTTTCCTCTCTCTACTTCTCTCCTTCTCTCTCTCTCTCCCCTTCTCTCTTTCCCCCTCCCCCTCCCTCTCTCCCTCTTCAGGTCCAGTACTCTGCGTATGTAGGGGTCGGTGGCGTCTGGTCGTTGATAAAGATGTTCTGTGGTGGCCTGCTCTTCTGGTTCCTAGGGAAGTTCGGCCTGGGAAGGAAGCTCCTCATTACGGTATGTGTCCAAAATGTGCCTAAAATGGCACCCTATTGTCTATATAGTCACTACTTTTGACCAGAGGCCAAGACCATATTCCCTATATTGTGCACTACTTTTGACCAGGGCCCTTAGGGGCCCATATAGTGTATTTATCCACATTAGATGTCTGTGGAAATGAGATGAATCAAGTTTGGTTACCAAGCTTGTAAAGAGAAATTGTCAGTCACAGTTGGTTGGCCTAATTAAGGGTAGTTAAAGGAGTGCAGAAAAGACACAAATGAATGGCATCCTCTTCTTTTAACTGTGAGCCCTTTGCTCAGTTAATCTCCATGACTGTCAGATCTGTGTGAATATAACATATACAGTGGGGAGAACAAGTATTTGATACACTGCCGATTTTGCAGGTTTTCCTACTTACAAAGCATGTAGAGGTCTGTAATTTTTTATCATAGGCTCTCACAGACCTGTTAGTTTTTCTTTAAGAAGCCCTCCTGTTCTCCACTCATTACCTGTATTAACTGCACCTGTTTGAACTCGTTACCTGTATAAAAGACACCTGTCCACACACTCAATCAAACAGACTCCAACCACTCCACAATGGCCAAGACCAGAGAGCTGTGTAAGGACATCAGGGATAAAATTGTAGACCTGCACAAGGCTGGGATGGGCTACAGGACAATAGGCAAGCAGCTTGGTGAGAAGGCAACAACTGTTGGCGCAATTATTAGAAAATGGAAGAAGTTCAAGATGACGGTCAATCAACCTCGGTCTGTGGCTCCATGCAAGATCTCACCTCGTGGGGCATCAATGATCATGAGGAAGGTGAGGGATCAGCCTAGAACTACACGGCAGGACCTGGTCAATGACCTGAAGAGAGCTGGGACCACAGTCTCAAAGAAAACCATTAGTAACACACTACGCCGTCATGGATTAAAATCCTGCAGCGCACGCAAGGTCCCCCTGCTCAAGCCAGCGCATGTCCAGGTCCGTCTGACGTTTGCCAATGACCATCTGGATGATCCAGAGGAGGAATGGGAGAAGGTCATGTGGTCTGATGAGACAAAAATAGAGCTTTTTGGTCTAAACTCCACTCGCCGTGTTTGGAGGAAGAAGAAGGATGAGTACAACCCCAAGAACACCATCCCAACCGTGAAGCATGGAGGTGGAAACATCATTCTTTGGGGATGCTTTTCTGCAAAGGGGACAGGACGACTGCACCGTATTGAGGGGAGGATGGATGGGGCCATGTATCGTGAGATCTTGGCCAACAACCTCCTTCCCTCAGTAAGAGCATTGAAGATGGGTCGTGGCTGGGTCTTTCAGCATGACAACGATCCGAAACACACAGCCAGGGCAACTAAGGAGTTGCTCCGTAAGAAGCATCTCAAGGTCCTGGAGTGGCCTAGCCAGTCTCCAGACCTGAACCCAATAGAAAATCTTTGGAGGGAGCTGAAAGTCCATATTGCCCAGCGACAGCCCCGAAACCTGAAGGATCTGGAGAAGGTCTGTATGGAGGAGTGGGCCAAAATCCCTGCTGCAGTGTGTGCAAACCTGGTCAAGACCTACAGGAAACGTATGATCTCTGTAATTGCAAACAATTATATAATATTTGGTTTCTGTATCAAATATTAAGTTCTGCTTTTCTGATGTATCAAATACTTATGTCATGCAATAAAATGCAAATTAATTACTTAAAAATCATACAATGTGATTTTCTGGATTTTTGTTTTAGATTCCGTCTCTCACAGTTGAAGTGTACCTATGATAAAAATGACAGACCTCTACATGCTTTGTAAGTAGGAAAACCTGCAAAATCGGCAGTGTATCAAATACTTGTTCTCCCCACTGTAGTTACTGTACTGTACAGCGATAACAAGAAGAAATTACCTGTGTTGGAGATGGAGGTAGTCAGCTAAATGTTCCAATGAATTGGTTGATGTTTCTGCTCCTCAGTTTCCAGAGTTCTTCTCCTTTGGCGTGTTCACCAAGGCAGGACCCAGCAGGAAGCAGGTACTGTAGTGGACTCAGGCCTGATGAAAACAGTACACTACTGGTCCAAAGTTTTAGAACACCTACTCATTCAAGGGTTTTTCTTAATTTTTACTATTTTCTACATTGTAGAATAATAGTGAAGACATCAAAACTATGAAATAACACACATGGAGTAACCAAAAAAGTGTTAAACAAATAAACATATATTTCAGATTCATCAAATAGCCACCCTTTGCCTTGATGACAGCTTTGCACACTCTTTGAATTCTCTCAACCAGCTTCAGAAGATAGCCCTCCCGACCTCAACCAAATTGAGATGGTTTGGGATGAGTTGGACCGCAGAGTGAAGGAAAAGCAGCCAACAAGTGCTCAGCATATGTGGGAACTCCTTCAAGACTGTTGGAAAAGCATTCCAGGTGAAGCTGGTTGAGAGAATGCCAAGAGTGTGCAAAGCTGTCATCAAGGCAAAGAGTGGCTATTTGAAGAATCTCAAATATAACATATATTTTGATTTGTTTAACACTTTTTTGGTTACTATATGATTCCATATGTGTTATTTCATGGTTTTGATGTCTTCACTATTATTCTACAATGTAGAAAATAGTAAAAATAAAGAAAATCCCTTGAATGAGTAGGTGTTCTAAAACCTTTGACCGGTTGTGTACATGAATGGCCCAGTCATAGCCATGTGTCTAGTGAGAAGAACATCCATAAATGTTTCATGCTTAGTCAAGTTTTGGATGCAGGCTTTGTACAATGTTGATAACATAACTATGAAAAAAAGGCACTGTATTCATTTGATCAGTTTTTGGAAGTGGAGGTTAGCATTCATCACTTTAAGCGCTAAGACTCCTCTTCTTTCCTCTCCCAGATGGAGGGAACATCTTTCAGTCTGACGTTTTTCGGGGAGGGTTATGCTGAGGGGCTGGACCCATCTCAGGGAAGACCCAACGCTAGGATATGTACCCAGATACATGGAGCAGGTAATACATTGTCTCTGATTGTAGCCTTGTTTTGGTTTGGTTGTAATGCAGGTCAGGATCATGTCTATTCATGCTCTGTCCAATGTCCACACAGTGCTTATTATTATCTACGTCTTGATTATCATTGGTCTGCTATAGTTTTTGTTGATAAACTATGTTGACTTTCATTGGTCCACAGAGCCTGGCTATGTAGCCACACCTGTTGCTATGGTACAGGCAGCTATCACCGTGCTGAATGAACCACAATTCCTTCCTATAAAGTGAGTCAGGTGCCTCTCTCTCTCTCTCTCTCTCACTCTCTCTCGTGAATATATTATAGTTCTACAAAGAATAAAGTCTTACACACTGGTACATCAAATGTGCAGCTATCATTACAATGTAACAGTACAAATATACCGTAATAGACGCATATACAGGACCTAAGTCTCCCGAGTGGCGCAGTGGTCTAAGGCACTGCATCGCAGTGCTAGCTGTGCCACTAGAGATCCTGGTTCGAATCCAGGCTCTGTCGTAGCCGGCCGCGACAAGGAGACCCATGGGGCGGCGCTCAATTGGCCCAGGGTAGGGGAGGGAATGGCCGGCAGGGATGTAGCTCATGGGTAGAGCATGGCGTTTGCAACACCAGGGTCGTGGGTTTGATTCCCACAGGGGGCCAGTATTTTTTTTTAAAAATCACTCACTAACTGTAAGTCGCTCTGGATAAGAGCATCTGCTAAATGACTAAAATGTAAATGTAGAACTAAACACTATGTTGTGATTACAGGGGAGGAGTGTACAGTCCAGGAGCTGCGTTTGCCAGGACAACTCTCATTGACCGCCTCAACAGACATGGCCTGGTGTTCTCAGTGAAGAGGTTCTGAAGAGAGGGTCTGAGAAAAGGACTCCTGTCTGTACCCAATCCCAAATCCAATGTTTGGCTGCTAAATTCTGGTGCTTTTCATGCATCTGGTGGTGGTGGCATTTCAATTATATCTGAGAGGTTAGGATTGGGACTGTTTTTGTTAGCAATATAGAAATTGGTAATAGCTTCACTTTGCCCTCTGATGGGCTAGGTAGAATATTCACCATATTGCTTATACCCATCCAACCCTTTCAGATCTACATGAAGTGGCTTGGGGTAGAAGCGGATGGGTGTTCAGCAATACTCTAACCCCCTATCACCCCCTAGCCCTAGTCCCGCCAGCTCTCGGTGTATCGATTGCTTTACACAATGAGTGCTGTGGTCTATGTTAGAGGAAATACTGGATGTCAATATTAGGCCAAATGGACAAACCTCATCCCCTTAAAGCTGTATCTGTCTCCCCTTAAAGCTGTACATGATCAGCCTTTTTATCAGGCTGAGGGCACAGGCATCCAGACAGCCGGCCACATTGTTACCATTCTAGTCTGAAGTCTGTATCTCTCTCAGGGCCCATTTGAACTGTCTTTTTATGGCTTCAGAATTTGGTCATGCAGAGGTGTCATTCAATCTCTCAGTGGGTTTCAAATCAATTGTCCGTAATACTAGTTACTTATTAGTATTGATAATGTGTAAGTGGGTGTCCTTGACCCAGATTACAGCTCTCCACTTCACAGTAGGATTTATTGGAGGACTCTAGTCTAAGGGCTATTGTGTGGTCTTATAGCCAAGAAAGGACTGTGGCCTATAGGTCTTTATTCTGTGTTATAATTCACATTTTAACACACATATTTTGGCCACAGTGTGTGTGCGTGCGTGTGCTTGTCACATGGCTTTTAATCAGACTAGTCCAAGTGCATTATAAGAAAGACTGGGTGTTTCAGATATTTAAGAATAATACCAGTGATTTATAAACGTGGTGATATTCTGTTTTTGTCTTATAGAAAAATAACAAGCATGCAACACATACTGCTCTGTAGAAGTATAAACACACACATATGGTAACCTGAAAATGTAACAACAAAAATCGCCTCAGACCTAAACCATGTTTATAAGCTAACTAAAATGGTTTCAAATGCAGTCTACCAACGGGCATCAGCACATGCAGGACCAAACCTCCCCACTAGGCGGTGGTGTTTCTCTAACTACACATTCCCTTCCCAAGTTCCAAATATTTACACGCCACCAACCAGATGAGCTGTCAGTAAAGGTAATTCGCCTGTTAGAGGAGGCATGGGATGGTACATTGTTTAACCGTAATTAAAAGGCCATGTATACACTTTTAGCTGATATGAATGGAGTAGGAGGGGAAGGAGGGGGGAGGTGGGGTTTATCGTGGGTAGCAGATGTGGTTACATCAATAGGGAGGAGGGCCAAGGTTGGAAGGACCTGGGAGGCATTGTCTGTCTGTAGACTGTGACTCATCCTCCCTTCTCTTCCCTCCTCAGCCTCCCTTCCCTCTTCAGCTCTGTCTCTCCCCTTCCCCCACCACCATCACAACAACTCTGTTAGCAGAGCATTACAGAGAGAGATAGAAAGGGAGAGACAGAGAGAGAGCGCAAGAGAGAAGTGTCCTAGTTCTGCTGTAGTTATACAGAGGGAAATAGACAGTTTGTTCAATGATAAAACTGCGGGAGGGTAATTGTTAAGTAGCGCGGTTAAGTACAGGGTGTATAGCATAGCTAAGAGCATAGCTAAGGTGCACTTTTGCCCTGTGTGTGTGCCTGTGTGTAGCTGAGAAAACGAGAAAAGAGAGACAAAGGAGAATGCAGTGGTTTGTTTCCCCTGCCCTCCTCTCCCTCCTCTCCCTCCCCCACATCCCGCCATCGTGGGTGTGCTGTTATTCATGCCATCTCCCTCACCTTAGCCAAATCATCCCCTTTGTGTTAATAAAGCTGCATACAAACATGGTCTCTTTTTTGCTTTCTTGAGTAAGGCAGCTCCAAAATGCAGGTGTTTCAGCCTAGCTCAGTGCTTTCTGTGGTGGTGGGGCAGCCAGCGGAAAACACAGAGCGTAGGGGTTGGTAATCTTCTCTAGTTGCACAATGATTGGCTCAGTGTTCTGTCACTCATGGGGACACTACAGTGAGGGAAAAAAGTATTTGAACCCCTGCTGATTTTGTACGTTTGCCCACTGACAAAGAAATGATCAGTCTATAATTTTAATGGTAGGTTTATTTGAACAAAGAAATCCAGAAAAACGCATGTCAAAAATGTTATCAATTGATTTACATTTTAATGAGGGAAATAAGTATTTGACCCCCTCTCAATCAGATAGGGAGTGCTCCTAATCTCTTAAAGAGAGTGCTCCTAATCTCAGCTTGCTACCTGTATAAAAGACACCTGTCCACAGAAGCAATCAATCAATCAGATTCCAAACTCTCCACCATGGCCAAGACCAAAGAGCTCTCCAAGGATGTCAGGGACTAGATTGTAGATCTAAACAAGGCTGGAATGGGCTACAAGACCATCGCCAAGCAGCTTGGTGAGAAGGTGACAACAGTTGGTGCGATTATTCGCAAATGGAAGAAACACAAAATAACTGTCAATCTTCCTCGGCCTGGGGCTCCATGCAAGATCTCACCTCGTGGAGTTGCAATGATCATGAGAACGTTGTGGAATCAGCCCAGAACTACACGGGAGGATCTTGTCAATGATCTCAAGGCAGCTGGGACCATAGTCACCAAGAAAACAATTGGTAACACACTACGCCGTGAAGGACTGAAATCCTGCGACGCCCGCAAGGTCCCCCTGCTCAAGAAAGCACACATACAGGCCCGTCTGAAGTTTGCCAATGAACATCTGAATGATTCGGAGGAGAACTGGGTGAAAGTGTTGTGGTCAGATGAGACCAAAATCGAGCTCTTTGGCATCAACTCAACTCGCCGTGTTTGGAGGAGGAGTAATGCTGCCTATGACCCCAAGAACACCATCCCCACTGTCAAACATGGAGGTGGAAACATTATGCTTTGGGGGTGTTTTTCTGACAGGACAACTTCACTGCATCAAAGGGACGATGGATGGGGCCATGTACCGTCAAATCTTGGGTGAGAACCTCCTTCCCTCAGCCAGGGCATTGAAAATGGGTCGTGGATGGGTATCCAACATGACAATTACCCAAAACACACAGCCAAGGCAACAAAGGAGTGGCTCAAGAAGAAGCACGTTAAGGTCCTGGAGTGGCCTAGCCAGTCTCCAGCCCTTAATCCCATAGAAAATCTGTGGAGGGAGCTGAAGGTTCGAGTTGCCAAACGTCAGCCTCAAAACCTTAATGACTTGGAGAAGATCTGCAAAGAGGAGTGGGACAAAATCCCTCCTGAGATGTGTGCAAACCTGGTGGCCAACTACAAGAAACGTCTGACCTCTGTGATTGCCAACAAGGGTTTTGCCACCAAGTACTTAGTCATGTTTTGTAGAGGGGTCAAATACTTATTTCCCTCATAAAAATGCAAATCAATTTATAACATTTTTGACATGCGTTTTTCTGGATTTTGTTGTTGTTATTCTGTCTCTCACTATTCAAATAAACGTACCATTAAAATGATAGACTGATCATGTTTTTGTCAGTGGGCAAACGTACAAAATCAGCAGGGAATCAAATACTTTTTTCCCTCACTGTACATCACCGCAAAATCTACAGGGAGAGCTAGAAGGTTCAAGCCCCCTTGGGTGCTGCAATAGATTTACATTAGAAGTGCCCATCCAAGAAGGCTCAAGGTCATTGGCCACAGATAAAATGACGTCAAATCACGTTATATCTACCGTAGCTTTGATTGGACTGATCATGTCAACATAATACTTTCAAAATCTTAGCTAGCAAGCTAGACAAGCAGTCATCATCATGAATCATGCCGACAATCTACTGGCAACTCCTTTTCAATCCTTTTCATATGAAGAGAAATTATAGATAAAATGTATTGGTGCTCATCAGCCATTGGACATAAACACTACACAACAAGTTGGAAATCGCAAATTCAACAATGAGTGGTTTGGAAGGAATCAGTGGCTAACTGCAAGGGTTGCAAAGCAATCACTATTTTGCTTCCCCTGCCTGCTATTTGGTGGAGAGGGCGTGTGGTCCAAGTCTGGGTTGAAGGGTCTCTTTTCCAAGCTTAAAAGGATTAACATTCACACGCAACACCATGGGCCAGAAAAGGTTGAATACATTGGCTATGCTGTCAATCCAGCATGACTTCTGCAGCATTCAAAACGACTGGAAACTCGGAACTGGGAAATCTCAGAATCTCAGTGAGTTCAAGACAACTGGGAACTCGGGGAAAAAACGAGCTCCGACTGGGAAAATACATTTTGAGCGGTCATTCAACTCAGAATTCCAAGTCGGGATCTCTGGCCTCTTTCTAGAGCTCCGACCTGAAGATCACTGACATTATGATTCGACCTTGTTTTTTTTCGAGTTCACAGTTGTCTTGAAAGCACCATAAATCCAGAGAATGCCAAACAGTTTGTGGGCACCGTTTGTCACCGTTATAGTTCAATTAATGTATTGTTTAGTGTTGTGTTGTGTTGTGTAGTGGCTTTGCTGGCATGCAACCCACTTTTTTTTTTTGCCCCACCAAGGTTTACATGCTAAAATCACCACTGGAGGAGATATGATTCCAGGGAAGAGGCCAGTTCTCAGTACTGTCTGGGACGACACACACACACACACACACACACACACACACACACACACACACACACACACACACACACACACACACACACACACACACATACCCCACCCCACCCCATACACACCATTTTATTACAGCCATTTAACAATCACACAGTCCCATTACACACAGTCACACATATGTTATGCTTCAGCCATTCAACCCTCTTATTCGCTTTATCTCCTCTGAACAGACAGACTTACTGTATTGTGGGATGAGAGCCAGACATCGCAACAACATTACCCTATAATTTACCTTGTTTAAGTGATCACCACCCACAGTCACATGCAGGGAGCATCCAAGATGTAAATGACACTGTCTTGCATCCCAAATAGCACCCTATTCCCCATTTAGTGCACTACTTTTGACTAGAGCCCACATGGTCAAAATAAGTGCAATATATAGTGAATAAGGTGCCATTTGGGATGCAACCACAGTGAGGGGATAAGGGGACTGGTGGGTAGCACTTTATTTTACAGTATTTATTAATATATTTTAGAAATGACATGATCAAATGGTCAATTGGTAATCGCACATTAATAGCATAGGCACTACTAGGCACCATTTGAAACCAGGTTTGAATTGTGTTGAATGCTATTGCCACATAGTACAAATGACACAAAACAAGATCAGTCCATCAGTATCTCCTCTCGTCTCGTCTCGTCTCATCTCCTCTCCTCTCCTCTCTCCTCCCATCTCTCCCCCTCTCCTCTCCTCTCTTCTCCTCTCCTCTCCTCTCTTCTTCTCTTCTCTTTTCCTCTCACTAGAGGTACTTCAGTTATGAATAATGGAGAAGCTACAGACAGATGGTGATAGTGTGATATTGCATCAGCACTTGTTTTCCCCAACGTTTCCCAGATCTTGATTTATCTAACTGGAAGCTACAGAATAGATGCAGCATCATGCTCTCTGTCTCTGTGGCAGCTTGGTCTGATTCAAAGGTTTGGCAAAAATATGCAGACATTCCTCCAAGAACTGAAGTTCTCTTATAAATATTGCAGCTTTCTACTGTGCGGCTTTAAGAAAACTCCATAGAATCGACAAAGTTGTTTTTGGGAATAAGACAGGCATATAATTGCGTAATAAATTATAATGCACATATGTATTTTGGAATACATTTATTTAGACAATCGCAGTAGTAATGTTTGGTTCTCATTTTCGGTGAATAAAAAATGAAACCTTGTTCAAATTATCGCCCTTTCTTAAACAAGCCATACAAAGCTGGTTCGAATTTCAATTTTATCCTCCAGAAAATACAGAACAAATATTACAACAAATATAATGGTTAAACTCAAATATAATGTTTGTAAAAAAAAAAAAAAAAAAAAACATTATTTATGGAAACAAGGTTTTAAAATGCTATTATATTTATTAAAGATATTATGGATAGGAATGATGGAGTTATGTCACACATGCCGCTATTGAAAATATATGGGAATGTCTGAATCCAGGCTCTGTCGTAGCCAGCCGCGACCGGGAGACCCATGGGGCGGGGCACAATTGGTCCAGGGTAGGGGAGGGAATGGCCGGCAGGGATGTAGAGCATGGTGTTTGCAACGCCAGGGTTGTGGGTTCGATTCACACGGGGGGTAAGAAAAAAAAAAAGATTATTAAAAAAATAATGTATGCACTCTGGATAAGAGTGTCTGCTAAATGACTAAAATGTGAAATAATCCAAAAACGATGCATTTCTTGTGTAATTACTGTGTGTAAAATGTATATGTGGGGGGGCCCTAAGTGAGATATGTTTGGAGGCCCCCAACCTCGCGGGCAAAACATTTTAGTGTCCGCCTCTTGAGAGCGGAGAGAGAAATGTACATTTGAAAGTTAATTTCCTGCAATTCTACAAATTCTGGCAAGTTTTTTTTAACCCTCAACAGTTTCCAACATGTGTATCAAGAATGGTCCAGTACCCAAAGGACATCCAGCCAACTTGACCCAACTATGGGAAGCATTGGAGTCAACATGGGCCAGCATCCCTGTTGAACACTTTCGACACTTTGTAGAGTCCATGCCCGACGCATTAAGGCTGTTCTGAGGGCAAAAGGGGTGCAACTCAATATTAGGAAGGTGTTTTGTTTTGTACACTTAGTATATATATATATATATATATATATATATATATATATATATATATATATATATATATATATATAT